TCTCATACTGCCTGTGCTGCAGCACCTCTTTTCACCCTCTGTCTGAAACCAGAGCCCAGTCTGCTCTGATTGGTTAGCTGGCCGGCTCTGTTGTGAATGGTCGACCACTTAGAGATGTCCCGCCCCTTAGCCTATCACGTACAATGTGTTGGAGCGCTAGCCAATAGTACAATGGAGAAGTTTGAGGCAGGGAGGGGAGTGTGTGGGAGGGAACACAGGGATTTTAGCCTTTGCAGACCATTGACATGCACTAAAACTATACAACACACTACAGGAAAGGGAAAGCCTCTTTAAATATGGAGATTCCCTTCGCAGCACTAGATGGCAGTCTTTTTCCATAAAGTGTGTATTTCTCCTCACCACAGAGTTGCCCTCTGGACTTTGCACAGGACACAAGTTGTGTTCAAGTAGTTACAGTCCTCTTCTTTATGCAAACCTCTGCAAAAAGCACATAATCAATAGATACTAACTGTAGTAAACAAGATAACATACAACATAGAGAATTGACTGAAAGGCAGCTGTCATTGTGTTTACATCGTGTTGTTATTGCAGTTTTCTTTTGATTCTCGCACAGACTAACACTAATACTTGCCCCAGATATTTAATTTCATGCCGTCCTCTCCTGGGTGAAGTGTGAACATGTGATGTGTATAAGTCAGTATTTACAGTTCTGCCAGTATAAAATGGACCGAGTGTTGAGCAGCCAGCCGGCGTCTAATCTTAGCCTGACCTTTAATTCCCCTCTCTGACCTTAAGCTGAGAGCAGAGGGTGAGAGCGGCATGCACTCGGGGCTGTGGTCCTTCAGATACGCCGGACAACTGGACCGCAGCCATGAAACACAGAGCAGCCCGGCCTCCTGTTACAATAGCAACACCGTTTCTGCTGGAATAAGTCAATGAATGTCTGTGGCGCAGCTAGATAACAATGTGTTCCCAGTGATGGAACTTATTAAAGTACATATACCCAACTACTGTACTTTTATTGAGGTACTTTTCTGAGTGTTTTCATTTGATGCTACTTTACATTCCTCCACTACACTTTGGAAGCCAGTAAATATAATTCAACTTATTCGTAAACTTTGACATATAATTATATGAAAAAGAATCCAGCAGTTGCATGCAAAAGTTTTAAAATGAGGTCGAACTTAATGACTCAATAAAATACATTTATTCAAGTAATGCACTAAACTATTTAGATGAATACACAAAATATAATCAAAGAACATTTTAAAAATAGCTTAAACTGACCTCAGTGATCTCCTGGTGAAGTTTAAAAGCTGCACGGCAATATAGTATTAAAATACACTCCTCCTCTACAAGCTGCACAATTTAGGTGATTAACAACATTTCAATGCAATAACATAACAAAGGTTTTGTTTTTAATACGGCTATAGTGCAGAATGTGCGCTTGTGTGTACTTTATATATACTTTTAGTGGAACAGAGTCTGTCTACTCAGTTGTTTGACTATTCTTACTGGTGTCAAATATCTTCTTCCCCCTCTTGTTTTAACAATTTAAATCACCCTCTGAGTGCTTACTTTACAAACGTCTGTTTCAAGAGAAAAAAGTCAAAATAAACTCTGACATGTTCAGGCCTTGTCATATTCTGTGTTTAATGAATAGAGGTTTCATTTAGCATCAGAGAAACACGTTGCCAAGACTAAGTGCAGCACTTTCCAGATAAAGGAAATTAACGTTCTTTAGCATTTAGCTTCGGTTTGATATTTCTAATGAACCTGACAGAGACTCAAACAGCCCGCCTCTTCACATGCGTGACGAAGAGTTCACGTTGAGTAACTTAAAGTCAACTTTTCACTCTGATGCAGAGGTGGAGGGAGACGGTCTGAAAGTGAAGGGTCATGGTCTTTGGACATTAAATGTCACAGTGGAAAAGACAGAGATCTGATCCTTAGTGTGACTGTATTCACTGAGAAGGTCAGTGGGTTACCCCTCTCTGTTTTCAGTCCACTATCTGAGGACTTTAATATATATATCTAAACTAGGAAGGTGGCAACACACGCAAAAAACTACGTTCTGAAGCTAAAATAATGTCAATATAAGCTAAATATTTCCGAGAAGTAAAAAGCCTTCCACAGTTTTAGACTCACATGCAGTTGCAGAGGGCAGCTTGCATGTTGCAGACTGACCTTGACATTCAGAGGGGCGTGGCCATGAGAGGGGACCATTGAGCGGGCGCGGCCTCAATCTCCGGTCAATCATAAAACCACACCGACACACTCTGCTCTACCTCACTCTCACCCGGAGTCAAGACGGACTGAGGCATCTCACAAACGGTAAATACCTCTAACAACAAAATCATTTTACACAGGGATAGAGAGGGGAGCTGCAAGGCCTCACACACACACACTCAACAAACACTCACACAAGTCCTGATTTAGATCAGCTGGGGACAATCTGCATGAGCTCAATTGAACAGAGGTTTGAAGTAAATCTAGTCATAAAATTCATAGAAATTCACTTTGCTTATCTCTTGTTTTAACATGTAGAAGTGTTGTTTATGAGCATGTAAACTTGTTTTTTTTAGTGCAGATTAACTTTCAGGGATTGCAGATTTACACTAGCGTGGCCTGTGTTGTGGAATACTTTTGCATGTTCATTTGCACTCTTTGCGTATCCCTTACAAGCTGCCCCTCACTAAGTAGAAACGTATTTATGGCATCGTAAATATATGTGATCATAAATGGTGGTTGTTCACTTATTAACAGGATGTATTGTGTTTCCTCTCTCCTTCCAGAAGACTAGCACACCCCAGGCAAAATGGTGAAAGTTGGAGTTAACGGGTAAGAGTTCATTTTCACCCACGCAATCCAAATAAGACACACACTCTGCACCCCAAATCACCGTAACACTGCTCACCTGTGCACACAGCGAGCATAAAACAGATCGACCTAATGCTGCCTTTAGTTCAATGTACTCAATTATTGAAGCTTATTTATTAGTTTGATAAACATTGATAAAGTATTGTTAAACACATACACACTTTAACCTACATTTTCTCAGAAAAACATGCATTTGAGTGAACAAATGTTTTTACTTGAGTTAAAAGCCTATACAAATAACTAAGAAATAAAAAAACAAGGTCAAGTTATCAGAATTGCATCAAATCAAAATGAGGAGGTAGAAAAGTGTTTCAAAAGTGCACAAAAAGACAATGTTAGTTAGCCCCAAACTGCTACATCTATCAATACATGGGAATTTAGGAAGATTATATGTAGTCTTGTGTCTATAGGATATCACTGAATTAGTCTTGGAAATACAATTTGTTCTACTGCATGTTGATTAGTAAATACAGTTAAGATATTAAGCTAATAACATTTTTAGTGGAGTGTTTTAATGCTGTGATACCGAGTGTTTATATGGCTCAGTGTGGGGGAATAACTCTTTGTTGAATAATAAAATGAGTCCAAGCTTCAGTCTCTCTGTGATAATATAAATAGTGACACAGCAGCTGAGAGGACAAATGTTTGGTGAGGCCGGACAGGCTCAGATCCACAGGGGGCTGTCTCATGTTGCTCTTGAACTTTGGCCCCTCAGCAGATAACAGAGTGGGCAGTTGCTCGGACACGGGGGTCAGCGGGGGATGGGTTTTCTGACGTCTGAAGCTTGTAACAGAATTGTAAATGTTATTGAACGCTCACAATGTGACGTTAGAAGAGCTCCCTATCTGTGGCATTATCTCTCCCCTCCCCCAGACAGAGTGTATCTGTGCCAGGATTTTGGACCCGCGGTTAAAAAGTAACTCAGACGCTGATCAAACACTGCAGCAGGATTACCACATTCATCAGAGCTTCATTCAGACTTTAGCCTCCAGAGAGGGGTGTGTGTCTTTGTGAGCTGTGTGTGTGAGCTGTGCAACACACACCTCCCGCTGCCCCTCCTCCTAAACCCTGGCCTTTCTCCGCCTGCAGTCGCGGGTCTCCTGGGGACTTGATGCATTGCATGGGGGGAAAAAAATTAGGAAATACATCAGAACCAAAAAAAACGTTATTAGTCCCGAAGAGGGTAGACGGTGTATATAAAAGGAAGTAGGCTGTGTATATAAAAGGAAGTAGGCTAACATATTAAAAGGGGGAAAACATGAGCCCAATAAGTACTTACACTTTAGCTGTTTTAGGTATATTTTGATGGAAATGCATTTGTTCATTAAGAACGATTTTAAACAATATTTTTACATTTTGTCTTGCTACTTTAACCTTAGTAAAAGCACCTCGTCCACCCCTGGAAAATAAGTAGCAGCATAATCAAAGTGAGTGTGTTAAAGTGTCTATTTAAAAACCCCAGTGCTACATCTTAATTTCAGACTCTCACAATCGACTGCAGCTTCTTTCATTGTTACTCTGAGACTCAACCATGATCATTTCACACAGGGAGGTTTTTAATCCGAGTTGCATGGTTCCATACCTCCATCTAGAGGCCACACTCACAAACAACTCTGTTCATTTTTCAGATTCGGCCGCATCGGTCGTCTGGTGACCCGCGCCGCCTTCACCTCAAAGAAGGTGGAGGTCGTGGCCATCAATGACCCCTTCATCGACCTGGAGTACATGGTGAGTGAGGGACAATTAAGGACATTGGGATCAGAGTTTAAGATAAACAGCCCTCACATGCAGTGGTGGAACTTGAATTGACTCAATACTATATTTAAGTAACATTTTGAGGTACTTTACCTTAGTGTTTTCCATTTCATGCTTCACTACTACTACGATATTTATGTGAGTTTTAGTTGCATTATAGATTCAGATTTGTTGCAACAAAATATTAATCAGCTAAAATGTAGACTTAACATTTCGTTATCAGTAAAGATATCCAGCTGCAGTATACAAAGTAAGGACCTTTATCTGTAACGGAGTATTTCTGCAATTTAGTTTTACTGCTTTAACTCAAAATCTGTACTTATAAACTTGAAGTGATTGTTGAAGGCTTTTTGTTCAGTTATCCTCCAGGAAGAGACTTAATAGTACACGTAGAATATAATCTATTTTGGTCAGCTGTGGAAACTACCTCCCTCTTCATCTATTCTTCACTTTTCCTCTCTTAGGTCTACATGTTCAAGTATGACTCCACCCACGGACGCTTCAAGGGTGAGGTCTCCATAGACGGCGATAAGCTGGTCATCGATGGACACAAGATCACCGTTTTCCACGAGTGAGTTCACGATGTGGAAAGCATTTTAGTATAATTACACTTTCAAACATTAGGGAAATCTAAAATGTTTCTCTTCTTGTGTCTGTTTCCAGGAGGGACCCCGCTAACATTAAATGGGGCGATGCTGGTGCTGATTACGTGGTTGAGTCCACCGGTGTGTTCACCACCATCGAGAAGGCCTCTGTACGTATCTCTTGACTTAAATGTGGAAAAAGCAGCTAAAACATGGCATGTATGTACAATGAAGTGACTTATTTGACGAGGAATATTTAAAGTTCAGTTAAAATGAAAGACTCGGGTGGAATGCCTAAGTAATGGGAGATCAGCATTTTGATACACAACCCTTAGAATGACAGAGTCAACAGTAAAAATGTCATTCACAGTAACATCTTCGTGTATCTCAACAAAGACAGTATGGCACCCTTAACAATTCATTGTGAGGCACTTCCTATTATGAAAAAATACATGATATTCTGATTTGAATACCCATTTTCTTTTAACTTTTTGAATGCGTTACGTGTCGTGCATTTAGCCGGAAAGGACTTGCATTAAATACTGTTTTGAAAAACTCATTTCAGGCTCACTTGAAGGGCGGTGCCAAGAGAGTCGTCATCTCCGCACCCAGCGCCGACGCTCCCATGTTCGTGATGGGCGTCAACCACGAGAAGTACGACAACTCCCACAAGGTCGTCAGGTAAGAAGGAGAAAGTCTTTGATGTTTTTGTATATTTAAGGGGTTTTAAATTCAGTTTTTATAGTTGATGTGTATTATTGAGCATTTAGCCATTGTACGTCTGCTCTTGATGTGTAAACAATTGAGCTTTTTTTAAAGAATACTAAAATGTTTTAGCTGATAGTAAAGTAGTCTACCCAAGTTCAATTTTGAGGTACTTTTACATTGCCTGCTACTTTTTTCTCTTACAAACCAATACATATAACAGTCAAATATTGTACTTTTTACTCCACTACATCATTTATTAACTTGGATTACTTGAAATATGTGGATTTATACAACAAAATTAGTATACTAGTTTCCCTTTTGCCTTTAGATCTGCAATATACATTTGCGGCTGTAATGCAGCGTTCATTTCCCCGCTGCGGCACAAATAACAGATTTCAGACATTCCAACCTTTTGAAAGCAGGACTTTTACTTTTACCTTGTTGTGTTTACTTTAACTTTAATAAAATACAGTAAACTCATGTTTCTTTATTCTCTCCACAGCAACGCTTCCTGCACCACCAACTGCCTGGCCCCCCTGGCAAAGGTCATCAACGACAACTTCGTCATCATTGAGGGTCTGATGGTGAGGAAACAACCCCTGAAACCACAAAAAATGATATTGTCATTATAAGTATCTTATTAAGTTAGAGGGGGGGGGGGGGGGGTGGTTATGGCATATTTACTCTATGGATTACATTAATGCACAATGTACAACAATATCCGTTTTCTTTTCCGATTACTGACAATTTTTATTCCATTTCTATGTAAATACTGTTACCTTTTAATTAGGGCCGGGACTTTAACGCGTTAATTAAGATTAATTAATTACACAAAAATTAACGCGTTAAAAAAATTAACGCATTTTAATCGCACTTATTTTTGCACCGCGGAACGTTTCTCACTGGATGAGTTTCAGGCGTACCGATTATACTGGAGCACCAACTAACGTTCATGACTTCAGACAACAACAAACCACAGTGAACAACAGTGGGAAATGTTGTTTTAAAAAACGGACGGATGGAAGCGTCGATAAGAGCACGGTTGTGTGCAGATTATGCAAAAAGGAATTCGCATATCACCGCAGCACATCAAGCCTCAAGTATCACCTCAATGCAAAACATATAGCAGCTAGCGTGGACGTTAGCCTCTTTTATCGCGTTCACACCAAAAAGAGCCGGTACTAAAATTAGTTCATGAGAACCTTTTTACCCCCACGAAAGTCCCTGCTAGAGAGCAGGGACTTTCGTACGGCTCTCTTGTGAGAAAATAGCTATATTTCTGATTGGCTGGGCGGATTGCAAACCACGCCCCGTAAAACTCCCAAAAAAGTTTTGTGAAGCCGCCATTTTATTATCCTCGCATTAGCATTATTAGCATTAGCCCAGCGCAGAAACGCGGAGAGACTAACTTATGGCAACACAACATAAAACATGGGAGCGGTGGAGATGAGGAGGTGTCGGCGTTCTGTCGATTTACTCGGAAGGCTTCAGTAGAAGCTGCTGGGAGTCCCAGCAGCTTCTACTGAAGCCTTCCCCAACTCCGGGGACTTCCGGCCGGGGACTTTGGGCGGCAGTATACGCCGTGAAGTGGTTTGCGGCCTGCCAGTAAACCCAAAGCAGAAGAAGTGACGTCAGCGGCTTCATTTGCCTAATCCACCCCCAGGTTCAAAGAGTTCTCATGAACTAAGTTCTCATGAACCTTTGTGGGAAAAGTACTGCGGCGTGAATGCGCCTAATGGTATACTAAATCCATGTGAAAAAAATTGCTTCTCACTGTTCTTAGGTCAAATATTTATATGTGATTAAAAATGCGATTAATTAATTACAAAGCCTCTAATTAATTAGATTAATTTTTTTAATCGAGTCCCGGCCCTACTTTTAATATTATTCTAGTTTTCTATCTGTTTTTAAATCTCTTTTTGTATACACCACGACGTGGAGTCAAATTCCTCGTACGTGTCAACCTACCTGGTGATAAACCTGATTGTGATTTAACCCTCTTCCTTCTGACCCTCAGAGCACAGTTCACGCCATCACCGCCACCCAGAAGACGGTGGACGGGCCCTCCGGTAAACTGTGGAGGGACGGCCGCGGAGCGAGTCAGAACATCATCCCCGCCTCCACCGGCGCCGCCAAGGCCGTCGGGAAGGTCATCCCTGAGCTCAACGGGTCAGTTTATTTGTTTATAGCAGGGGGTCCAAACTTTTCTCTCCGAGGGCCAAATAGAGAAAAATATACTAAGGGCTGGGAACTAGAGATTTATTGCCTCATCAGTTAAGTTGGCAAAATCAATCAAATGTAGGTAAGTAATGCTTGATACTTGAACAAAATCACAGCGTTCCATACGGTTTAATTTTTCTTTTATTAAAACATGAATACTGTGTATATTTGTACATGTTTAAGAAGTACAATATATAAAACAAGGCTCATTTGCGGGCCATATTACATTATACTTTTTGAACTTGCTGAGGTTCGATTTAAAATGGCCTGCGGGCCGCATTTGGCCCCCGGGCCGTAGTTTGGACACCCCTGGTTTGTAGTGTCGTGGACAGTCCCCATTAATCAACTGTCACAAAGACAGTAAATGGGGCAGCTTTCGCCAACATTGCTAATTTCCAGCTGTTGCCAGATGATAATGGACACCCTTAAAATCACAATGCATGCAGGTGCAGGAACCCTTGCTCTATTGAGTGTTGTTGTATTAACCACTCGATGTGTAGAGTCTTTAGTTCTTGACCTAACCTATAGAACAGTATTTATTTTTGTTGGATTTAAAGAAATGTTATTGTTGCAGAGCTTTAAAAAAATAAAGACACCCCTTCCATTTGTAGTTAATTGGGTCATATTCTTTTACCAATCCCTTGTAATATGTTTCAAAATGTCTATTATAGGAATGTTATTTAACTGTCGGTTTGTGTTTTACAGTAAGATTACCGGCATGGCTTTCCGTGTCCCGACCCCCAACGTGTCCGTGGTTGACCTGACCGTCCGTCTGGAGAAACCCGTGAGTGATTACACACGTTCATGACCTTTAAACAAACTCAAATTAACTGTATATCTGGTTATTTGATTTTTATCCTACTGTCCACACATGTAATGAAAATAACCAAACAAGCAATGACTATTCCCTTAAAGCAAGTATTTTGCATATAGACTACGGTGCTCATGTAATTTTATTTTGAGCAAATCTCCTATAACCAGTTCTTCTGACATGAATCTGTATTAATTGTTGAAAATAGTCTCCAACAAGTCTATCATTTACACTAGTTGGACTAATACTTGCTTACAATTGTTCACAAAATGTCATCAAAGTACTCCCCCTTGCTTCATGTTGTAGTAAAACATACCTTGCCAACTGCCAAACAACAGAGATATATATACACACACACACACACACACACACACACACACACACACACGGGCATGTGTTGTATATGTACAATAACATATTTTCTTTTTTTAACAGGCCAAATACGAAGACATCAAGAAGGTTGTGAAGGCCGCAGCTGATGGACCCATGAAGGGCATTCTGGGATACACAGAGGACCAGGTATGTGTTTCTCTCTCTATAAATGATACTTTAAAACTGCGTTTGGATCAATATTCTTTAAACGTTAACTCCCCTCTTCCTCCAGGTCGTCTCCACAGACTTCAACGGTGACCTCCACTCCTCCATCTTTGATGCTGGCGCTGGCATCGCCCTCAACGACCACTTCGTCAAGCTGGTCGCATGGTACGTGTCGTCGCTCTCTATTTAAGCCACTATAGACGCCTTTTTTAAATGGAAATGTTCAAAGAGTTATCTTTCAAGTTATTAATGTCACTCGCCGTGGTGACGACTTGTGAGGCTGGCTTGATGTTATGCAGCTCGTACGGTTAATACAAATAAAATAGTTGCCAAACACATTCAAAAGGCAAAACACCCATATAATGAAAAGCAAACTTAGAGAGTCGTTCTTTCTGTGAGATGATAACGTTGAGAAGTGTAATGGTTAGGAACTTCGTTTGCATCTACCAGATACTGTAGGCTTGCCCATATCTGTGTTTCTTTCTGGAGTGGTGCATTGATGTGTTTTTAGACCGGCACAGAAGTTTGCAATAGGATTTTTCATTGTATTATGGAAATGATGATTCTTGCATGTTTCATTCAGCAGAAAAGGCTCCACTTTTGAACACCGCTTTATGATATTTGAAGGCTAAATACAATCACCAGTACAAATATAATGTTAGGCTATAAACAAACCACAACACGGTCACATGATTCACGTCACCACCGCTAAGCTAAAGGCGGCTAATGTTTGGCGTGACGGAACGTAGCAGTCTCAACAGTTGTTTCTAAGACGCACAAAAAGCTTCACACACTGAACACTTCTTCAAATTGTGTTTAAAAACAGATGTTATTTCAGGCCTAACCACACACTCGTAAAAAAAATAAAACCTATGACGTCGAGACAAAGGAACAGGAAGTTGTAAAATGCTGACTCATTGTTTAAGGACTCATTCCTGCACCGCTCTATACCCTGGCGCCTTGGGAATTGTAGTCTTATACTCCATTGCCAGTTAATTGCGTTTACCAACCTTTTCTCCACGAAACCGGGAAAAGAACTGTCTCTAACCTTCAGCACAACTTCATAACCCAATATCTATTTCCAGCTGCATTTTGACTCGTTTTTGTTTCTTCCTGACCAGGTACGACAACGAGTTCGCCTACAGCAACCGTGTGTGTGACCTGATGGCTCACATGTCCACCAAGGAGTAAAGAAACATCTGTTGCTCATCACTGCACTACCCCCCCCACGTCGCCTGACACCAGAGTTATACATGCACAATGATGCGTTGTGTCTTTATGACTGGTTCCTTCAAAAACAGCAAACCCCCATCTGATGCCTGAGGAAAGGTCCCACAGAGGGAAGATGAAAAAGATTCAAATTGGTGACCAATTACTTTTTTGTATGTGTTAAATTCCCTGTTCTGTTCTTGTGTGAGATGAAGTGAGAGTGTCTGTCTGCGGCGCTTCTTCGGTGCTGCACTCAGTGGTGAAATAAAAAGTCCCGTTTGTGAGAATCCCTCGCCTCTTTTCTCATCACTGCACATCTTAAAAAAAACATCCACCACCGGGATAATGCTGATATCGGCAGATGGGTTTCTATATGGGTCAGTGACTTTAGCAAACCCTATCGATGCATCTCATTGAGGGAAGACATTGACGGCTCCTAATTTGGGCAACAACCCATTCTTGCGCAACAACATTGCTAAAGCGGTCACATGAGCCATTCTTAAAGACAATTGTGCTGAAGTCCTGTTCAATACATAGAGTATTGGACAAAAGCTCACTAAAATGGTTCAATATGATTGTTTTATCAATGACTCTTGCGTGTGATTTTCTCTCTGAAGTGTCAAATTATTTAAAATGTTTCTTTCAAATTTCCTCCCTAATTGATCAGTCTCGGTCACTTGTCGGAGTCAGCTGCTCGTCAACACAAAGTATTAGCTTACATGACGCCACATATTTATACAGGAATATGCTTAATAAAGGGAATAGTGTATAGGAAGTTTAATGTTTAACTAAACCTATATAAGCTATGTGTTCTGCCCTCCTGCTTCTACCAATTGGGTTTTCTGGTAACTGGTGTATCAATTCTGTCTTGAAATACAATTTGAAAACTTAATCAATTCTCTTTTAAATGGTTCACCAAGTGTGAGAATATCGATAGCTTTAAAGCAATGTTTTCCCTGTCAGATCAAGACCGATGGGATTATTGATCGCTCCAATTACACCCTCCAACAGGTGCCTTTTTATATAAATATTTTAGCAGCCATTACAAATGAAAGAGATCAGAAATACAAACTGAAATAATGGATGTTACTTTAATTGGTGACAAGGAGAAGATCGATCATGCATCACGGTTCACTTTCAGCCACTAATGCCCTTTAATCTAACAGCCACTGGATCAGATCGCATGTTTTACACACAGATGATTGCAATATATTCAAATGTCTTCACAGAGACGATATGGAGATATAAGGTGGGACAGAGATCAAGGATCCTTAAGCTCCCCCCCCCCCCCCAAACATTTGTCTCCCTCTCTCTGTTTGTGTGTGTCTCCTGCTGATCATTTCCAAACCACATTGTCAACAGCAGATGTTTCTCTCCTGATAATTACCACATGGATTTACAGAGAAAGCGTTCAGAATGAGACGAAAATAAATACGATGCAATCTTTGCATTAAATTCCCGCTGAGAGACCGAAGAGGCGGACAACTGGAGGAGAGGAAGGTGAGCTGGGATGCTTTTGAATGTATCGACAGGTTTCCAGCAGGTTAGCGTATCAAGGATGGAGAGAATATGCCGATGGAAAGTTTACAAATATATATCTTTGGAGGGATTTTAGTCACTTTTTCATTTTTCATGATATAACTGTCAATTGAGTTTTTTTATTGTTGAGTTTTTGACCCTTTTGACCCTCATGACTCTCAGCTGACTGCCTTCCGGGAGAAACTCCTGCCAAGTAATTGAGAAAAGGGTCTTTGCTTCCCCCCTGCTTTTTACACAATTGGTCGTAAACAAACCTTTACTTATTAATAATAAGTTTATAGACCCTCAGATGTTTAAGTCACAGAAAAGTGTCAGGGAATAATTGGCCCTGCATGTCCTCCTCCTTCGTCCTCTCTGACGCATCTAGATGCCCAACCACTATCTACCACCAGTGTAGCACCCTTGAAAAACATCATTTCTGAGTTTTGACCATTTTAAATGCTTTATATATAATATGTAAAAATGTTTATATGTCTGCAATATGGACATTAGAGTTTAAGTATACATTCAGATCTAAATGAGGAAAATCACTGAATTAGAGGGTAATCAAAGAATAGTAAACTTTATGATAATCGAAGGATCCAATGTGTTTTTAAACGGAGCAGAAATATAACTAGCCCCCACTTCAAGTATCTTGGAGTCATAATGGACTCGAACTTGACTTTTAAGAAACGTAAGAAAGTATCCAATACCATTAAATTCAACTTGCAAAATGTTAAACAAATGAGACCTTTCTTAACTGTCAATGCTGCAAAGTCAGACCTCCATTGTGTGATTCTATCCCACATTGAATACTGTTTGACAAACTGGTCGTTTGCTTGTGCCACAAACCTGAAACCCATAGAACAGCTAAGAGAGCTATCCAGGTGTTTGACAGAAAGCCACATTCATACCACCACTGTACCATCCTAGAGAAAAACAAGGTGTCTTGAGTTTTGACAATTTTAAGTCTTTTAAAAGTATGTGCTTTATTTATAAATGTTTACATGGACTGCCCCCCCCCCACCCCCCCCCCCCCCCCCCCCCCCCCCCCCCCCCCCCTTAGGGGAATTCATCCACAAGAAACACACTGGATGCTGCACTAGGTCAGAAACCAGAGGAGACTGTGAAGTCCACCGCAGACGGACCACTTTTGGACAAAATGTCCTCTCCGTTAAAGGCAGCTCTTTGTGGAATAGCCTCCCAACTCAGATACTGGATTGTCCCACTCTTTAAAAGTCAACTCAAAGAATGGTTGAGAAACAAACAGACGTGCGATCACCGCTAAATGCACTTTAACACAGGGGCATCTCCTCCTGCACTTTAGGTAGCTCTTGTATCTTCTCTTGCACTTAATATATCGTTGCTGCAGTATATTGTATTACCATGTGGTAAATGCTGATGTGCTGCTCAGGCTCTTTTGCACTTTTTGCATATCATGTATTTGTTCTTAAATGTGTTATGTGAGGGACTGCGGATGGAAAGTAGCTCAAAGCTAAATCCGGCATATTGACGCTTGGCACATTTATTGTTTTAAGCGTTCATTAATGTGAACTGTCCCTGCCAAATAAACGATTAAAATAAATTAAATTAAATAAGGAGGGGCTGCCCTAGCATTTTGTTGTTGTTACCAGTTTGTGACCGGGCAACTCTCGATCAGAGATAGTTATGGTTGTGGGACACCTGGAACACATCCTTCTCGGGGCGTAGATAACCCCAAGCCATAACAACAACAACAACAACAACAACAACAACAACAACAACAACAACAACAACAACAACAACAACTGTGATTCAGTGTCCTCAGCTGTTTAGTCTATCTATTGAAGAATGAACTAGTTAAAACCTTAACCTCCTACCAGAGGAAGGTTTCTTCAGAATTGATTGTGGCATCTCTGCCCTGTGGTCAACTCGTGGCCCCGTGACATATCTTGTGAATTCTCCGGCCGAAGCTCCAAATAAACCGTCAGTGTTTGCCATCAAAGCTCCGGCTCTCCTCGTGTCTCCTGTTTCCAATTGCTTCAGAAGTTTCCCCCACAAAAAGAGATTTTGTATTCTAGTTGTATTCTTCAACTGGGTTTTCCCTGCGTAACCCGTAACCAAAAACTAGCAGCCTCGAAATTTCCCGCAACGAAGGACGCCAGCCTCGGTAGAATTCCAAGCATCCTCTGGACATTGGAACAGTCCTTCGGCGGGACTCGATTACGTAGCATCCTTGAAACAGTGTCAGCCTTCCTCGACATTGAGAAACACCCACTGTCATCACGTTGTTATTATTTATTCATTTATAATGCTCTATTGGGAGACAAAGCACCTCAGGCCCAATTTTATTATGATTGAACTCAAGGAGAGGACAATCTGTTTTATTTTAGCTAAAATAATAAGAAAACAAAATAAAGAATATGTATATAATATGTACATCACTGTCCCTCTCTCACCATGCTGATTTAAAACGCCCATTGTTGTCTTAAAAGGGATGTTTAAAATGAGGTTCTGCCCTTCTGTAATTTCTGTCTGCAGATTAGAAGCAGTTTAGAGAAATCTCTTTCTAAAACCAAACCCAGAACAGAACTCTCAGGCCTGTGCTGCCTCCTCGTCATGACAAACATTACCTCAGCATGCTGCTAATCCTTCCTGTCAGAGAGTCAAAGTATTTCACTCTCAGTGTTCCTGTGGTCACTGGCTCTCCTCTCTGCAGGCTGTAGGGGGTCGCTGAGGTGCATCATGGGAGGAAATGTCTCCCCGAGGGGCTCCTGGTTCGTCCTCTCGTCCGTCCACCCGCTGTTCGTCTCCCAGCTGTCCCCGAGCACTGACAGCCTCATCGCTGTCTTCCTCACCTTCACATGTAAGCAAGCTCTCAGAGGACACTTTATTTATAGTTTTTTCCCACACATAACACAATAACAGGAGAACATACAGAGTACACATGCAGGTGCTGTATACAAATTACAAAACAATGATAATAAAGCGATGTCCAGACATTAACCAGTTCAAGAGGAAATACAGAGAAATGATTTTCTCGAGGTACAGGGGTGGGGAAGGTGTTTGACTATGTGTATATGTGTGAGTATGTGTGTATATGTGCATATATGTATATATGTGTATGTGTGTATGTACATACGTGTATATGTATATATGTCAATCAACAAGTAAAGCAGATTAATAATAACAATAATAATTAATAATAATGATAATTATTGCAGATTATAGATTATAAATAAATCATTTAGGGACAAGGGGGTGAGATTAAATACATTATACTTCTTCTCACTCCTTTTCAAACACTAGATGTGGGACTGTTTATGTTGCTAATGCTGTTGTTGTTGTTGTAAATGTCATTTTTTGTTTTGATTTCTCTTACATGACTATGCACTGCAACATTTTTGTTGTTTTGTAATTATTTATTTTACTTGTTCGAAATAAAATGTATCAATCAATCAATCAATCAATCAATCAATCAATCAATCAATCAATCAATCAATCAACAATAACATAAAAAGACTATTACAGTAATAGCAATGAAAACAAAAATACACAATGACATGATAAGACAGAAACAGAAAACCCCTAAGACCAGACCCTCCAGACGGGGCCACACTGCGCAGTAATCGTCAACAAAGGAGAAAGAAAGATTCAACTTGCCTCAGCAAATGCATTTGTATTTTCAGAGGACACTTTTATCAGTATGACAATCTCAGGTTTGTTAGTCACCAATCATTTACATTTTCTTTAGCCCACGACTTCAAAAGTGATCAGGAAATTATGAGATGAAACAGGATTATGTGGACAGACTAATACATGCTTAATTTATAGTAAACCATTTTGTCAGAACTAGGTCGAGGGAGTGATTAAAACAGTGGGTTGGTTTATCTACATCTTGACTGAATTGAAACGAATCTATTAAAGGGGTAAAAGTAATATTAATATTGACCACAGGGGCGGACTGGGACAAAACATCTGCCCGGGACTCTCGAACGGCCCACTTCGGTACCGTCGGCCCACCTCGGTACCCCAAGTAAATACCGCTAGTAAATTGTCAACGTCCCGAACGTCCCGATGGCCAGTCCGCCACTGAGTAACCACCATTTCGGAGCCAGGATGAAAACGAGAGTGTATGGTTTAACCATTTATGATATACAGTGAATTATTTCTGCACTTTATTTTGTTGTTATTTTATGTATGTATGAATGCTGTTTGTCTTTGTTGTATGTTGTCTTTTCTGAATGTTTTGATGGCACCTTAAAGGGAGTAGCTTTACTATTCTCGTTGTACTTGTATAATGATAATAAATGCTTCTGATCTATTCTATTCTGTAAACACTTGAAAGGAATGATTGAGACAATAAACCCATAGACATTAGAGAGAATGCAAATCTCTGGTGCTTTGAGCCTGAGTGTAATTTAAGTATAATGGATATGAGAAGTGTTTTTCCTTCCAGCAATCAACACAAAAGACAGAATCGTAAACAAATCTTATTAAAAAAGACAGTTCAAGCCGTATAAATCGATACATTAATTCACTAAAATAGTCTTTGCTTCTGAATCCACAACATTTGGATTTTGCACAACCCTTTGATGGAGCTGCAGATGCTCTCCTCTGCTCAGTGGGATGGTAATTAGTTTTTTGTCTGGGCTTATTGGCTTTCTGTAGAGCAGAGGCAGATTGGCATCAGTGCTCATTTGTGAATGTGTGTGATCAAGAGAGGAATACAGGTGAATTGGTGTATTGATCAACTCTGAAGCCTGTTGGTCTTACTCACGTCAAGAAACCTCCATGCACAATAAGTATGTCTAGGATTTAAAGCGCAGATTTGAAGCCAATCCTTTTCGTCACTAAATCCTCTATTTCAATTGCACCATTATGTCTCTTGCAATATTGAATTGGACTATTTTATTTAATTTCTTCTTTTTTTGTCTTAACTATGTCTGGGACTCAAGATGTTCATAGCTATTTTGCATATGAGAATAAAGCCTTTGAATCTTTCTCCAGGTGTCACGTCAGTGGTGGGGAACGGCACGTCGTTGTTGATGTTCTGCAGGAGACGAAAGAAGCTCAGACCTCCAGAGCTCATGATCATCAACCTGGCTCTCTGCGATTTAGGCTTCAGCCTCTTGGGAGCGCCGTTTTTCATCATTTCCAGGTACAGAAAAACATTGTGATCGACTCCTCAGTGGCCAGGCAAAGCTCCAGATTGATGATACAATGAAAGAGGCCAGTGTGTGTGTACTGGGTTTTGATGATCTCACAAACAGATCAGCGGTTCTGTATAAAACTGCAAACAACTGGGTCCACCTGGCTGGTCTCTGGCTTTTTTACTAATGATATGAAGACTGTGTAAATGCTACTGAAACATGCACACACTCACTGTGAAACTAAAACAGCAGCATTAAGAACACATCCCAAATGAGGACTGCGCCACTAATATGAATAAAACCAAGGCCATCTTCTGTTTATGGAAAGCCAACGGTGTCATTAAACCCCACATGTTTAAAACTAAAACTCCATAAATAAACAAACGTGTGGAAATAGTGTTGTTTAATGGCACTATCGGCCTTCTATACGTAGACATTTGTCAGAGGCATATGAGGAGGATCCAGTATGAATCTAAAGCCCTTCAATGTGGTAATAATAATATATATTGTAAATGCTTTATGTTTAGTCTCTTATGTTTGTCTGGGCTCCTATGCTTAAGCTTCGGATAGTTTCACATATCTCCATTGTGTCTCATGATTGTACTTGTATTTTGGCAACTGTGGCTGTGAGGGAGTGCGGTCGTCTTTAAAACCAGAAGGTTGTTGGTTCGATCCCAGCCAATGCAGTCAACATGTCGATGTATCCTTGGGCAAGATACTTAGCTGACGCTTTTATCCAAAGCGACTTACAATAAGTGCGTTCGACCAAGAAGACACAACCTTGAAGAAAACAGAATCATATAAGTACATCAGGTTTCATAGAGCAAAAACATTTCAAGTGCTACTCAACTGGCTTTAGATAAGCCAGCCCTTTATTATTATATAAGTGCTTTGTTAGTAATTCTATCGCTCGAAGTGGAGTCGAAAGAGATGAGTTTTCAGTCTGCGCCGGAAGGTGTGTAAGCTATCTGCTGTCCTGATGTCAATGGGGAGCTCATTCCACCATTTTGGAGCCAGGATAGCAAACCCACGTGTTTTTGATGACGGGAACTTGGGTCCCCCTCGCAGCGAGGGTGCAGCGAGTCGTTTGGCTGATGCAGAGCGTAGTGCACGCGCTGGGGTGTACGGTTTAACCATGTCCTGGATGTAGGAAGGGCCAGATCCATTCGCTGCATGGTACGCAAGTACCAGTGTCTTGAAGTGGATTCTAGCAGTTACCGGAAGCCAGTGAAGGGAGCGGAGGAGCGGCGTGGTGTGGGAAAATGTTGGAAGGTTGAAGACCAGACGAGCCGCTGCATTCTGGATGAGCTGCAGAGGTCGGATGGCACATGCAGGTAGACCAGCCAGGAGGGAGTTGCAGTAGTCTAGGCGTGAGATGACGAGAGCCTGGACCAGAACCTGCGTTGCTTTCTGGGTCAGCTGGGGACGTATCTTCCTGATGTTGTAAAGCATGTATCTGCAGCAACGGATTGTAGCAGCGATGTTTGCAGTGAAGGACAGGTTGTTATCTAGGGTCACACCCAGATTCCTTGCAGTCTGAGTCGGGGAAACAACAGAGGGGCCGATGTTGATTGTCAGGTCAAGAGTGGGACCATCTTTTCCAGGAAGGAAAAGCAGTTCAGTCTTGTCAAGGTTGAGTGTGAGGTGGCGAGCAGACATCCACTGAGAGATGAATTTATGAATGAGGTTTGAAAGGGTGAATGATGACATGTAGTATGTAAAGCGCTTTGAGGGGTCGTAAAGAATGGATAAAGCGCTATATAAGTACAGTCCATTTACCGTTTATCATTTTAAGACTGTGAATACATTGAGTTGATTTCTGTCTCTTTCAGCTGGAGTCATGCCTGGGTGTTTGGCGACACCGGCTGCCTCTTGTACGGCATTCAGGGTTTTCTGTTCGGCATCGGCTCGCTGCTCACCACCTGCCTCATCTCTCTGGACCGCTGCCTGAAGATCTGCTGCTTAAGATACGGCAAGTCTCAGATATTAACATGCACAACTCCAATAAAGACACGTACGAGGAATTTGACTTGATGTCGTGGTGCATACATAAAAGTAAAAGAACAATTAAAAACACAGAAAATAAATAATAAAAAGTATAGTAAAATATAACAGTACTTACATAGAAATAGAATGGAATAAAATGGCTCTTAAACAAACCTCACTTACACAATATACTGTATAGCCTACTCAAGTCATTTAGACCCTACAGGTCCGCTGCAACTCTTAATACTTTTAAATCCAGACTAAAAACGTATATTTTTGTCGCTGCATTTGAGTGAGCTGTTCATATCCACACTGCAGTATGGTTTTTATTCATGTATTCTGTATCTGTTGTGTTTAATTTATTATCCTTGCTTTTTAATACCTGTTTTTAAATGCCATTTTATAATGTGTTTCTGCTGTATTTATTCTTAAATGTCTTTTATTTTAATTTGTAAAGCACTTTGAATTGCCGTGTGCTGAAAGGTGCTATATAAATAGACTTGCCTGGCCTTGCCTAAAGGTCAACTAAAATCCACTGAAGTTTAAAAAAAATGATTGAAATGTCAAGTAGTGTCTCATTAGTCTCAAACATGACCTTTACTGGTCCAACTTAGTTCATTAAGTGGTTTCTTGCTTCTTTGCCATGCAGGTCAATGGATTGAGAGGCGCCACGTGTTACTGTCCTTAGCGCTGTTGTGGGTGTACACGAGTTTCTGGGCCGTCTTGCCTGCTTTTGGCTTTGGTAGTTATGGACCAGAGCCTTATGGGACCAGCTGCACAATAAACTGGTAATTTAAATGTATGCTTATTCTCAGGTTCATATCTGTATTTTGTGCCTCTACCGTTTCCATGCTTTAATGTTCAAAAAGCTCTTTATTTTTCTCCTACTGCCTGTGCTGCAGCTCCTCTTTAAACCCTCTGTCTGAAACCAGAGCCCAGTCTGCTCTGATTGTGATTGGTCAACCTCTTAGAGATGTCATATACAGATATCAGGTACAATGTGTTGGAGCGCTAGCCAATAGGAGCGCGAGTGTTACATAGTGATGTCCCATGTTACGGAAGTAAACAAAGGAGTCCAATGGAGGCGTTTTACTTCTTACCTCACCGAACAAAAGTATTTTTTTTTTGGAGATTTAAACATATAAGATTAGCACAGGGCAAGAAAGCCAACATTTTAGCAGACAAACATGTTAGCAATAACTGATCTAACTTGTGTTTCTGTTTCAAGGTGGAGAATAAAGACGTCTCTAAATGACAGAATCTATATTTTCCTCATCATGATGTTATGCTTTGGATTTCCTGCACTCATTATCGTCGCTTCATATGTGATCATCCTGCGGAAGGTGAGGAAAATTGCCCGTGGTGCAGTGATGATGTATTTTTGCAGGCCGACCCAGAAGTTAGCATGGTGAGGGCTCTCTTCACAAAAGGTTATGTATTTTTCTCGTGGGGTATTGCAGAAAATAAGCTCTGTAACAAACGTTAATTTGCACTTGATACTAACCTGTTTGTTCCGCAGGATAATATCCACATTTTCAAGGTCACCTATCACGCTATTTTTAGGTAATAGCATAGGTCTCAGATATATAAAAAATATATAAAAAACATGTCTATGAAGTGTTTTGCTCAAAATACCAAACAGATCACCCATTCCAGCCGTGCCTCATATCCCTCTATTTCACTTCCTGTTTCAAACGTGCTGATTCTGGGTATAAACAGGTCTCTCTTGAGAATGAGACCCTGTGTCTCATTTAGATGTTCACCTGTATAAATAAAGGCAGAAAAAAGAATAAAGCGGTTTTTTTTTTAAAACTGAAAAAATATAAAATAAGAGGAGGTGGAGCTTATGCCTGCTCATGCGGGACCTGGCAGATAGGGGCCGTTTCTCAATCGCGAGGATGCTTGCTTGGTAGCACATGTCTTCCGAGTCACTTCCTTCAGAAGCTAGGCAAGAATCCTTCCTGGCAATCGGAAAACGAAGAGTGGAACAGGCTAGCAAGTGTGCAGGTGTGCGTCATATGAGAGGCCCCGCCTTACATTTTCCGCCACAGATTTGGGGAAATTGGTCCGTGCGCAAAGCATTGTGGGGATTTGAAGGACGCAAAGTCTACCCATGTGCAGCCTCGAAATTACCCCCAAACCAAGGACGCGGCCTCGGTGGAATTCCAAGTATGCTGGAGATTGGAACAGTCCTTCGGCGGCACTCGATGATGTAGTATTCTTGAAATATTGGCTTGGAAGCCAGTTTCCTCGCGATTGAGAAACAGCCACTGTCTAAAATGCTGCGGTGATGAAACGCAAGGCTTATTAGATCATGGATTATTAGATCAAGGATTGTTTCTGAAACAGTATGGAGCTCAAAGGCTTTCTCTCTTTCCGGTTATACCACAAGGTGAGTTCCTTTTTACTTCCTGCTTCTTCACACACATGCTCTCCAGTACAGGTTAGCTCTGAGTGTTAGCAATGCTAATGTAAACACCGACCATATTACGTCCAAAACAGTCGGGCATTGTTTCTGATAGCAACTTTCTGATAGGGCCGTGGGTCCACATTTCAGATATGACGTCATATCGGACGCAAATCTGGATCAGCTCCGTTGTTCCCCCGTTTTTAGAGATTTGGGTACGGAGGAAAAGAGAGAGGGTTTTATTTTCTGACGCTGCGTGAGTTCCCTGACTCACCGGGTCACATCTTTATGTATAAAATACATCAAAAAGGGAATTTTGCATGATAGGTCCTCTTTAATGCTACTTATTGATTTTTTTAAGCGTCAATGAAATCCCCAGAGGGAAAAGAGCTAACGTCAGCATTGCTAAGCTAAAGGTGGCTAATGTTTAGTGTGACGTTTTGTCGTTTAATTTAGTCACTTGTTAGGAACTGCCTTTTCAGTGACACATAGTAGCGTCAATCATTCACCATTGGGGTATTTATTAACTGACGTATTTTATCTAACCTTTGTAGTGCCGAGAGATAGGGAGTCTGAGGTGGTGCAAGGAAGGTGCAAAAGGGTACTTTATTGGAGAGCAACTAAGGTCATGTTGTCCGGTTGCAGCCCGGAAGAAGAGAGTAAAGAGAGGAGGGCACACAACATATATAGTAAAACACATAACATGTCCGTGTGGGAACAATACCCCCAACTGTAGTTCCATGTATGAATTATGAACCCAGTGTATAAATAGGTGGTCACCACACAAGCCCCCCCAGAATTCAAACATGGCAAAAAATCCTCGCGTCCCTGGAGGAAGCACCACAGGGGCCGAGGAGGGTGGGGTCACAGGTGAGGGCCGGGCCATGGAACGGGCCGACGAAAGGGGGCCGCAACGAAGGCGAGGGCAACCCCACCGGGGGCGGGCCGCAGTAGGTGTTGTGGCGAATGAAGTCCCCGGAAGGAAGGAGCAGTCATCCCGGGAGGAAAGAGCGCAACCCGGCCGCAGGCAGGCAGGCAGACGCGCAGCGGCGGCGGGCACGAAGTCCTCAGCAGGCGTTGAGGTATCCCCGGGAGGCAGGAGCAGTCTCTCCGGGAGGAAGGAACCATGGACAGATGAGAGGCCAGACAGGGTCCCGGAGCGCGCCACCCATGGGCCGATGGAGCATGGGCGACGTCCGGAACTGTCGAGGCGAGACGAGGTCCAGGAGTGCGCCACCCAGGCGCCGATGAAAACGTGAGTGGCGTCTGGAACCGCCGTCGAGGTGGTGAAAAAGGTGAGAGTGTCCACACGAGGTGAACCGGCTGGTCGAACCTCCTCTCCGGCACCGGAAAAGATTGTTAACAGTCAGATGTTAACAGAAATACGTCGACAGCCGTTAGCCGCTAGCTGGCAGCCATGGGTAGCTGCTAGCCGTCGTTAGCCCCTCGTGGTTAGCCGCTAGTCGTCGTCAGCTAGCGCAGCCGGGACGTGCAGCCGCACGCCCCGAAGAAACAAGCCTGCGAGGTAGCAATCGGGTTGCTGGTCGACCCAGCAGGTCGTGCATCGTCCCCCTGTTGGATGGAAGGCTGATGCGGGAATGGCGAGCAACGTCCCCAGCTCTTCTGCGGGGCGCGCACCGAGCCTCAGTCCGCGTGCCGGTGGCAGCCACGGACGATTCCAAAAAATCCCCGGCATTTCGAGAAAAAAACTTGCGTTCTTTTTGCCGTGTTCGGGTCCGTCCCGGAAACTTCTCGAGACGTGTCGGGGTCACCAGTGTAGTGCCGAGAGATAGGGACTCTGAGGCGGTGCAAGGAAGGTGCAAAAGGGTACTTTATTGGAGAGCAACTAAGGTCATGTTGTCCGGTTGCAGTCCGGGAAGAAGAGAGTGAAGAGAGGAGGGCACACAACATATATAGTAAAACACATAACATGTCCGTGTGGGAACAATACCCCCAACTGTAGTTCCATGTATGAATTATGAACCCAGTGTATAAATAGGTGGTCACCACACCTTTAAAAAAAACATTGACTTGGACTTAAGAGCTAAAATGCTCACTTATTTCCGAGCTAAGGACTCAATTTCTTCACCTCTCTTTGCAGATGACTTCATGTGTCTCTGCCTGGCTAAACTTTACCTATCTTCAAACGCTTATTCAATCTGGGTGCATACTCATTAGATTGGGCTTTGACTTAATTGAGGATATAATATTTTTGTTGGAGCTTTTCACTCAGGCTGTGTATACAAAAGTGATGCTACCAACACGCATGCACAGACTGTGAAACCTAATTATGTTTTAAGCTTTTGTTAATCAGACCTTATTTTATGCTTCTAACCAAAAAAGGGAACCTAGAGTGTAAATGATAACTAATTTCCGGGTTTTAGGACTCATTCCTGCACCACTGTGTGTGAAGAATGTGAACATAGGAACTCTGGCACCACCTCGTGTTAGTTTCAAGACGGAGATATAAATATATGACCCCAACATCCTCGGGGACACAACACGGGATTCCCAAATAAACCAAACATAAAAAGTCCATTGACCGAGACGCCCGGGGCCTTAAAAAGCTTTAAGATTAATGAGCTGTCATTTTTGTTTGTGCTAGTTTTAAGTATCCCCGCCAGCATTTTTAGAGCAAATAATACTGCTTTTGTTTCACGGTTTTGAAACCCCATTGCTATATTCTTTACGATTGTATAACTATTATTCAAGTTTATCCAGTTTATTTTTGCTTTACACAGACCTGTAAAGAGCTGTTACAACGCAGGTCTCCAGAGGGAATATGAGCTTCATAGAGCCTCTTAGTGTTCATCATTAAAGTTGTTTTTCATAGGACCCCTGAGGCTCTAATAGGGAGTGTGTGACCCCTAGGGGTTTCTGTAAGTAACTGCAGGGGGGGGGGGCAGCCAAATTACAGTTTCAGATTACTCATACATAAAATGGAAATTGGGCATACGAAACAACTCTCACCATACACCGCACAACATACAGTAGTTCACACACAATACACGACAAGTATATACCCTAAAGTCTAAAAGGGCAAAGTGGATGGGTCTTTGCAAGAAGTCCATTCAAATTGTCAAATTAAAATGTTTGTTTTCTGTATGTTGCTGTAGCTATGTTTGTCTTTGTAGTTGTCATTTGCTCTGTCACAGTTGTTTGTGATGTGTGTTGGTATCCTGTTGAAATTGAAATCTCAAGGTTTTTTAAAATACATTTGAGTAACTGCGTCTGTTTCCAGGTTTACAGATCCAATCGCACTCTGGCATCTATACCGTCCGCCTCCGTCTCTCACAGTGGCAAAGACCTGAGACTTGCAAAGGTAAACCACTAAATATTTTTCAATATGATATATTTTACTTTAACTTTTAATTAAAAGCTACTCTGCACTATGCTTAAATATTTATGTTAGCAGATTGGTATATTAGAGAGTATTCTTATTCATTATATATATTTTTATAGTGTGCAGTATATCCTCTTCTGAATATATGTATTTTCTACTGAGAATATATTGTTTTTACATTTTAAGGTTTATTTGTATTTTATTCTTTTTTTTATTATTGTACATTCACTGGGAAAATGCTGCTCCGACAAAACAATTCCTTAACTTGGGATAAATAAAGTATCTACCTACCTACCTATCTACGCACTTAGGCACATCAACAAAATTACACACTTAAAAAAATACGAAACAGTTTTAATTGACCTTTTATTATTGCTGGATATTATAACATGTTCTCAAATGAATCTGTGTGTGTTTTTCAGATGGCGGCGGTGGTGTGTGCCTCCTTCCTCATAGCCTGGATGCCGTACGCCACCATTTCTCTGATCTCTGCACTCATTCCCAGTGAGGACCAGGAGGCGTCTCTACACTCTGTGGTGGAGGAGTCGAGCTCTGCGAATCCCCCAAAGACCCTGGACATCCCCTCGCTGCTCAACTGGACAGCTACAGAATATTACAGACACATTTACTACAACCCTGAGAGCAGGTGGAGCGGCGTGGAGATGAATTCAGCCTCCATCACCTCCCAGAGTGAACCCAGCAGCCCCAGGTCCGCCTTCTCTCCTTTAGTCAGCTTAATCCCTGCCATGCTTGCAAAGTCCCACACCATGCTCAACCCTCTGATCTACCACATCATGAACCGGGAGTTCAGGTACGACATGTACGCCATGATGTTCGGCCAGGTGAAGGCGGAGAAGAGGAAGATGTCCACGAATCTAGAGAGACACAGCAGAAATTTGAGCAAACAAAAGAGAAGGGAGAGTAAAAGTAAGGGGAGATTCAACTCCTGGGCAGATACTACCTCCTCGGGGGGGGGGGGGGGGGACACTAACGCCTTGGACACTGAAGGCCACGTGGACACTGCAGCATCGATGGGAGGACGATGAGGAGAGACCTGAGATGCTCCACATCCAGCACTGTGTGTGTGTGTGAGAGAGAGAGAGAGCGAGAGCGAGAGCGAGAGCGAGAGCGAGAGCGAGAGCGAGAGCGAGAGCGAGAGCGAGAGCGAGAGCGAGAGAGAGAGAGAGAGAGGCTACCATGAGTGTACAGAGCCTTATTTCTCGTGCTGAAACAACATTAATAAAGGATTTTCTTACCTTGTTGTCTTGTCAGTTGTATACACATGAACTGTTCCTTTAAACTAGCTAAACCAACTGCTGGATGTGGAGCTTCATGTTTGGGAAACCACATATATCTAAGAAATATCATGGAAAAGCAGCTCAAACTAGTTTTCTGCAGATGCAACATGTCGTTGATGATGCCCTCTAACAGCAACTCCAGGAGGGGGTCGAATTAGGCCAATGCTATTGTACTGAAACAACAAACAATCGATTCATCTGCTTATTAAAATGTTATTAAGTCGATCGGTGCAACTAGCTAAGCTAACTGGTGCTTAGTTTCAATTGTATCATCTACAAACTACACCTGTCAGATGTGGGAAGTAACTAAGAACATTCTGAGGTACTTGTAATTTACTTGATTATTTCCATTTCATGCTGCTTTGTACTTCTACTCCACTTCAATTCAGAGGTACATCGTGTACTTTTACTCCTCTACATTTATTCAACACCTTTAGTTACTTTACAGATTTGGATGTATGATGTGAAATATAATCAACTCTTAAATCAGACTTTAGTTCCACCTGGAGTGAATTCACAAGCTACCCTGCAGAACACAAAGTCATTCAAACTAGATGCACCTTTAACTGTGCATCAATAATTACAAAACATATCATATATATTATTCTGAAATGGACCAATCTGCACACTGACTACTTTTACTTTTGGTAATTTAAGTATATTTTTATGCTAATACTTTTGTACTTTTACTTGAGTAACATTTTGAATGCAGGACTTCTACTTATAACAGAGTATTCCTACACTCTGGTATTTATACTTTTACAGTACAATATCTAAGTACTTCTCCTATACCTCTGCACCCAGTCCCAGGGATACGACACAGATGGCTAAAAGATAAAAAGGATGCATCCTAAACCCATTATCATGTTAGCTGTACTTAAATGTCTGATCAATTTCCTGTTAATGAAATTACCCTAAACCAGATTGGGACAGTGAAAGTGGACATGTGGCAGGTCTGACAAAGCAGGTGATGTAATCCCGTTTTAAAAACATGAATTGAGCATTTTATCAATATTATTTTATGTGTATCGAAATCTGAACTCTTTCTTGTGCAAACAAATATATTGTTGTTTTGTTTGGTGCTGTTTTCAACATGAACCAAACAGCAGTGCCCCTCTGCTTGCGTCTTTACGGTACCGGGCTCTTCAATCTTGCAGTCTCGCTCCTGCCTGCGGTCACATCTTGTTGCCAGATCTTCCCTGACGCGGTGACACGGTGTTTCTGTGTTTCTATGCACGCTCTGCGTCATTTTCCTTCGTTTTAATCAAGTTTATTTTTGCAGAACAGCTCACCGAGGCGCAGCTCCGCATTTTGTGTCCTCGCCTCGCAGCACATTGGGAGTCGCTTTGGATGTTTGGCTGCGGCGGTGAGAGAAAACCCTGATCCATCTTAAGACCTCTCAGCTTTAACATTCTGATTTAGACTCGGTTATATAACCAGGTGCATACCGGTGTGTTGTGCGCCTCTCTTTCTGGTTCGTTCATTCCTCATCCTTTTTATTCTGCTGTAGCAAGACTATTCCCGTCCGTGTTCATGCCAGATCTGCAGCGCTTTAGTTTCCCTTACCATAGCATGAATCCTTTGTTGGAGGCGAACACGCATCTCCATCACCAGAGTGCAGCCCCCTCTCACCCGGACTCCCCCTCAGGCCTCCTGCCCGACACCCTGCTCGGTGGACCGGACGCGGCGTCCTTTCTGCTGGGGGATCATCCGGGGCCTGATCATCTGGGGCCTGACTTTACCGCACCCTCCTCTTACCTCCATCACAACAGCCTGTACCATCACCGCGCGGCACCGCACCCCCCCGCCGCCATGGCGCTCAGAAACGACCTGGGCTCCAACATCAGCGTCCTGAAGACCCTCAACCTGAGGTTCAGGTGCTTCCTGGCCAAAGTGCACGAGTTGGAGCGCAGGAATAAGATTTTAGAGAAGCAGCTGCAACAAGCACATGATGCCAACAAGGGCTGTCAGGGGGGGTGCTGTGACAGCAGGGGGTCTTCCCAGGAGGCGGGGGTGCAGACTGGGTTTGTGGGCTCCATCCCTCTGAGGCCCGGCTCTCTCCCCTTCCACAACACCAACAACTCAGCCAGGAGGCCTACAACACTGTTCACACCTACACACAACATCACCCTGCCATCTGAGAGCTTCACCTCCACCCAGAGTAATTACACTTCCTGTAACCCGGCCATCACCATCAGCCAGGCCTCGCCCTGTGTGGACTCCCCTGGATCCGGCTCTAAAAGTTTCTCCAGCACCGGCTCCGGCCCGGGGAGCACCACCAACCCTCCTCCACGCTTCCTGCCTGGCACCATCTGGTCCTACAACCACACCCGTAAGATGGGCCCCTCTGCAGGCCTGAGCAGCCCCGGGGTGTCCTGGGAGCAGCCGGATGGAGTCGGGGTCCAGATCGATACCATCACCCCCGAGATCAGAGCCCTGTACAATGTGCTGGCCAAGGTGAAGAGGGAGAGAGACGAGTATAAACGCAGGTAAATGGACTGAAATCCTTTTATTGCACAGTCAAAGTTGTCATCAATTTCTCTCTGTGTGTGTGTGTGTGTGTGTGTGTGTGTGTGTGTGTGTGTGTGTGTGTGTGTGTGTGTGTGTGTGTGTGTGTGTGTGTGTGTGTGTGTGTGTGTGTGTGTGTGTGTGATACAAACAGGGAGATATCAATTCAGTTTCTCACCATCCCCAAGAATAAGAATATTTAAAGATACATACACACCTGAATACCCACTTAAAAATAGATATATACACATACAGATATATATACACACATTAAGAGGTATAATATAAATAATGAAAAAAGAAGGCACAACAATACATAAAGCTTTCACACTTAAATGTGAACAGGACACAGGTGTAAGTCTAGTCTGGTAGACTCAAACAGATGAATATATGACAACAGTACACATATATACAAGTAGTGCACTAACAGGCCTACAGGGGCATTGTTGTCCCTGTGTAATGCTTCACTTTGAGCAGAGCTGTAAAGCAGCTGCAGACCAGCTGTCGCCAGCAGAGTCAGCACAAACTGCATCCATCCATCAGCTGCACCCTGCCTGCATCCATCACATTCATGTCTGAGCACAGAGGCTGCTGCTGCTGCTGGAAATAAACACCTCACACGCTAAATATAAAGAAGAATGAAGGTCAAAGCTTAGTAGGGATGATCATCACAAATGTTCACTTCAGAGAGCGTTAAGATCCCGACATAGTTGATATGGCTTTTATTTAAACGAGAGGTCACATTGAGATAAAAACCTTGAACAATGGAGACCCTGCCAAAACATGACAGGATGGAAAGAAGATCACATCCCGTCAGCAACAATAGAAACAACACAAAGACATGAGGGATTATCAACAGAGCAAGTTAGACGTGTTTGTTTATTAACGGAAGAACCTGCAGCTAGCAGCGACCACTTCCTATAGAGAGGCGAAGTCCCTCCCTTTCCGGGGGACCACTATAGGACCTTATTTTGGAAAAATCATGTATTGAAGTCAATGGAGAGAAAAAGATTATCTTTTGATCCCGTTTGAATTGTGCCACGAATTACACATATGATGTTTGTCAATTTAAAAGATAATTTTGCAAGTCAACATATTTAAAATGGGTCGTAAAACTGTGAAGTAACACTTTTTTTTGTGAGAAACCGCTCAATGAACTACAACTCTGGTCTTGCACACGTCACCAACAACCAAGATGGCCGTCACGTTGGCACTTTTCACTTCTTTCTTTCAGAATGAGGCGAAAAGTATTAAACGAGGTGAAAATCACTACAAGTCTGGGCGTGTTGAGAGCTGTACATACACACAAGGGGAGTTAGTCGGTTCCGTAAGAGCCAGCATGCGGGACCGGGATTCTGGGATTTGTAGTCTTTCTAGTTGCATATTTTTCATAGTCTTATATTTCAACAGTTTTACGACAAACTGTGACTTTTTTGACATGGAAATGATTTTTTAAATTGACAAACATCATATGTGTAATTCATGGCACAATTCTAACGGGATCGAAAGATAAGTTTTCTCTCTCCATTGACTTCAATACATCATTTTTCAGAAATAAGGTCCCATGGGTCGGAAGTAGATGGGCGTGACTTCGCCTCTCTATTATTCTAAGTAGTTACGTTTACGGGAATATTATGGGACATCCATCCTGCAGAAAAAACGGTTTGATTTGACCGTAAGTTGCTGAATAATATGTAATGTAATTTTATATATGATTTTGTCGTTTATGAAACTAATAGAGTGTCTAAAGATGAAAGACAGAAATCATGATAACAAATCATGATAAATATGCAATGTTAGTTAGGGCTCCAAACTATCCATTTCTGGATTCATTGATACATGTTTTGGTCTTTAAAGTTCTCAGCAGTCACTGGTTTTAGCTTCTCGGAAAATGTTTTTCTTGATGTTCCGTCTCGTATTACAATAATCGTATGATTTTGGATTGGGCTCAATAATTAATTGTAATATTATGTAAATCGCAGTAAAGACCATGATAATATCCGAAGATGTGCCCTATTTGTTAAAGGTATCCCAAACTACAGATTTGATTTTACACACCAAAGAAAACATATTGGTTTGATACAGATACTTGAAAAAAGGACACTTTGAACAATGTAATGAGAATAATGATGCAAGAAAACTCTCCATTCCCAACACCACTAATCGTGTCTCATTGCCAAATCAGTCAAAAATATATATATTATTTTCTATATCGTTCAACCTTACTTTTAGGTTTTGAAACAAAACAAGCAATTTAAAGACGTCACATTGGGCTCTGGGAAGTTGTGATGGCTTTTTTTTTTTTTTTTTTTTTAATCTGACATTTTATGAACAAAAGCATTAAATAGAGAAAACAATCCACAGATTAAATGATAATTAAAACCTTCTGTTGAAACGGTGAGATCATAGTGCATCTCCAATTAAACTTCTGTGAACCCACAATCAATTCTTCATGATCCAGTTCACAGCAATGACATCACCAGTTATAATCAGGATGCTCTGATTTTTCCTTGAACTTTATTGTAGAAATTAAACACCAATCTTTAAATCCTGCCTGGTAGGGCTCGATTATGGCAACAATTATAATCTCGATTATTTGGGTCAATAATTGATATCACGATTATTAAAAACGATCCAAATGTATTGGAGAAAACATGTTTTAACAGTATGTTTTTAATAGTTGATTACCCTGAACTTTAAGTATAATTCAACTGAAAAAAATAATCGTCTTATTTTGATTACGTTGTTTTCGTAATCGTTGCAAGCCATAATCGTAATTGCGATTAAAATACGATTAATTGAGCAGCCTACTGCCTGGTATTAGAAGGACACGTGTTAGTTTTGGATAACGTATTATCTGTGAACCAAAGTAGCTCCGATGTTTCTGCACATCAGTGAATTCCCTCACATTACGTCCAGATGAGCAGCCATGCATTCTCCACAGAGGATCCTGACCACAGTGGGCTCTTTGTGAAGAGGACCCCAACTAAGTGTGTGACATAAGATCAGGATTTCATCGTATTTACATCGACATTTTTGTGTCTGTACCTGAAAATAAAGGGTTCCACTTTGTGTTTAAACCACAATTACAGCAAAGGGGACAGTGCAGGTAAAAAGGCAAATACAAGTAAAGCTAACAAACTAAATAGAGAAATTTTAATAAAATCCAATAAGTACGCAAACATTGTAGGAAAACAATTTAATACGTAGCAACATTATGAATTATGTGAGCTTGCTTTATGTGTCAGTTTACCTCGAGACAATGGATGCATTACCTGTGCTGTCAATTATTTAAAAACAGATCCTGAGTTAATAATGTAATATATTGTATTGCCTCTGTAAGGTCATATGGTCTGCAAAGACTAGAATCCCTGTGTTCCCTCCAGAGTGAATTTCTCTCCCCCCCCTGCCTGAAACGCCTCCATTGGACTCCTTTGTTTACTTCCTGAACATAGTGACATCATTATGTAACACTTGTGCTTCTATTGGCTAGCGCTCCAACACATTGTACGTGATAGGCTAAGGGGCGGGACATCTCTTAGCAGTTGACCAATCACAACAGAGCCGGCCAGCTAACCAATCAGAGCAGACTGGGCTCTGGTTTCAGACAGAGGGTGAAAAGAGGTGCTGCAGCACAGGCAGTATGAGAAAAATAAAGAGCTTTTTGAACATTAAACCATGGAGATACTACATACTGATATACATCTGAACACCAGCAGGAGAGGACTCTTTAAAGTAGAGACACTACATACTGATATACACCTGAACATCATCAGGAGAGGACTCTTTAAAGTAGAGACACTACATACTGATATAGACCTGAACATCAGGAGAGGACTGTTTAAAGTAGAGACACTACATACTGATATACACCTGAACATCAGCAGGAGAGGACTCTTTAAAGTAGAGACACTACATACTGATATACACCTGAACATCAGCAGGAGAGGACTCTTTAAAGTAGAGACACTACATACTGATATACACCTGAACATCAGCAGGAGAGGACTCTTTAAAGTAGAGACACTACATACTGATATACACCTGAACATCAGCAGGAGAGGACTCTTTAAAGTAGAGACACTACATACTGATATACACCTGAACATCAGCAGGAGAGGACTCTTTAAAGTAGAGACACTACATACTGATATACACCTGAACATCAGCAGGAGAGGACTCTTTAAAGTAGAGACACTACATACTGATATACACCTGAACATCAGCAGGAGAGGACTCTTTCAAGTAGAGACACTACATACTGATATACACCTGAACATCAGCAGGAGAGGACTCTTTAAAGTAGAGACACTACATACTGATATACACCTGAACATCAGCAGGAGAGGACTCTTTAAAGTAGAGACACTACATACTGATATACACCTGAACATCAGCAGGAGAGGACTCTTTAAAGTAGAGACACTACATACTGATATACACCTGAACATCAGCAGGAGAGGACTCTTTAAAGTAGAGACACTACATACTGATATACACCTGAACATCAGCAGGAGAGGACTCTTTAAAGTAGAGACACTACATACTGATATACACCTGAACATCAGCAGGAGAGGACTCTTTAAAGTAGAGACACTACATACTGATATACACCTGAACATCAGCGGGAGAGGACTCTTTAAAGTAGAGACACTACATACTGATATACACATGAACATCAGCAGGAGAGGACTCTTTAAAGTAGAGACTCTACATATTGATATACACCTGACCATCAGCAGGAGAGGACTCTTTAAAGTAGAGACTCTACATATTGATATACACCTGACCATATGTCCTCTTTAACCCCTTTTATTTTTGCTAATTTCGCTACCTTAGACTGTAGGATGGTAACAACAACACTCTACTTTCACAATTAAATAATGTTAAAACTGGCTGCTAGTTCACCGCTTTTCATATGTGTTCACTAACCCTAGCTGCTATTTATTTCTATACCCTGCACCTGTACTTATTTGTTCTTTATTTTATAAGCAGGATCTGTACTGAACAAATACGTTTTGTAGAATATGATTTGTTGTCCAGCTCCACAATACTTCATTTAAAACATTTGAACACTTAATCCTTTAACTAATGTTGTGCTTCTTGTATTTTGAATATTCCACCAGTCCATTTTGTGATTTCGATAACATTTTGATTAAAGGTGGGGTAGGTAAGTTTGAGAAACCGGCTCGAGATACACTTTGTTATATTCCATGGAATGCTCTTAACATCCCGATAGCAATGAATATCTGAAGTGCTTTGACAATAAATCCATAAACAAGTCATCTGTGGAAGCCGTGGTAGCCTACTGTAAAAAGCACGACCAATCATCTGAGCCGGCCCGGCTAAAGTAACTGGATGGCCTACCTGTCTGTCAGCCTTCCATCTGTGCACAAACTGATCTCGTGCCCTCATTGGTCATGTGCGCGTTCGTGTGTTGGAGGAGGGGCTCTGAAAGGAAGTGGCAGATTTGTTCCGGCTGTGTATTTTCAAATTCTAGCGCACTCGAGCTAGTTTCTCTAAAATTACCTACCCCACCTTTAATTGTGCAGCCTTTCTGATTTCATTCTCGAGCTCTGTTACCCATTCATAATGGATTTTTCCTTCAAGGACAACTTCTCTTTCTCCCCCTTTACCCTCCCCACCACTCCCCCTTTTCTCTGTCTCATGTACACCCCTCACACTTCCTCTCTCCTTCTCTCTCTCCCACTGCGCCTCCCCCGCTCCTCACTCTATCTGCAATGCACCATGCGCTGCAAACAGTTACTGCCTGGGGGGGCTTGGCTTGCAGAAGGATGCACTTCTCCACTTTCTGTTCGCTCTCACCTTACTGATCAAACAAGCATCCTCTACAACATAAACAACTCCTCTTTCATGACTCAGTTTCTCTCAGGTTTAGTTTCCCCTGAAGCTCCGATGTGCCGCAGCATCAAAGCAGCCGTTATATAATTCAGACTCTGCAGAGAGCCGTCTCCTCTGGGAACATGTGCCGTGTGAAGTCACTGAATCTGAGGTCACATGCAGGATCCGTGCTCCGACTTTTAAATGTATTAAACTTCAGATTCATGAGCCAGTCGTCATGTTATTGGCTGCACTATAGTGGCAAATAATTCATCAAGCAAGCGTTTGATCAGAGAGTGAGTCAGCAAATCTCTCACTCACATTTTTACTGTCTACACCTCATTTAACTTGATATCCTTATTGGATTTCACTAAACTGCTTTCACATATTGAAGTCAGATCCACAGGCCACATTGAAATCAAATTGCCGAATTTTGGTTGTTGTAAAATAAAGAATCCAGCACCTGACAGCCAACCCATCATGTTGTTCCCCAGATGTGTATACTGACTGTAGAAGCCATTGACTGAGTTCATTATATACGTCTTGTTTTTCTTTACATTTTTTAACATGTCTTTATTTGTATACAGTGGGTATTTCTCAATGTCGAGGAAGGCTGCTCCAGAGCCACTATTTCAAGCATACTACGTCATCAAGTGCCGCCGAAGGACTGTTCCAATGTCCAGCATACTTGGAATTCTACCGAGGCCGCCGTACTTCGTAGCGGGAAATTTCGAGGCTGCACATGTGTATCCTCCGCGGTCTTAAAATCCCCACAATGCTTTGCGCACGGACCAATTTCCAAATATTTGGCGGAAATCGCGCTCCATTTAAGGCGAGGCCTCGCATATGACGCACACCTGTTAGCCTGTTCCACAATTCTTCGTTTTCCGAGGCTAGGAAGGATTCTTGCCTCGCTTCTGAAGCAAGTGACTAGGAAGACATGTGCTACCAAGCAAGCGTCCTCGACATTGAGAAACACCCATGACCTACAAATATTACGTGTTGAATATTGATCTACTCACCTTAGTTGTTTACGCCCCTGAATATATTTGTTGACACCCCTTGGTCTCATATTTGCTATATTATGTCTGTTAATGGGGAAGGGGCTGGTTTTAGACAGGGGAAGCTAAACCAGTTCAACCACACACACCAGACACACTCTGAAGGAGGGATATATGGTGAAATGGAAAAATAAATGGATTCATCTTGACAAATTTGTGAATCATCGTATGTTGTAAGTGGCTCTAGAAACTTTTAAGCCACTACACTGACAAAGGATGAATTTAATATATTTTTTCTTGTAAAAAACGATGTTACGTTTAAAAGTTTGTATCCTTAAGGTTAACATTTATAAAGCCGACTGAGGGTGTTTCTCAATGTCGTGGAAAGCTGCTCCAGAGCCACTATTTCAAGGATACTACGTCATCGAGTGCCGCCGAAGGACTGTTCCTGTCACGATCTGTCTGTGTTGTTGTTTTGTCTTGTCTTTTTCTATCTTTGGGTTTCCTGTTTTATTTTGTAAATTGTTCACCCCCGTTTCCTGCCTGTTGCTTTCTGTCTGTTTTCCCTCCCTGATTACCCGATTGTGTTCACCTGGTGCCTCTGTGTTTTCTCCTACCTCCTCACCTGTCTCGTGTTTGTTTGATTAGTCCTGGGTGTATTTAAGTTCTGGTTTTTCCGTCTGTCTTTGTCGGTTCGTCTTGTGTTTTGAGTAATTCTGCGGTGAGTGTTCTGTTCTGTGTCTAGATATTGTAGCCTTGAAATAAAGGAATTATTTTGTCACTTAAGTCTGCATTTGGGTTCTGTTTCCTACACAAACCGTGACAGTTCCAATGTCCAGCATACTTGGAATTCTACAGAGGCCGGCGTACTTTGTTGAGGGAAATTTCGAGGCTGCACATGGGTAGACTCCGCGGTCTTAAAATCCCCACAATGCTTTGCGCACGGACTAATTTCCCCAAATCTGTGGCAGAAAATGTAAGGCGGGGCCTCTCATATGACGCACACTTGCTCGCCTGCTCCACTCTTCGTTTTCCGAGGCTAGAAGGTATTCTTGCCTTGCCTGGAGTTTCCCATCCAGCTAGAGCTTCAACTAACTCTTATTTTCATAACCAATCTTCTGATTATTTTCTAGATTCATCGTTTGGTCTATAAAATGTCAAGACAAAATGTCTATCCCAGTTTCTACATGTCCAAAGTCGTATTGTGTTATTATCGCAGAACCCAAACATATTCCCTTTTTATATGAAACAGAACAGAGTAAAGCATCAAATGTTTTAAAGGCTAATGTACTCCATTTTTTTGCATCAAATAATGCTTTACAATTTTTTAATAACCAAAACAATTGGCTTGAATTTTTCAGATTCGTTGTTGCAGCTCTTTATCCAACATTGTTCAAATCCATGTTTAACAGTCTCATCCATCTTGGACTCACTATTGTTTAACAGCTGGAAATAGTGAGTCAGTCTTTTCAACTTTGTGAAATAGCTAAATTATGGGTTAGTGTCTTTCTAAATTAATCTATAAGATGTATAAATAAAAAAGCATAAACAGATCATTTGTGCACGTTGAAAACATGGCCTATGTGTTTGCTTTACTCCAATATTGTTTGATTCTTATTTATTTGTGTCTTTTAGATGGGAAGAGGAATACACCATGAGGGTGGACATGGAGCAGAAAATGACTGACCTGCAAGAGGTAACATTGTGTGTGTGTGTGGCCTAGCATTACTATACTTGTGGGGACCTAAACCTGTCTACACAGTCACGTGTGGGGACTCGCCTCCCTTATGGGGACAAAATGGAGGTCCCCATGAGGGGAATCATTAACTTTAGGGTGAAGACTTGGTTATGGTTAAGGTTAGGATAAGTCTCCAGGAAATGCATGTAAGTCAATGTAATGTCCCCTGAAGTGATGTATACATGTGTGTGTGGCCTAGCATAACTATACTTGTGGGGACCTAAATCGGTTTACACAGTCACGTGTGGGGACTCGCCTCCCTTATGGGGACAAATTGGAGGTCCCTATGAGGGGAATCATTCATTTTAGGGTGAAGGTTAGGTTTAGGGTAAGCTTAAGGGTTAGGGTTAGGCATGTGTTGGTTATGGTTAAGGTTAGGATAAGTCTCCAGGAAATGCATGTAAGTCAATGTAATGTCCCCTGAAGTGATGTATACATGGTGTGTGTGTGTGTATGTATATATATATATATAAACTGAAGGTATTGGAGCTTTGTATTTGCAGCGTTGACATCAGCCTGAGTCATTCAAACTATAATAAACTATTGGACATGATGCTTCGGTTGATGCTTATCTCACCTTAAAATACCCTGAGCATATGCGGTGTGTTTTTCTGCCCTAACAGGAATAATCACACAGCTAGTGGTTACATATTTTAGACGAGGCTTTTCATTTGTCTGATAACAATCAGTGAGTTTCTGCAGCCCTCACACTGCAGACTGCTTCCTTTGTGCAGTATGAATCACACACAGTGACTCATACAGAGCTCATGCACTCCTTTCTATTTGGTTTTATACCACTGACCATCATCTGATTAAAAGTGCAACAACTGTTATCATTTCAGAGTTACAGACATCTTCTATTTTTAGTGGGGCTAGTGTTCCAGCCAAGAATATACAGTTCACCTATTTCAAAACATATTTTAAACAGAGCTTCTCTTTCCAACAATGTTCACTTTTTTCTAGCCATTTCCATTTTAAAACAACTCTTCTTTCTCCCTCTTTACTCTGTCAGTCATCAGAAATCAAGACATTTGAATAAATACATTGAACATTGCAGACAACAAAAACGGCAAACACTTAAAGTAGCAAATAGCAAGACATAATATCACAGTTAAATTAATATGAGTGATTAAAAGTAGATAAAAACGTACTCTTCTGACTCTAAACATATTATCGAGCAAAACTACACGTCACCACATCCAGAACCTCCTATACATATATATTTGTTGTGTTTTAAACATTGTTTTCTGTGTTTGTTAGGCAATAACTTTGGTTACAAATATGTTTTCATTGCTTTATATACTCCTGTTTTAAGATATGTGTTTTCTTTGGGAAGTCAAATGTCTTTGCCTCTGGTGTTTATGGCTCTAAATGCTGTCCCTGTACTGATATGAAGGATTTCTTTTTTTATATCAAACAGTTAGCTACTGTGTTTCCTGCAGCTGTGTCTTTTATAAACCCTATCATTTCCTGTGAGTGTGTGGGTAGCTAGGTGTGTGTGTTTGAAGATGTTGTGTGTTTGAACATTGCCAGGAATCTTTACCTGACCCCGTTTAGCTAGCAGCACCGTGACGCAAGACCACAAGCAGAAAAACACCGCTGAGACTGAGAAGGGTCCTAGCTTATACTGTTGCACATGTGAATGAAGTCAACAGGAGGAACAGATACTTCTTATCTCATCAGAAACATCTAGAGATCACCTCAGGAGATTATGAATTCAAGATATCCATTTTTTTTTTTCATGCACTTTGCAGATATAGGCTTTTATTCTGTTGACGCCCTCCTGCTTCTACCCTTTACTTTCCAGTTAATCGATGTGGCCGGACATGTTTGTGTGTTTTCATTGTTGTTCTTCATGTCTTTCTCTCATGTGTGCAGGACCTGCAGGAGAGCGAGGGCTGTCAGGATGAGCTGGCTGTCAGAGTCCAGCAGCTGAAGGCAGAGCTGGTGCTCTTCAAAGGCCTCATGAGCAATGTGAGCACCGTAAGACCCAAACGCTTCTAAAACATTCTCAAAGATATGCACGTTAAGAGTCTCTATATGTATGTTTGCTTCTCCGTGGCCTTCATCTCTGTAAATAAGTAAATGAATAGGATATTATTCACTTTGAATAAGAAACCCCTCATTTCATAAGTTTGCTGCGTAGGTGTTAATGGAGTGAATTGTATGAAATGTGTACAAATACATTCACATAGTAAATAAAACACTTAAACAGTCAAAGGCAATATGACAGACGGATAAACCTTGCAGAGCATATGCAAAACCAACCAAGCAAATATGCATGAAGAACAAACAATGTATTTTTTCACTTTTACATTTTTAAACCCCCCCCTTTTTTTCCTTCACTTTTTTAAAATGAATGTCAACGAGCCCCACATTGGGCGCCATTTCTGTAGCGTAGGTGTTATCCCTGAACGAATAAATTAAACTAGACAGAGGAATATTTAATATAGCCAGCTGTCAAAAAATGATATGCTCAAACACGCAGAAACAGAGGGATAGCCCGGTGACCTAGCTACTGACGTTTACAAAGGAAAAGTAATGATCAACCAATTCGCTTTCAACATAAAATGTCTGTAAGTCTTTGTTGTCCTTTGTCACTCAGGGTAAGAGTGTAGTTCAGGGGATAGGGATGTGTGACAGTAGAGTGCAAGAGGAGGGGAAATGATATTGGGGTAGTGAGAATAACTTATCTGAGGGTGACAGGCCAGAGTAGATCACTGGGTTGCAGGGTTTAACTGGGAAGGGGAAAGTTAAATGTTTCCCCAACAGCTCCTGGGTTCAGTGGCAAAAATAGCCTGATTTCTCTGATGTCCTCAAGAATCCACTTTCCTCCTTGCTAGATCCGACTTCCTCTTGGTTCTTTCTGTTGAATGACATGCTGGCCTCCTTTAAACAGCACACAGGTGCCAATCATTGCCTTGATTGGTTTCCTCCAGCTTCTCTCAGGGGGTGCTTGATTAGCCACTCCCCTTTGTCTCAGGGAATCTGTAGGAGTGTGTTTATTTTTCCCCCTGTCCTGCTACAAGTTGTTTGAATGTTTATTTGATTATCTTTTCTTTTTAATGACTGATTTTAAATGCGATTTTCTTAATGTCTTTCATTTTTGTAAAGCACTTTGAATTGCCTTGTGTTGAAAGGTGCTATATAAATAAACTTGCCTTGCCTTGCCTTTAATGTCCTGAGTGTGCCATCTGAAACAAAACTCTGACTTATTGGACTATGTGTAGCTTTTGGTTGCCGGGTCTGGATGTGCTTATTCTTCTTCAGCTTGTCTTTTTGACTAGCCCTTTCATTCATAAGGGGAAACCACGCTAACGGACCATTTGATCATTTGATGCCTGGAATAGGCTGCAGATCATCAAGTCCCCAGTCCATACGTTAACAGTTCAATAATAATAATAATAATAATAATAATAATTAGCCAAATATTAAAGTTGCTATGTGGTGGCTTAATTCCCGGGAATGACTTTACTGACGAGCTTTACTTTGTTTATAGATACCGTTGTGTTGTAGTGTAAGTGAAGTCCATTCAATTATCCATTAAACAAACATTATTTTCTGTATTCCCACACTGCGGTCAAAAACCATTTGCCCTTCCATGGTCAGACACACCCGATCAGGTGACAAAACAAACCTTAAATACCTGTGCCTTAGGGAATCTGACAGCGACACCCTCATGGCACACACACAGTGAAAAACCCAACTGTGACAGCCCAAAACCCAAACAGGAACTCTCATCAAAATGGCTCCTACACCATTTATCTTTGAACGGTGTCTGATCTGTCTCCCTCCCTCCTCTCTGCAGAACCTGTCAGACTTGGACAGTAAGATCCAGGAGAAAGCCATGAAGGTGGACATGGACATCTGCCGCCGGATCGACATCACCGCGCGCCTCTGTGACGTGGCTCAGCAGAGGAACTGTGAGGACGTCATCCAGATGTACCAGGTACCAGAGCATGTTCAAAAGTGAAACATGTGGGTTTTTGCCCCATTGAATAAACCTACTGTGATGGAAACGTCTGAAGCGATGGAGACTCAGAGAGACACAAGGAGAGCAGGAACTTTGATGGCAAACACTGATGGTTTATTTGGAGCTTCGGTCAGAGAATTCACAAGACGTGCTCTACCCCAGACCCATGTATTTAGCTAGTTCTGAGAGAAGAATCAACATTGTGCATAACAAGATAAAACCATAACACCTCTATCAGCTGACGCCAACAGGCAGGAACAGGGAGACAAACACTGAGAGCACAGCAGCCCAGGTTGTGCCAGTGAGGTCAGAACAAACTGATAAACTGGGTCAAAGTTAAGGGCCCAGGAAAATATTTCCCCAACACCTACAACCCCTTTAGTGTCGAGCCGCTAACCACAGTTAATTGTATTCTCTAAATTGAGCCGTCTGTGAAGATTTGCTCCCAGGAACAATAACAGCTGCATTTGTCACTTCCAGTAATGGCAAAGCAGCTGTATCCGATTAGAGACAACACCACAGTGCACAACATGGCAGTTAGCTAATAAGTTATATTTGAATTGAGACACAGCACAGGACTAAATCTGATCTTCTGTTATCAAATCCACAGTCACTTCCTGTTAGAGTTTGTCTTGAGTGTTGATGGTGGCGCTCTGAATGCTAACGTTTCCCCGCAGGTTCCTAACAACCAATCATCCCTGAACTCTCGCCGCAAACAGACTCCTCTGTCCTTCAACGGCAGCGAGTGTGACGAGTCCGTGAGCACCTCGGAGAGCGAGGGGGGGGGCGGCTCCTCGGCCAATCAGATCAACGAGGAGATGCAGAGGATGCTGAACCAACTGTGAGTGGGATGATGAAATATAATAATAATAATACATGACACTTACAGTATATAGCGCTTTTCTAAAAACTCAAAGACGCTTTGGCAGAGAATAAAACAAAAAACGAAGAAAAATATATAAATTGACAAACCAGAAAACAGGGAGGGGGGTCAGAGTTTTAATGCAGTGTTGAACAGGTGGGTTTTGAGTGGTTTTTTTGAATGCAGTTAAGAAAGAAGAGCTTTTCCTGGTGCTCAAAGCGCTTATATGATGAGTATAAATGTTTCTGCACTAACACTAATTATTTCTTTAAATGTGTGTTTCTGTTTTAGGCGTGAGTGTGAGTTTGAGGATGATTGTGACAGTCTGGCCTGGGAGGAGACTGAAGAGACCCTGCTGCTTTGGGAGGACTTCCCAGGTGGCACTCTGCCTCCTGACCCCAGCCACCCACCAGGAGAGGTAGATTGGAGATGCACGACTTATTTCAAATGTCACTTTGTTTAAGAAATACAGATACAGAACAGAAAGACAATACCTAGACATAGAAAGCTAGTTATAACAGATTCATCCAGGGGTGTCAAACTCAAATACACAGTGGGCCAAAATTAAAAAATGGGTACTAGTCGAGGGCCGGCCTGGTTCAATGTTTATTGCAAAACTTATTGAAATGAACTTATTGCACATATTAACCTGGAACTAACAAAGCTTAAATGATTGCCTATAAAAACAACATTAAATAATCAGTTGCATTAATTTCTTATGGCTCTATCTGCAAAGTCATTTCTTATTATTAAATGTTTCCACAGACCAACAACAGCTTCAAAAAAACAATTCCCCTCAAAGAACAAACCAAACATGCCCTGTTGCCGTGCAGAAGGAAACATCCATTAAACTCAGTGTGCTGCTCTGTGAAGCTAGTTCAGATACTTGGCATCTCATCTTGGGGGCAGGTTCATCAATGTTTGGGCTCAGGCTCTGAGCGGAGGAGACCCTCAGGATTGAGTGAAGGTGTGCGTGCAATATACCGGCGGGCCAGATCTAATAGTAATTAGAAATTATCCTGTGGGCCGAAATTAAATCCACCAAGGGCCTGATTTGGCCCCCGGGCCTTGAGTTTGAAACATGTGCTTTAAAGGGACCCTATTATACCTTTTGGGGGTTTTCCCTTTCCTGTAGTGTGTTTTAAAGGTTTTTGTGCATTTAAATGGTCCCAAGGGTCCGTCCAGAGGGAGTATTTGACTTCCGTATCATACCGACGTCATTATGTCACACTACTTGAATTTACTTTGAGTGAATATGATGTTAATGCTCTGCGTGACATCTACTATGAGCCTGTTGATGTTTATATAATATTCACAAAGATGTTTCAATTTACGATTCAAGATTCAAGGCGAACATGCAAATTGATCTCCTGGGTCTGTGTAGTGACATGAGCCTCCTGAATCTGTCATGTATGATTACTAATGCAGCCTCCATACATCTCCACTAGGAAGGAGGTAGTAAGAAGCCTCAAAATAAATTAAAAAAAACACTCCAAATCACAGATGCCCAATAACAAGGATTTAGTTCACAGAAGACAGCTACAATCATTACATATTAATGGAGGTCCCCAGCCAGTGACAGGGCTTTATTCTGTTCTGCTATGTCACTATTTTTCGATCAAAGGACATTTGAGAGCGTAGAATTTGTGCATATGATAATGATCTGAACCTTTCCTAGCATCCTTCAGACTGCTGCTTGTTAATCGATATTTTCCGTCCAGACTTCAAAGAAGCTTTTAAACTTCTGATGTGGAGATGATGTGCCGAGCAGCAGCAGATTAAGATGGTCGATTTAGATTTGTCTCACACTGACCTTCAATGCTCTGCTATGTCTGGGGCGATTCAGGACACACACAGACAGAAACACACACACACACACACTAAAACAGATGCTCTGTCTAGCCTGTATGGACGTGCAGTTTGGTTGTTTCCAAGTAATGCATGTAGGTATTTGTTTTCATTCACCGGCCGTGTGTTATTTGTCTCTCTGAGGGGAGGATCTGCATCAGTCGGCGAAATCTGAGCTGAACATAACCTATCTAGCTATCTGGGCTTTGATAGTCGTGTTACCGCACCTACAGTTGTGTCTGATTGTGTCATGATTACCGCACAAACACATGTTCTGTGTTATTATATTTTATCACATGCATATCTATACCAACAAAGATAGTCTGAACATCTCTGCTCTCTCCCTACAGCAGGAGGACTGTCTGGAGAAGGTGATCAATGACACAGAATGTCTCTTCCAGTCCCGAGAGAAGGAATACCAGGAGACCATCGACCAGATTGAGGTCAGACCCCATCTCTGTTCATGTATTTCTTCATTCCTTCATTGTTATTTCTCTGTCCCATTATAGCATACTAGGAATAACAAGACACCATTGTTTGCAATCTTTAGGTGTTGCATATACAAAGCATGGGAGAAAAGGAAAAGGAAAAGAAGTATCCAGAATCAGCAGTTCACGTAGCTGAGGATTCTGGGTAGTGTAGTGTCTTCGGCCATCCTAAACTCAGAAAAAACGATTTGTTTCTCCGAATCGAAGGTTAAAAACACAAAAGCATTGTACACAATTTAAACCAATCAATGTTGTGTAATTAACAAGGATAAACTGATGTTTTTTAGTGGATGAGCAGTGCAGATATATCATTGTGAAATATTTTGACAGTGAGGGGAATACTTCCGGTTTTATTAAGAAAACTTTGAGACCGGAAATACTGTTTTCACCCCGTGAGGGTTGACGCCAACTTTACATGGACGCTGCGGAAAGACGTAGTATACACGTTCTCCTGGCGAGACCTCAAATCATCTTCGTAATATCTATCAAACTATAGATCCTACACATCCACTGGACGTAGATTCTAAAAGTACAATATACACTTCTCGCTAGAAATCGAATCAAAAAGCATTTTAATGGCTTTCTCTTTTGTGCATCATCCATATATACAATATCTATGTCCTTTCCTATCTACAGCTTTTAGTTGTTCACGATCAAAAGGACGGTTTTACACACATTGTTTTTGTCTCTTGATGCAGTGCTATGTGTGATTATTTACATAATGACTCAGTGTTAAGTGACTCATACTGTATGGTACATTTTTCCCTGGCACTGATCAATTCCTCCACGAGGCTCAAAAATGAATACATTTCTCTCTTCTTTTCTTATTTAACTGCAGTGTTCTGTATACTTTATATTAATCCCGCACATAAGCAAGAATACATTTTCACTAAAACATGACATACAAGAGTTTCATCCTGCAGCAGTCATTTGCACAGTATTTCATGGTTGGAACACACTTTCCGTAAATGCATAATCACAAACTTAGTAAGATCATAGGAGGAAATTACATTTTAAGAATCAGTTTGCACGCACCACTTTAAAGAGAGAGATGCGTGTCTCTTGGCGTAAAGAAGTGGAATTCTTTGCCGAATGATTTAAAGGGTTGTAAGAAAATGTTTATGTTTAAGAAAATGTATAAAGAAAGTGTAATTAGACATGAAGTTGACTTTTGATTGTGGTTTTATGTTTCAGTATTTGTAAGCAACTGAGACTGAAAGAATATTGCTTTTATTTTATTATGGTTATTTAATTTATTTTTTCAAGAAGGGGCAGGTCAAATAAGATTTTGAAGTGTACATTTTTTGTTTTAAAATAACTGCCATGTGTGGAATAAACAAATACATCAACTAAATGTGTTTCTGCATGTTTTCTGCCTGCAGCTGGAGCTGGCCACAGCGAAGAGCGACATGAACCGACACCTGCACGAGTACATGGAGATGTGCTCCATGAAGAGAGGCCTGGACGTCCAGATGGAGACCTGCAGGAGACTCATCACTCACAGCGGAGACGAAGACAGGTGACAGAAAGACAGACAGATGGACGGACAGACAGGCAGACGGACAGAGAGACAGACAGGCGGACGGACAGAGAGACGGACAGACAGACGGACGGACGGACGGACAGACGGACAGACGGACGGACGGACGGACGGACGGACGGACGGACAGAGAGAGAGACAGGCGGACGGACAGAGAGACGGACAGACAGACGGACGGACAGACAGACAGACGGACAGACAGACAGACGGACAGACAGACAGAGAGACGGACGGACAGACAGACAGAGAGACAGAGAGACAGACAGACAGACAGACAGAGAGACGGACAGACAGACAGAGAGACAGACAGAGAGACAGACAGAGACAGACAGACAGACAGAGAGACAGACAGAGAGACAGACAGAGAGACAGACAGACAGACAGAGAGACAGACAGACAGACAGACACACAGACAGAGAGACAGACAGAGAGAGAGAGACAGACAGACAGAGAGACAGACAGAGAGAGAGAGACAGACAGACAGACAGACAGACACATACGATTAATCATGGCATTTTAGTCTTGGTAATGCAATCTTTTTCAATTTATTTGACTCTTTCTTCAGTTTTGTGAGGGGACTTTACTTGAATTTTTATTTTAAACATTTACAAACAATATTAAAACATTCAATAGATGATCTGTAATACAACAATTATCTTCTCCAATTTGTTAAATGAATACGTGGGTTACAAATGACATCACTTTACTGTAATGCAGCCTTTAAAACCAGAGAAGACACCTATCAATCACCTACCTAGTGTACTATATTACAATTTTCAAACTCTAAGACTATATCTCGTCTCATATATCAATACCAATATCACATGATATGTTGACCACGTCTCATTTTACAATATCAATATAATATTGCAATGTTGCCCATTCCTAAGTGTAACACATGAATAATCTGTTAAACTTTAAAGGTCCCATTTCTACTGATCATAATTCCATTGTTGAGGTCTACTAAACTAGATTTATATTGTGTAATTTTCCAAACTCACATTGGTTTCTCATACAGCATCTCTGTATAGTATGTGTATTCACTCTCTGTCCTAAACGGCTTGTTGGAGCTCCTGCCCCCCCCCCCCCCCTCCCTGTGAGCCCAGTGGCTGTCTGCGAGACTGCGAGACAGCGACACAGCGAAACCCAGCCCCAAACACACACACACACCCGCAGCCTGGCTGGGAGTTTGTGTGTGTGCCCAGGCTGAGTTCCGCGGTGTCTCGCTGCTCACAGTGACGTCCTGACGAGTGTGTGTGTGTGAGGAAGTCCGCGGATTGGTCCAAACGTAACGGCTCCCTAGACGTAAGGTAACGGCTCCGCGGATTGGTTCTTTTGGACCAATCTGCGGAGCTGTTACGTCACTATACCCGAAATACGTCACTATACCCAAGGAGTAAACAATGGAAAAAGAGAAATCTCAAACGAGGCGTTCTGGGGCAGCATAGACAGGTATTTTCTGTGTTAGAGTTTTACTCGCTACAGGGTGTACTTTGAGGGTTTGTGACTCTGCAGACCGTTTACTTGCAGAAAAACCTTCATAACACAAGGGGACGGATAATAACCGGAAAAGCATGACATGGGACCTTTAAGCATGTCTTCATGTTCTTGTTTCTGTGTGTCTCAGTGACCCTGCAGCTCCTGCCTCCGCTGAGCGAGGCGAGCAGAGAGAAAGCAACAGATCTTCATCGTCTCCGCCCTCTTCCTCGAACTCTGGCAGATCCTGACCCCTCCTCACAGTGACGGCAGTGAGGGGGGCTCCACCACATCCAGCTACAGTACCACACCAACGCAACACACACTCCTGTAACAAAGGCAACACCATGTTTACAGACGAGCCGCTTCATTTACGCAGTCGTGCTGGAAATCCTTCCTGCAAACGACAAGATGTCAAAGCCCTGCGGAGAGGAGAGGTCTTGTGATCCAGAGTTGGATAGCGGTAGATACATGTGTGAATCAAGAAATCTATAATTGGATTTTCTTGTGAAAATACTTACGTTTGAAGTAGTTTATTGTAAGTAAACAGGCTAAATGCAGTGCAGAGATGTAGGCTGCAGGAAAGCAAAGCATGATGTATTCACTCCACAAAAAAGAATAGTTAAACTACTGGGCATCTGAAAATAATCAAGCAACACTTGCTGCAAGGTCACTAAGAATCCACTCCACACAAATATACATGCCTGTAATTTACCTTCTATCACGAAACAAACAAAAAACTATGATAGGGATAGTTTAAGTGCTGCAACAACGGCTATCCTGGAGTGTATTTCTGAGTGTTATCCGTCAGTTTGATAATATAATGATAAGCTTAGGACTTTAAAGTGTAAAAATAAGTCATGATTCAGCATTTTACTGCCTAACAGCTTGCTTTCTGTCTTTGCAGTACCATTTTACACCACAGGCAAAGCAAAGGGGTAAAGTCACAAATGCATTATCACAGATGTGCTCGAAATATTATGAATAATTTAAACATGAGCTGTGGTGCAGCAGAGTTGTGCCTCTGAATGTCAACATGTCACTTCCCTCCTGCCAACATGAGGAAGGTATAATCCTGAAAACACTGTTGGTGTTCTGCAAATCACCAAACTGGATTTAACGTGAATAATCCACGGTTAATCACGTTATCCATTGTGGATTTACTTAGGATTTCCTGGCTTACCTCGATGTTAGCGTTGCAATAAAACTACGAATAAATGTCTCATCATGTCACAACATTTTAACAACATTGGCAGTAAGCGTTAGGCATCATTTTGGTCGCTAATGCACACCATACTAGCATTTCAACCCTTAAACTCAGAGAAATGTTTCCAAGAAAAGCCAACCACGTCAATTTGTCAGTGAAATTTAAACAATTATTTGGAAGTGTAGCACTTGCAAGGTAATTAAACTTGCAGATAAAACTCTAAAAGGTGCGTTTTGAAACCCAAAGTCTCTGGTAACAACGGCCGTTTCAAAGAGGGAAGCATGCATACATTTCAGATTTATAAACACCTTATTGACGCTGATCTGGAGTCAGTTGAGGCTCTTTTTCTGCTGTGGGATGAAATAATAATAATAATAATAAAGTACTTTAGCCGTAATGCTGAATCATTGTAAAAGCTGAACACATAGATGGTCATAAAATAAAGTAAGTTAGCTGTTGAGTGCCAAAATAAAATGGTCAGATGTGAACAGAAAATGGCTGTGTTAAAAAAAAAATCATTATAGCTGCCGAAGCTATTTCAACAAGGTGCTTGATGTGTATAACTGATCTATTTTTGAGCCTTTTTGCACATAGAAAGAAAGAGCAGAGCAAAAATGTATATGAAACAATCAGCTTACTTAAACATGTTGGAAATATACAAATATATTTCCTCTGTTCATATTTCCTCATCCTCCACTGTACCTGCAGGTGGGATACTAGAATAATGAATTTAACGAACACATACCTCATTTTTACTTTTCTCCGCGCACATTTAACCATGAACTTTAAGTCCGACACACTGCTACAGTAAAGCAGTATATTAGCGTACTGCTGGAAATCTTCACTGCTCTATTATCGGACACTGTTGTCTAAATGTATTCCTGGCTGTATTTTCCTCTGTGTGGTTGCATCAGGTGAAATATGTCCTCTGCTTCTGCTGCGACTCACACTTCAACTCTTTGTTTCAACGATAAAGAAAGGCTACGGAAGCCCTGAAAGGCAAACTAGACAAACGCATTGGAGATCTGTTTTCAAAATCTAATGTTTACTGTTTTCGCTCCTGTGTTTGGGAGGCGTGTGGCGCAGTGGGTTGTTTATCCTTGAAAATGGGTGGGAAAAGGTTTTATGCCAGTCTTCCTTCATTTTCTTTTCAAATGGACGGATATTTTTTGCCTTGATCATTTTTTAAATCTGTTAAGTATCTTTTTCGTGTTTGTTGTTGCAATGCTCTTTTTTGCCACCATATTACACCACTACCTCAATGGCACTAAAACCGCTTAAGTTTTTCTTACAGGTCAGTCTTACTTTCTCAGTGCACTGTAAATACAGGATACGTATATTGTGCGTTAGCAAGTTAAGCTAGTTACGCTACATTACTGTAATCTTTTTTTTAACTCACCTGAAAGACAACACTACTGTTTTAGTTTTATTTAGAGGTGGTTTAGTGGTTTATTCTGGTGACCGAAATAAGCATTGCAACAACAAAAGTTAGGAAAATAAAAAAATGTCACCACGAAAACGTATTTTTCCACCGGTTTGTGCAGATAAAAAAGGCTAATTTAGAAATGTAATAGCGCCAAAACGTATTTTTACTGATAGAAAAAAAAGGTAACTTGAAAAATGAAAGCATAAAAAAATAAAATTCTTGTTTAAAAGAACTTTATTTGTATCTCTTCATAAGTTAAAGAAAAACCAAAAAGAACATTTTCAGATCAGACTTAAAAAATGAATTACCACGATATGTATGTGTCCTCGTTTGTCTTTCAGGGCTTCCGTAGCAACCGTATGACGACAGATTTTAATCGTATATAAACTGCATGTGTGGCTGTTGGATTAGCTGAATGCTAATAGCAGTGTTTCCACTACTGTTTGAATGCAGAAGGAGGATGTCAGAGACAAACTGAGTGAGACGGAAAACACCATTTCCCTTTGTATAGTTTAACGCACTGAGTGAGTCTCTATGTATGCATGTGCCAGTGTGTATGTTTTCGGGTGTTATGTACAGTGAGTGTTTTTAAAAAGACTTTTACTTGGGCAAATGTACAACATGAAGAAGAAGGAAACGTAACAAGTCCAATTTGATGTCGTCTCTGTTTGAGACTGAGCTGTCTTTTTGACAAATCACCTACAAATTGTAAATATTTCAAATTAAAAGACAATGGAGTTCTTTTTTTCCCATTGGATCTTTTTCCTTATGAGTGTATGTGATTGCCAAATAAAGTCAATTTAAAAATAACTCAAGTTATAAAAAACTAAACAATAATTACGGAATTAATTAAATGCAAATGCTTAAGCGAAATGAACTGTACGATGGCTTTGATATTATTATAATGTGTAATGGAAATATAGCTTTGAATATAGACTTGTGTTCAAAGACTGCAAATGAAGAATGTCCACAGTCACACACCTGGAAAGAAAACTCAACATTATCTAAATTAAACGAAAACTAAAAGCACCTGATTGGTCTTTTTAGTTGTCACTGTCATTTCTTTCACATATTTAAAGAAGCATTTGGATTGAATTTGTGTCAAACAGCAATTAGATGATAACTCTGAGTATTGATGAGGTGCTCCAGATGTGTGACGAAGCAGCGTTAAACATCCAGACAGTAATTTAGGCTAAAAGGCTTCACTGCAGAGCTACAGTATGTAACGTGTCGAGAGAGACTGAACGAATAAAAGATGCAACTGAGCAACAAGATCTCGTGTGATTATTGAACACAACGTGTCTGTCTGCTTTTCATTAAAGGGTCTGTACCGAAATTACAAAGAAACCAATGGAGGTGAATGGTATTGTGTTTGCTATGCTCACAGCATTTAACAACATCACCATCTCTTACCAGAACAAACGAGGACACAGTTTTGGAAAGACATGTTGCTGTTTTTAAATATTTTTTTAGGCCGCGATCAGCAGGTCACTTTTTGTCAGGTTTGTCAAATGTTTTGGAGCGAATGTAAAGCGTGTACTTCACTGAAAGGTAGGGTAGGTACGAATGGAGAAAACTACGGTGGCCCTGAAGTGCAAGACACCACAGCATTTCACAAAACACTACAGCATTTCAGAAAACGCCGCAGCATTTCAGAAAACACCACAGCATTTCACATTGGACGGAAAGGGTATTCCTTTAGTGATGTTTGTGATTGGACAGAGCCAGCCAGAGAAGCACTGCTGTGATTGGTTGTTTTTGCTGCCAGTCAAGAAATGACGCTTCGTGATTGCCAACACATCAGCCGTTAGCACACACTCAGAGCTCACAGCTCCTCATATCTGTTCAGAAACTGGACACAAGTTAAACATCTACAAACCACAGACTGTCTGTGTCATGGTGAATACAGTCGCTGCTTTATTTATGTCTGTATGACGTTGTGAGTGTGGACGGAGCAGCTACAGGTTAGTTAGCCTGATGGATCCGATTCCATTCAGAAAACACGCATTTTAAAAGCTTTTCGCATGCCGTCTTATCTGCAGACTTGTCAAAGCGTTAATTCATGGTTTTTACTAACCGTTATCAGTATGTAGTTACTTCGGCATCACTTTGAAACGTGTATTACAATTAAATCACGGTCAAATATGTTCATTTGGTTGTAGTTGGTATCTCCCATAGGATTTACATGGAGATACGCCCCGCCCCCTCTCAGCGCCTCTTGTTTGAATGACAGGAGCAAACACAGCTGACAGCCGCGGTGAAACTCGAGCGATTAGAGCGATGCGAATATTGGGTGGTCTACCATAGTATTTACATGGAGATAAGCCCCTTAAAAACCATGAATTAATAAAGCATTAATTCTGTGTTTACTCCTGTCATTCAAACAAGACGCTGGAGAGGGGGCGGGCCGTATCTCCATGTAAATCCTATCGGAATTGGATCGATCAGGCTAACTAACCTGTAGCTGCTCCGTCCACACTCACAACAACGTCATACAGACATAAATAAAGCAGCGACTGTATTCGAAATGACAGAGAGTCTGTGTTTTGTATATGTTTAACTTTTGTCCAGTTTCTGAACAGATATGAGGAGCTGTGAGCTCTGAGTGTGTGCTAACAGCTAACGGCTGATGTGTTGGGCCAATCACGCAGCGTCATTTCTTGACTGGCAGCAAAAACAACCAATCACAGCAGTGCTTCTATGGCTGGCTCTGTCCAATCACAAACAAGAAGTGTTCTCCCTAAGGCAGGGGTGCCCAACCTTTTTTGAACCGAGAGCTACTTTTAAAGTTGCCAGACTGCAGAGATCTACCAGTCCAAATAGAGAGGCGTAGCCATTACTGACAGCCTACTACCAGGTAAATACACACTTCTACTTGTATAAAACTGACCTTTGTACGATTAATACTTCATAAAATACTGCAGATCCTTTATCTTACCTCTTTCTAATCTACACACATACAAGTATTTAACTGAAGTTACACAACAGTGTTGTTGATACAGAGTTGGAGTTTATTCACACGTCACTACAGTGGGTAATGTTTTCAAGAAACATTGAACAGTGCTGCCACATATGATACAGGGATAAAAGAAAAGACTCTGAACCCTTTCTTTGACATTATATACACAAGTATAAATTAGGCTTACTAATAAGACAACTCAGATCTGAAGCTACAGGAATCTGCTGCAACAGTGCAATAAAAAAGACAAAATTAATAGAATCAAACCCTTTTTTTGTTGCATTTTAGTAGAGTATAAAAAGAAATGCCTTTTTAAAATAGGATGCAAGCAACACTAGTTTCTTAACCTGAATTGATGACTATAATACATTTAAGTTTGCATTCTTATACCATTTTGTACAATAATTATAATGAATAAGTTCAAACAAACTCAAACTTACAGCTGATTAATAACGGTATCTAACTTGAGTTTTTATCATATCAAAAACCTTTTTGAATGCTACTGTTATTTTTAGTGTCACCAAAAAGCGCGTCGCAGCCTCCATGAATGCTTCTTTCACAACTTCGCCGTCTTTGAAAGACTTCATGTGTTACGCAAGAACGTGACTGACACGATAAGATGCTATGCTAGCAGCCTTGCTCTTGTTGTTGGGCCGGGTGAAAATGGACTGCTGTGCATTTAGCTGTCCTTTCAGGCCCCTCCCCTTTTGGGAGCGTAGGGCAGAATTAGGAGGGAATTCCGTCTCGTAGCGTTTGTGCACTGTTTTGAAATGCCGCTCCTAAATTACCCTTCTTCGATAAAGCCACGCTCGCATTGCAGATGAGACAGATGGACTTTGAATTGGAATAGATACAAATATAATCATCCTCCCACTCGGAGTGAAAATTATATATGTTTTGCTTCTGCCATAATTGCGGTCTTGTGTGTGTGCGGACTGTCACTCCTGTTGACACGGACAACGTTAGCGAACTAGTGCACTGCCCACTAGCCACGCCCCGACACATGGGGTCACGCCGGCCAATCACAAAGCTTTGATGCGTTCAAGTGCATTATTCTGGCACAGGAAGATTATTTTATAGGACATTAACGATAAAACAGAATATTGTTGTTCTATTTTTAGACACATCTCGCGATCGACTGGGAATCTCCCCGTGATCGACCGGTCGATCGCGATCGACTGGTTGGGCAACCCTGCCCTAAGGAATACCCTTTCCGTCCAATGTGAAATGCTGTGGTGTTTTCTGAAATGCTGTAGTGTTTTGTGAAATGCTGCGGCGTTTTGTGAAATGCTGCGGCGTTTTGTGAAATGCTGTTGTGTTTTGTGAAATGCTGTTGTGTTTTGTGAAATGCTGTTGTGTTTGTGAAATGCTGCGGCGTTTTGTGAAATGCTGTTGTATTTTGTGAAATGCTGTTGTGTTTTCTGAAATGCTGTGGTGTCTTGCACTTCAGGGCCACCGTAGAACCAGCTCGAGTGCGCTAGAATTTGAAAGTACGCAGCCGAAACAAATCGGCCCCTTCCTTCAGACTTCCTTACAGAGCCCCTCCTCCAACACACGAACGCGCACATGACCAATGAGGGCACGAGATAAGTTTGTGCACAGATGGAAGGCTGACAGGCAGGTAGGCCATCCAGTTACTTTAGCCGGGCCGGCTCAGATGATTGGTCGTGCTTTTTACAGCGCCACGGCTTCCACAGATGACATTTTGTATGTATTTATTGTCAAAGCATTTCATGTATTCATTGCTATCTGGATGTTAAGAGCATTCCATGGAATATAACAAAAAGTGTTTCTGAAGTGAATTACCTCCCCCACCTTTAAAATACTACTACAACAAATGGCTTTAAATCTTGCTTTAACGTATCTGAAGGTTATTCCCAATGTAAAACGTCTGGCGGTGACATATTTCTCAATGATTCCTTCACAGCTTGAGGGAAGAGATATGATTTATCTTCCAAATAATAATGCTCCAAATAGGTGCAATTATTAACACATTTAAATAAGATTATATTACGGAGCCCTGGAGGGTTCATAGAGAGAAAAATAAATAAAACGTGGCCACGTTTTACTTTCTCGTGCGCACGCTTTAGTAACTCGTGCGCACGAGTTACTAAAGCGTGCGCACGAGTTACTAAAGCGTGCGCACAAGTTAATAAAGCGTGGCCTCGTTTTATTTAAATTGAGGGATTCCTGTCCGTAACTCACAGTATCTGCTGCCCACAGCTGTTTTATAGAAGGAAAACCTCCTTCACTTTATGAAATCTCTGCGGCACCAGTGGCCTGTACTACGAAGCAGGATTTGCTATTTACACTATTCATTCATGAAGTATGACGCTGCGCTGTCAGCACGCGTCTCCATGTTTGTGATTGGTCAAATGTTGCTAACCCCGTCCCTTTCACGTGAACGCGCTCTCAGCCGGACAGAGAAACCCTGGTTGATTTACTGAGTTGATAACCAGCTTCGTAGGACCGCTTATCGACATCGCGTTTGTTATGGTTAGTTAAGCCGGGTAAATCGAACATGTCCAGGGTCTGTTGAACTGGCTTCGTCGTACAGGGCACTGGAGGCAGTAACGTGTAACTCAGCAGAATCTGAGAAGAGCAGCACCAGCTGCAAAGAGCTGTGCCTTTTACTGTTTACTTCACTGCGTTTCCCTTCATTAGAACCGCTGAATAGAGATCGAGGCTGCTACGTTTAACCACACACACCTATACACACATCGAACTACCAGAGTATTCTCCCTCGTTTTATTAAGGAGATGTCCTGTCACCGGGGCGCATGATGTGTGTGTGTGTGCTCAGCTCCGCTCTGTGTGCGTGTTCGTGTGTATCCGACACCACCGGCATTTGTTTTCAAATTACCACGAACAGTACTTTAAACAAATCTGGTTCCCCATAGTTAAGTGTATTCCCAAGTGAAATAAATGTGTTTAATCTTAATCTCGATGTGCTATAGTCCTGCCGGAGTGCACCGGAACGAACGATACTATCATAAACAAATGCCCCCCCCCCCACACACAAAACGAGGCCATGGTTTATTAACTCGTGCGCACGCTTTAGTAACTCGTGCGCACGAGAAAGTAACTCGTGCGCACGAGAAAGTAACTCGTGCGCACAAGTTACTAAAGCGTGCGCACGAGAAAGTAAAACGTGGCCACGTTTTATTTATTTTTCTCTCTATGAACCCTCCAGGGCTCCTTATTAAATTCCCCTTCCAAAATGTTTTTTTCCTCATATTAATCATCTAATGACCCCCTAGATCTTATCTCTTTGATTCCTACTTTGGAAACTACTAGAACCTTTTAAAGTAGATGAAAACAGATCCACAGCTTTACTGTTTTTAAATCTGTAACAGGGCCACTTCTACCACAGCAAGAGTACTTTTACTTTGAACATTATCTGTCAACAATTGTGTAAGAATAAGATTTGAATGCAGGACTTTTACTTTTAACCAAGTGTTTTTGCAATCACGTGTTGGATCCTAATACCTAAGCCATAACTGACTCTACTTGGATATCACAAGGAAGTGTTTCTGTTAACGAAGCAAAGTAAGATTCCACTTATTAAGGTAAGGGAAACTTTGTTAGCTCCTTCAACAGTAAACAGTAATGTGGTGATTAAGCTATTCTGTGAAATCAAATCGGGAGAGAAATAACGTGATCTGCTCTTCGATCATGTTGTTGCACAGAGATCGTCTCTTTGATTGGTCCTTGTCTCACAGTCTGCATGGAAAGAGATGAGGCTTTGATGCAGAAACGTCAGAGTGCGTGAGAGAGAGCTGAGAAGAGATCAAGGAAACGGTGACACAGAGGATGGGCAGAGTGAGAGGTACAGTTACAGAAAACCCCAAAGAGAGTCACACCTTGAGGAAGTTAACAAAACCACAGGAGGAGAACAAAAGACGCTTAATATTGAAGGTAACATCTTTTACATTTCCACCTTATATTAAAGTCACAGCTTATTTCTGAATGTATAACTTTGTTGGTGCAACAAAAAAGTGCACTTTCTTAAAACACTGCTGCTTATTTTTGTATCATTTGACTCCTTTCTTTAGCATGTGCTTGCCTCTTTCAAATATGATAGTCTACTGATGTCTGCTTTAATTTGTTTATGACCTCCACTTGATATCTTCATTTCGACATGTTCTCCCCTCTCTCTACAGGATGGGACTCGTGCAATGTTTGGTGATCTTCTGGATGTTTTCTGCACAGCTGGTGCTCTCCTCTCCGCTGGTAACAAAGTCTTCAGTAAATCAACCCACATATCTGTAGAGTCACACAGGAAATAAAGCCTTGTTTTGCCTCTCACTTACTGTAAAGTGCTCACAAGTGCAACGACATGTATTACTTTGCTGGAGTTTAGAAGCGGTGTATCTTATTTAAAAAAAATTATTTAACCTTTATTTAACCAGATAAAAGCATTGAGATAGAATCTTATTTGCAATGCTGACCTGGCCAAGAAGGCAGCATCGTTACACATAACACAAATATATAAAATACAGAGAATATAACTAAGAAAACAAAAGACAAAAAAGCAGTCACTACATTGAGCACATTAGGACAGTAAGAAAGGTGCACTACTTATTACTGCAAGAGCAGCTGGTGGAAAGGACTTCAGACAACTTCAATTTAAAACATGCTATTGAGACAAGTGCCCTCAGTTTGAGGCGTGATTGAAGGTCATTCCAAGACCAAGGACCATAATGAAAAAGACTCCTTTTCCCAGCCTCAGCAGGAACCTGGTCTAATTGATTTCATGTGAATGTGTACACAGAACGATGTGAGCCGGTATTGCGAGCCTTCAGGAGGGAGAAGGTGTAACAAGTGTCCTGCAGGTAGGATGAAATCTGCTGTCAGCAACTTCTATTCGTCTCTTCGATCTGTCATTTAGATTTGACTCACTGTTTCTAACGATTTAATCAGCAATGGTTTGAACCTGGAAATTACGACGAAGCACAGATGCTGTATCGATTTGTTCCTGTTCCGGAAGTACTTACTCAAGTCTTACCTGCAGGAGCAACATGTCATTGTATAACAACTGCATTCGAAATCTTGCATGAGTAAAAGTACAGAAGTAATGCCATTTAATATACTTAAAGTACAAAAAGTACTTGTTAAGTGTAATGACCAATTTCAGAGTCATATGTCAAAGTACTGGATTATGATTATTGATGCATTCATGTATATGGAGCTAATTTGTACTACTAATAATAATAATATGGTTAATACTAATTTTTTGTCTTCTTAACTTGCTTGTAAAACCCTTTGAGCACCAGGAAAAGCGCTATATAAATGTAATGTGTTATTATTATTATTAGGCTATTACTATATAAATAACTTATATGGATATCTTTACTTTTAATTATGTGTTAAATAATTAGTTAATTTATGTTGCATAGCCTATAATCTGAATCTGTAAAGTATCAAGTCACTAAAGCTGTTAATTCAATAACTGTAGTGGAATAGAAAGTTGTGTAAAAAGTAAAATATGGGTCTACAGAATATAGTAGAGGTGAAATATAAAGTACAATGTACCTCCCACCTCTGATTTCTTCAACATGTCTCTGTTTGTCTCGATTAAAGTGACGCCCTCTCCCTGTGTGCGACCACATCCTTTATTATTCTGCGCTCGGGGCGAGAGACCTCATCCGGTTGTTGTCATTATTCTCTCTCTCTCTCTCTCTCAGGTGAGTACCAGAGGTCGTGTGCAGAGTGTGTGTCGTGTTCTGCAGGATTTTACACACTTGAGCTCAACTGTGAACAAAACTGCCACGCCTGCTCCAGAGACTGCAGCGCAGGTAAAGAAACACGAGTTATCTCCACCAACGATAGTGATGATGGTGCCAAGACGAGCTTTGAACTTTAATAATAAACAGTTACATTTACCCTTAAAGCAGGGGTTCTCAAAGTGCGGCCTGCGGGCCAATGGCGGCCATCGGAAATGTTTCTGGCGGCCCGCGATAGTTAATGTGACACGCTGAAATGCATGCGTTATATTTTAATCCTCCATGGTTGTATCTAGTAAGAATTAGAATGGAATTTAAGAATGGTAAAACTGTGCCCCCTGGGTTGTCATTCCTAAATTATGAATGACAGCTTGTGGAAAGTTTGCTAGAGTACTGGTTGCATGGTTACGGAGCCCCTAAAGGGACATGGAAAAAAAAAAAAAAAAGAGAGAGAGAAAAAAAATAAAGTAAGGAAAACGGATTTGTTTCTCGTGCGCACGAGAAACAAATCCGTTTTCCTTACTTTATTTTTTTTTTAGAAAGTTACCGATGCACCTAGGAGGAAGTGGAACACGAGACAACCCATTTCATTGCAGACTGTTATGTTTACGTGGGGAAATGACAGTGCATACATTATTTGAGATATATTTTGAAGTCAGACTTAATTTTATGGACATTTCGGCCAGGGGTGTAGAGCTATTGGTTTAAGCACCGGATTGGCAAAACACTGGCGAGTCTGTAAACCAGTCTGCTTTGATCTATGAATTAATGTCCGTGACTCTCAGAGTACCTGCTGCCCGCAGCTGTTTTATAGGGAAACACACACACACACACACACACACACACACACACACACACACACACACACACACACACACACACACAGAGCCAGTGGCGGACTGGCCATTGGGCCGGTACCAAAGTGGGCCGCCCGTCACTAGCCGTCTAAGTACGATATATATCTCAAATAATGTATGCACTGTCATTTCCCCACGTAAACATAACAGTCTGCAATGAAATGGTTGTCTCCTGTGCGCTTCACTTTCTCCTTGGCGCACCGGTAACTTTCTCAACAAAAAAAAGTGCGCACGAGTTAGTAAAAAAAAAGTCAGGATAACGAGTTAGTATCTCGAGAAACTAACTCGTTATCCTGACTTTTTTTTTTCTCTCTCTCTCTGTTTTTTTTTTTTTTTTTTTACATGTCCCTTTAGGGGCTCCGTACATGGCAACTAGGCATCTCGCGAGTTGCGGTAATTGGTTAGTACAATAAAGAAAGGATTTGTTTTGGAATTATTTTGTGTTCCGTTTTTTCTTGGGCGGCCCTCAATCCAATATTGGGTACCTAAATTGGCCCTCACTCATCAAAACGTTGAGAACCCCTGCCTTAAAGGAATGAGAACAGAACCGCATGAATATCAGTGATTAAAAAACCCTAAAATCACCTCCATTTCCCCACTCCCCTAGAGTCACATCTGAAGGTGGTTCAGAACTGCAGCCGCTCGTCCAACATGAGGTGTGTCTGTGAGGAAGGCTTCAGATGCTCTCACCTCGTCACTGAGTCAAGAAACTGCAGAGACTGTGAAAAGATACAGGAAACAACAACAGGTAAACAACAACAACCACATGTAAACAACAACAGGTAAAACACTGCAGACTTCTAAACCGTCATAACAGACTCTACCACCAGGGGGCGTCATGATAAACGAAATATACCGCACTGACTGTAAGAGAGAGAGAAATACTGTACTTTGTGACAGTGATAAAAAGCAGAGGTGGGAGAAGTACTTATATCTTTTGAGTAAAAGTAGAAGTACTCAGATATTGTACTTTAGTAAAAGTAGAAGTACTCAGATATTGTACTTGAGTAAAAGTAGAAGTACTCAGATCTTGTGCTTGAGTAAAAGTAGAAGTACTCAGATCTTGTACTTGAGTAAAAGTAGAAGTACCAGAGTGTAGGAATACTCTGTCACAGTAAAAGTCCTGCATTCAAAATGTTACTCAAGTAAAAGTGCAAAAGTATTCTCATCAAAATATAGTTAAAGTAGCGACAGTAAAAGTAGTCATTGTGCAGATTGGTCCATTTCAGAATAATATATATGATATGTTTTATAATGATTGATCATGAAAGTGTTCTCAAAGCTGGTAAAGGTGCAGCTAGTTTGAATGACTTTGTATACTGCAGGGTAGCTTGTGGATTTACTCCAGGTGGAACTAAAGTCTGATTTAAGAGCTGATTATATTTCACATCATTCATCCAAATCTGCAAAGTAACTAAAGGGATTAAATACATGTAGTGGAGTAGAAGTACACCATGTACCTCTGAATTGTAGTGGAGTAGAAGTACACAGTAGCATAACATGGAAATACTCAAGTAAAGTACAAGTACCTCAACGGTAAATCTACTTAGTTACTTCCCACCTCTGAAAATAAGTTATAGGAAGTCTCTCATATGAGCTCCCCTATAAGGGAGGTGAACAGTATAAGGAATACTCATATCATATATTTAGAAAAGTGATGCCACCGTGCAAAATACCCCATTATTACTAGTAGTTCTACTTTACGTATGCATGTATTAATATACTCAAACATATACTACTCATTTAATAAAAAACAAGGCATATAGAACCATGAACATGTTAAACAATGGTAAAAAGTTATAATAAAACAATGAATATTCACTAGAAGAATATGAGGTATAAAAATGCTGTCAAAATTATCGCGTTAGCGGCGGTAATTAATTTTTTGAATTAATTGCGTTAAAATATTTAACGCATTTAACGCATGTGCAGAATGGCGCGCCCCATACATCCCACCAGTGGCAGCGCTGGGGTAGGCTACACCCATACCAAGAAATCGCTTAGCCCCACCTTAGCCCCACCATGAAAAATGATGTTAAAGTAAGCAAAATAAAGTCCGCCAACTCGTGCCGAGTAAATTGCACAGACTGCAGTTAGTAAGATTGATTTCAGTAGCCACTTGTCTGGAAATACCGAAGACCAGTCACGTAGTGATCGTCTTCTCAATAGAACATACTTTTGCTGTAGTACAGGGGTGCACATAAATTATAACTGGTACGCAGGTTATGTGCGTAATCTGAAATGCGTACCGTCACTTGTGTCACAAAGCGCATTTGCGTACCGACGTACTTGTGAAGCTTTTCCAGAAGGCGGTTAGATCACCGGACGACAGAGTCGGTCTCCGTGTGCACAGACAGGGCTGCTGTTAACGTCGGTCTGTACAACGGAATTGTGCCAAAAACTACGCCAACCGGCTGCGGAGGGAGACTCCCCCCCTTCACTGGAGAACTGCGCTAAAACAGCTGATCACAAGTTCACACTCTGTGCTCACGAAGTACTCCACTAGCCCCTCCCCCGTCGACTTTCCTGAAGTACTCCCCCGTTGATAGAAATCAACACGTAATGAATTAAGACCCCACGGTTTGATGATTGATAGCTGTGTGGGCTGTCTTTTATTTTGACACACAGAAAAATGTTATAATAAACATAGATACTGGATATATCCGCCTTCTTTCATTTATCTTTCCATTCCCACAACAATATACATAAATAAATGGCATATTTTGGACATAGTTCGAATGGTGATTAATCATGATTAATTAATTTTTAAGCTGTGATTAATCTGATTACATTTTTTAATTGTTTGACAGCCATAATAAAAACATAAATAAAATGACACACAAAAAAGAAATGATATGATTATTACCCACTAACATAAACTGTGTTTGCTCCTGTCCGGACCTTTAAATTGCTCTCATGTCAATTATTCTCAATACCGTTGATAAGCAATTGTGCATGGTATGACAACTGTGAACTGTACTACTCCTAAATACCGTTAAAAATAAGAAATAAATGAAGAGTATGTTGGAAAATGATATGAAACGGTTCAAAAACGATTAAATATATGTGAAAAAAGCTTTGCAGTCAACCTGGGAACTAACACCTCTTCACAGGAACAGAAGCAACAGTACTCTGAAGATAATCATTTATGAAATGTATGTGTTACTTCCTTGTACTTCAGCCTTCATTGTTGTTTGACAGCAGAGAGATGACAGGAAATGAAGGAAGAGAGAGATATTTGAAAACATGCAACAAAGTTTATTTCTGCGGACAATGAACCATGAAGTTCACGGTCAGAGCGTTAACCCGTAAACAGTCTGTCCTCTTGAATCCGAAAGTAAAGCTGTGATGTTTTTCTGCTGCTTTTTCAGAACCAGATAAACAGACGACTTCCTCAGCTTCCCCGGGACGAAGCAGCTCTTGCACAAAACCCTGCACGTTACCCAAGTAAGTCATATATTTCCTTAGAGAGAGTTTTGGATTAAAACAACTTTGACACCTCTGACACCCCTTAATGTTACAACTGTACATACAAATAGAAAACAAACCAAAAGAAAGCCATAAGCCATACTTTCACATTCAACCCACGTTAAACAATTAAATGAAATTGCTAAATGTTTACCATATGTTCACTTTAATAACTACAATATAACAGATGGCCATCTTTCTTGTTAAATAACAGGTCTCTCAACATTCCCTAAACATGTGCTAAGTCTCTTATTACACTGAATGTTCCTCTTCATCACAGACGGTTGACACCACATAAATAGTAATAGCTGTTCTTATACTGCATAGTCTTTTCGACCCCTCAAAGCGCTTTACATACTATCAGTCATTCACCCATTCACACCTCATTCATGCAGAGCAGAACCACACCCTAAAAACAAATGCCTTGGCTCAACAAAGAAAATCAAGGCAACCGTTTGCATCGATGTTTATTGAGTTAAGACAACTTCTAATGAAATTGTCTTAAGGCAACAAAGTTATTTGAGTTAGGGGAGAAGGCTTTTCCTCTACAATCAGGTGTTTTTAATTACCACTTACTTAATAATTGGAGCATAAACACAAGTTTTTAAGTTGATTACTCAAAAGATTAAGTTGTTCCAACTTGTTTTACCACATGACTTAAATGTAATTTTAAGTTGTATGTACTTAATTACCCTCATTGTAAACACACGTTTTTAAGTTGACAACCATTTATAAATTAAACTGCTCCAAATATATTGTATTCAATAGTTTTTTTTCTTAGCTTTTTCATATTTTTGCCTTTAAAGAAAGAAAGAAATTGATTCCACAACAAAAATATTAGGCAATTCACTTTTTATTTTGAACTGCAGTTGTTTATTTCAACACATGATGTTTCAATCAGGAGAGAATTCATTTAGTTTGAACATGTATTGACACATGCCATATGATAAGGTGCATGAACACCTGAAATCACAGCTGACTGCAGGAGAGAGGAGAACCATTTTATAGTTTGGCTGCAGCACGTTGATTGGCTGCTGGAGAATGATGTGAAATGTAATAGGTTAAAGAGAACGCCTGTGATGAGCTGATTATATGCAGCTGCAGAGTGAACACACCCAGTCTTCCTGAAAGAACTTGCGCTGAGCTTCATTTAAATCTTGATTACAAAAGATAAATAACACACATTTAAATTGCCCCACAAATAATAAATAAACACATTAGCTATATTACCATGGGACATGGGCACACAGCAATTTGCCTATACAGTGCAACTACAAGGCTATCTACTGTATGTGAATGACAACAGATGACACTCACCTTAAAATGTCCTTTGTATATTTCTATTTGTCTTAACTGTGGGAACTTGTCCAGGCATGTTAAGTGGGAGTGGACTTGAAATCCTTAACTCAAGGTGCAGAACAATTAAGTTATCAAGCCAATTGCATTACTTACTACAACTTGAATTTAGTTTGAAGTCAATTAACGCAGAAATCAGAGTTCAAATGACACACAATATTAAGTTGATGTAATTACCAACATTATTACGTCAACACAACTTATAAATTAATGTTTGCAACTTAAAATGTTTATCTAAATCAATTAACTCACATTTTTATCTTGCAACCATGCATTTAATTAAGTGGAGGTGAAAGGTCGCCTGAATTCGTTTATAGAGTGCACTTGCTGTAGGGAAGCTACACGCACACACACTCACACACACACACACACACACACACACACACACACACACGCACACACACTCTCACACACACACACACACACACACACACACACACACACACACACACACGCACACACACTCTCACACACACACACACACGCACACACACACACACACACACACACACACACACACTCACACACACACTCACACACACACACACACACACACACACACACACACACACACACACACACACTTGCATGCACTCACACATACTCACACACACACTCACACACACACACACACACTCTCACACACACACACTCACACACACACACACACACACACACACACACACACACACACACTCACACACCGGGAGCACCAAGTTACCCAAGGATACAGGTACATCTCCATACATTTTAATATTGTGGAAAAGTTGATTTCAGTATTTCTATTTAAAAAAAGTTGAAACTCATATAGCCTACGATATAGATTCATTTCACACAAAGATAATTATTATTATTATTATTATTATTAAGTGTTTATTGGTTTTAATCTTGATGATTACAGCTTACAGCTGATATTAAATACTGTAAGACCAATACAAAAAGGATTTTAAATACAGAAATGTCGGCCTTCTGAAAAGTGTGTTCATGTTTCTGCTCCTTTTGCACAAATTACTGCAATAATGGCCTTCAGCTCGTCTGCACTGTTGGGTCTTGTGTCTCTCATCTTCCTCTTGACAATACCCCATAGTTTAACTTTTTTAAATAGAATTACTGAAATGAATACACTTTTCCAAAATATTCTAATGTATTGAGATATACCTGTACATCGACATGTTGACTGCACGGGCTGGGATCGAGCCTCCAACCTTCTGACTTTAAAGATGACAGCATTGCCTCGCAGCCACAGTCCCCCTACATCTAGATCACTTTAGTCCTCTCAAAGTCACAGAGTATTACATGAAGTGTATTTGAGCATTTGTTATGAACCTTACAGATATCGCAGTCAGTTCTTGCTCTTAAGGTCACATTTTTAAGATGTTAAACACTTCACCTTTTTCTCACACAGCTGCCGCCCGACGCCAGAACCACCAGCAGGACATGACCCACACATAGGTGAGAGTGAAGAGAAGATTATTTAGAGACTGTTTTCAATGTATTTCTAATGTTGTGAGGCACAATGTTTGATCTATGTTCTAACCACATGTTTCAAACTCAAGGCCCGGGGGCCAAATCAGGCCCTTGGTGGATTTAATTTCGGCCCGCAGGATAATTTCTAATTCCTATTAGATCTGGACCACCGGTATATTGCACACACACCTTCACTCCATCCTGAGAGTCTCCTCAGCTCAGAGCCTGAGCCCAAACATTGATGACCTTGCACCCAAGATGAGATGCCAAGTATCTGAACTAGCATCACAGAGCAGCACACTGAGTTTAATGGATGTTTCCTTCTGCACTTTCTTTCTTGAGACAACAGGGCATGTTTGGTTTTTCTTTGAGGGAAATAGTTTTTTTGAAGCTGTTGTTGGCCTGTGGAAAAATGTACTGATAAGAAATGACTCTGCAGATAGAGCCATAAGAAATGACTCTGCAGATAGAGCCATAAGAAATGACTCTGCAGATAGAGCCATAAGAAATGACTCTGCAGATAGAGCCATAAGAAATGAATGCAACTGATTATTTAATGTTGTTTTTATAGGCAATAATTTAAGCTTTGTTAGTTCCAGGTTTAATATGTGCAATAAGTTCATTTCAATACGTTTTGCAATAAACATTGAACCAGTCCGGCCCTCGACTAGTAGGCCTACCCATTTTTTTATTTTGGCCCACTGTGTATTTGAGTTTGACCCCTAAAGCATGTCTGTAGTGATGGAAATGTTGGTCGGACAGCAGTGGTTTAAAGTAACTAAGTAGATTTACTCAAGTACTTAAGTAACATTTTGAGATACTTGTACTTTACTTGAGTATTTCCATATTCTGCTACTTTGTACTTCTACTCGACATAAATTCAGTCTACTCCACTACATGTATTTAATACCTTTAGTTACTTTGCAGATGTGGATGAATGATGTGAATTATAATCAAGTGTTGAATCAGACTTTAGTTCCACCTGGAGTAAATCCACAAGCTACCCTGCAGTATACAAAGCCATTCAAACTAGCTGCACCTTCACCAGCTCTGAGAACACTTTCATGATCAATCATTATAAAACATATCATATATATTATTCTGAAATGGACTTTAACTCTTGTTTTGATTTATCTCAGGCGGGAAGAGCGTTCGGCTGGAGGCCATCTTGTGTCCGGTGGCTCTGGGATGTTTGGCCCTTTTGATCCTGTTCTTCTTTCGCTCAAACCGAGATGACAACGCAGAGGAATCGTGTTTCAAGCGAGGTAAGATGGTGTGTGTGTACTGGACATCCTGGACAAGCTCAGTTGCTCATTAACCAATCAAACCCTTAACTTTATGATGACATCACCTCTGGGGAAACAATAAAAGCTGTTTTCTGGAAGCAACGGATTCCATGTAACGGGAATATGTAATAATTAGGATACAATAAAAAGATAGTAGATGTAGTAATCAGGTTACATTACTTTTATCTTTTAATACTAACATTAGGTTACATTTTGTACAGGTAGTCATTCATTATTAACAGTATACATTTTTAAAGTAACCCCCCAATCCTGTTGAAAGCCTTTAAAGAGGTCCTATTATGCTTTTCTAGGGTTCCTCTTTCCTGCAGTGTGTTGCATAGGTTTTTGTGCATGTCAATGGTCTGTAAAGACTTAAATCTAAAGGCCGAAACACCTCAAGACTCCTTTTTTTTATTTCTGTAACATAATGACATCACTGTGAAACACATGTTTCTATTCGCTGCCGCTCCAACACATTGTGCGTGATAGGCTAAGGGGCGGGACATCTCTAAGCGGTTGACCAATCACAACAGAGCCGGCCAGCTAACCAATCAGAGCAGACTGGGCTCTGGTTTCAGACAGAGGAGAAAAATAAAGAGCTTTTTGAACATTAAAGCATGGAGACATGTCCCAGGAGAGACACTACATACATGGTGAACATTTGCAAATTGAATGTTCAAAAAGTGCTTTATGTTTCTCATTATGCCTGTGAGAAACATAATGAGCCTTTGGAAACCATTGTTATACCTCAAAAACAATACAACAGTCTTTGTCATCTTTAAGAAACAACTGATTAGAAATGTGTCATTGGCTTCTTCATGTGTGAAAAACGGACTTTGTATTCATGTGTTTTCTATTGTTTTCCAGCTATTGCAAAGTTATGCAGTGAGGTAAGTTTCCACGTTTCATTCGTGCATGTTTCTACATAAATCGCATCCCTTCTGGTTTGCCTGCCTCACACTGACAGACATGTTTTTCTTCAGGGAGGAGGAGATGCTTCTCACAAGCCGCAGGAATCGACTCACCCGCCCCCCAGAGACTCATTCAGTGCCAAGCAGCCGCCGGCCGGCCTCTCTGCAGCCAGTCAGGGTACTGATGAGTGAAACCAAAACATCCATGGGAAATACATTACTCACTTTGTGGAGTCATTAAGAAAATAAAACCATTTTTTTCCGTTTTATGTATATTTTCATGGCTCTTTTGTATAAGTTATATTGATAAGCATTTTTTTGCGGGTGGAGGGGGGAGTGTAGTGAGTGTACTGTGGTACTGTGATCTTACAATATAAATGAAATGGCATCGATTACTGTACACTATAATGAAATAAAAAATAAAAATGAAACAAGCGAAAAATGCAGCTGCGTTCCTGTTATGAATGTGTGTTCTTTAAACTACTTCGGGTAAATAACAACGTCCACTCTTTGTTTGTTTTTTCTTTAGTTCCAGTCCACGTCTATAATCCAGGGACGGTTATCTTCAGCCTCCTCAATCAGTTTACAGGACAAGTCGGTCCAACGATGGTCCAATGTGGGAAGACGGCCGAGAGAGTGACCAGCGAAGAGGAGGAAGAGGAGAGAGGCTGTCCTGTGTTTCACCCCACATCCTCTCCCAGCATCCACCTCTCTGAGGAGGAGAGGAGCGGAGAGGCTGACAGCATTTTCTTTCCCTCCCAGGAGCAAGGAAAGGAATGCCATGTGTCCAAAGAGGAGTCGCTATAATGCGTCCTAAATATCCCAGACGATTTACGTTGGTGGTTTACGACCGCTGGCATCCAGACTTTTTTTAGTAACTACAGAACAGATGAATGTGGAGCCTTTGGCAAACTGTGAAGGGATCCCAGTGCCATGCAGCAGAGACTTTGTTATCTGGGAAGAAATGCGGTCCAAGCACACCAGACACTTGAACTTTGGGAAGAACAGCTGGAGGGGATCTCCTGTGTAAGTTATCATGTAAATACTCTTCGCTCTGCTCTCTTTAAAAGTGTCAGACTCGGATGTTTTACGTGAATATTACTTGATTTGGTTACAATAAAACTTTATTCAGAATAAAGAAAGCTGACTAGAAATATAAAGAAATCAAAACATTCACATTTGAAAAATCTTAAAAGTCTGTTTATATTTACATCTATAAATGTACCACAGTACATACCACCGGCACAGTTTCTAACTCATGCGCAGTTACAGCGTCACACTTGGTATTTGAAGTTCTCCAATCCCATTCATCATCTTAACGTCACAGATGTCAGACAGTCAAGTTTCCCCCGGAAAACAGCAGCAGTCTTGAAATCTGTTCTTCCATTTCTAGCGTAGGCCCGTTTGCCCTTAATGTCCAAAGAGATGTTTTGCAGTAAATGTTCATATTCTGGAGCTCTTCTTTCACTCATACACATTCACATTTCCCGACCACTTCCTGGATAGGCGTGGACACTTCTTCGTCCTCGGAGCATGCCGGTACCGGCGCAGGTTCTTTAGCCAAAAAGTAGCCTGAGCAACAACAGAAAGAGGGAAGATATCTTAAGTATTCAGGTAAAAATACGAGGTAGTTGTCACTTTAATTTTAAAACGAATGTGTGCACAACATAAAATGATACTCTCAGTGCACTCCCTCTGTGTGTATACTGGTTCAGGATTATCTGCTTCATTATGTTAATGACTAACCATTCGTGGATTTGATCCAGCGCAGAAAGGGCTTTATGTTTGCGACAAAAACGATTGCAAGTCCTGCACACAGGAGGGCAATAATCACCAGGAACCACACGGTATCTGTAAGAACTTGTGAGAGAGACATTTATAGATTGAAATACACTGGAGAGAGTTCAGTCATTTCCTTGTTTGGATTGGCACAGACAGAACTTTACCTCTGAGCTGTGGAGCAGGCGGCCAGGCTGTAGTGAGGCCAGGTTTCAGGACTGCAGGGAGACAGAGTTCATTGGAAACATTTCACTTTTCATGGTTCAGATTAGATCGTGAGCGCACTCCTTTATTTGATCTGATCAGGAAGTCCCGATATGTAAATACACAAAACGGTTTATAATTAACTCCTGTGACCCTGTGTGTGTGTGTGTGTGTGTGTGTGTGTGTGTGTGTGGTCTAGCATTACTATACTTGTGGGGACCTAAATCTGTTTACACAGTCACGTGTGGGGACTGGCTTCCCTTATGGGGACAAAATGGAGGTCCCCATGAGGGGAATCATTAATTTTAGGGTGAAGACTTGGTTAGGTTTAGGGTTAGGCATGTGTTGGTTATGGTTAAGGTTAGGATAAGTCTCCAGGAAATGCATGTAAGTCAATGTAATGTCCCCTGAAGTGATGTATGCATGGTATGTGTGTGTGTGCGTGCGTGCGAACTAACGCCACGGAAACTGAAAAATATTTAAAGAGTAGCTAAATAAAGTCAAAACATGTAAGAAAGAAGTCTTTATCCACTTTGATATCTATTATGTTGTGTATTGGCTGAGTGCCTCAAAAGAGAAAAAACACCTATATATTATTTTAAGAATATAATAATAAGAAGAACACTCTGTGAAGAAGTGCTTTTAATGCGGATGTCCAATCAGTGTTCATGGTAATTGAAGTCGAAGCATTGCATGAGGAGTTTGTTCATCAACACTGATTGGATATCCTCATCACATGTGCAGAATTCTCCCTTTAATGCAGTATAATAACATTTGCACAAAACAAAAATATTGTATTCCTACATGTTTGGTTATCAGCTGTCAATAACTTGTTCTCTCTAAAAATAGATTGGATTCAACTTTATCGTTATTGCACAACGAAATGCAGTTTGCACCCAACCAGAAAGCGCAAAGAGTAACAAAGGGCATTCGTTTTCTATTCAAATATACATCACAGAAAACAATTAAGGTGCAGGGTTTAGACAAAGTATATCGATAAGTACAGGTAGATGCAATGTCACTGAACGTAATGAAATAATGCGTTCTTAACTTCAGATTGCTAAAATAATCTACAAAAATGCTCATGTATTGTTTTGTAATGTGTTGTGTGTTCGCAGTAGGGCTACAGTCTACCCCAAAGCTACAGTGATACGCAGGGTTACATGTGTGCCATGTGATTGAAAGGACAGCAGTTGAAAAGGGAAAAAGCTAAAAATGTTGTTTTCTCTTCCCTTTTTTCATGAATGATCATCAACGTATTACCTTTAACATCAGACTGCAGAAACTGAACCAGATATGTTATTTCTGTTAATTTAGTGGATTCCTTTGTAAACTTTCATCCTGCTCTATTCCGTAATATATGTCGAATTCAATTGAGCAACAAATTAAATGTTATTTATGTTTCTTTTCTGAAAATATGTGTCTTTTCTGCAAGAATGGTGCTTTCCTGTGCACGTGAACGGACTGGAAAACGGCTGTCTTTTATCAGATGTTTTAATGTAATGCACGCAGATAGGCTCACCTGTAGTGGGTGGAGCAGGTGTAGGTTTGATGGTGGTTGGTGGTATCGGCACACACTGTTTGCGGGACGCATCTCTGAACTTGTAGCCGGCGTTACATCGGCACACTGCGTTGTGAGTGGAGTTGCAGTTTGAAGCATACGCCATGTTTGCTATAAGAAGATGCATGGTTTCTTTACTATAACTACAAACAGTGTGTTAGTGATGAACCAAATGCACTAAGGCTGCCTGTAAAACATGACATGAATCAGACAATGAGGAATGAGTCACACTCTGGATTCTGGGTCTCAGTCACAGGGCGGTTTTTATTCTCACTGTTGATGCATATTTGTAAAGTAAGACACAACTGTTATTACTCAGTAAAGCAGTATTTCACTTTGATTGCACATTTAACCCTCTTACTAAATGTTTTTACGAGCATACTTCGATATGAACTCACAAATAGCAATAGTATGGGTCCCTGAGTCATTACAAAACACTTACCAGTCCAACATAGTCATTAAACTACAACACAACCATAATTACATTTGGTGTCATTTAGGGTTATTGTTCAGAGAGAAGATGGGAGTGGTTACATTTCACTGAACTTCAGTATCAGACATATTTTACATGAACTATCTTCAATGCATTCTTGTCATACACAGTCATACTCCTCTGTTCCCAAAACTGGCATTAAAAGGACTTCCCAAACACGATTTAAACTAGATTATCATAAACTCTGCAATATATAACCTTACGCCTGACAGGGTATGGTAATGCTTGGGTCCCATGAGGCTGTATATATCGACTCAAAGTAGTACATTTCAACATTTTGACGTTTTTCCTTTTACTCTGCTGTCCCATGATGAACCATATAATAAAATAGAGGACTTCAAATAGCAATTATTCCAACACGTGTTTATCTTGGATGTGAATCAAACAGAAATAGACAGAATGAAGTACAAAGCTTAAGAGTTGCTGCAGATTCAAAGCAAAGATGTTTACTCTTAAAACTGAATAATTTACAGACAATTAAAAAAATAAATCGTCCGGAAAGCCGGTAAGAGTACGACCTTATACTCTACTGAAGTAAACATCTATCATTTAAGAGTTAATATGTGGCATGATTCCTTTTTGCACACCCAAATCCTTGCAAACATCAATCCAATGAAAACCAAAGTGTATTGAAGTATCATCACTGTTGTATTGCAACGACAGTGATGAGGTTTTTGTGTGGGTTAAATCATTTCCACATGAATTAGTTTCCAGAGCCGTTAATTGGCATATTATTTGACATTTCAACACCCACCTTTAAACCCGCAGTGTAAAAGGTTTGTTGACAGCTGCACTGTACACATTGAATCCAAACAGGCTCACCCTTACATTATGTGAGAACGTTTAGGTGCAGACGTGAAAGTCAAAAATCACAGACTTGTGTTTTCCCCTCTGTGTTCACAGTGACATTTAAGAATAAGCACAACAGGCTGTTTTTGCTCCTCTTTAGCAGAGGCCTTAGCGTCTGAGTCTCTTTCCGATGTTTACCACATTTCGGTCTTTTTTCCCCACTGTCAAGATGATGGTCTTTCAATTTTGAAACTCTTCCTGTCTGTACTTGTGATGACTTACATTATATTACATATTATATCGACACATGAATGTTTGTTTGTGTTTAATTAATCAATTGACCATTGACCCAAAAAATGGTAATGGTAGCACGTGCTGCTAATGGTGTTGTTAAAGGTTAAGCCAATCATGTACAATTTGTTGGAGCGCTAGCCAATAGAGCACATGTGTCAAACTCAAGGTCCGGGGGCCAAATCAGGCCCTTGGTGGATTTGATTTCGGCCCGCAGGATAATTTCTAATTCCTATTAGATCTGGCCCGCCGGTATATTGCACGCACACCTTCACTCCATCCTGAGGGTCTCCTCAGCTCAGAGCCTGACCCCAAACATTGATGAACTTGCACCCAAGATGAGATGCCAAGTATCTGAACTAGCTTCACAGAGCAGCACACTGAGTTTAATGGATGTTTCCTTCTGCACTTTGTTTCTTGAGACAACAGGGCATGTTTGGTTTGTTCTTTGAGGGAAATAGTTTTGTTGAAGCTGTTGTTGGCCTGTGGAGAAATGTACTCATAAGAAATGACTCTGCAGATAGAGCCATAAGAAATGAATGCAACTGATTATTTAATGTTTAATGTTGTTTTTATAGGCAATAATTTAAGCTTTGTTAGTTCCAGGTTTAATATGTGCAATAAGTTCATTTCAATAAGTTTTGCAATTAACATTGATCCAGGCCGGCCCTCGACTAGTACCCATTTTTTTTATTTTGGCCCACTTTGTGTTTGAGTTTGACAGCCCTGCAATAGAGTGATATCACTATGTTATGGAAGTAAACAAAGGAGTCCAATGGAGGCGTTTCAGGGAGAGAAACTCCCTCTGGAGCGAACACAGGGATTGTAGTCTTTGCAGACCATTTACATGCACTGAAACCTACAACACACGACAGGAAAGGGAAATTCCCCCTAAAACACAACAGGGCCTCTTTAATGCTGCAGAATCCCACCCTAATAACCTCCCTTTTCACGGAGGGTTTCTCAGACCCCACCAATTCTCTCTCTGACTGTCTCCCACCATGACACACGATGGGAAATCCCCTCCCATCTGTGACCCTTTGAGTCTCTTTGGGCAAACTTCTCAGAAAACATGACGAAGACACAGAGTTGAGTAACAAGCATGTTGAGTAACAAGCCTGGACCTGACTCCAGACTAAGGATTAATCACTCACTTCAAACTAAATGAGAACCAAAATGTTACCCAGAGGGAGGGGGTAGCAGATAGTATTTCTAGAGTATTGATGAATCACTTCTAATTAAAACATCAATGTTTCTGGTTCATCTTCAAGATGACTACACTCTTCTTAACCTGTTTATGTTAATGATCCAGTCTTATAATCAAGTGCATTATCAGGGTGGAAACTGTTGAACAATGAGGGTTTAAATCTCCTGTATGTGCAAGAATCAGTCTCTGTGAGCTGTGTTAAAGGGGCCCTATTCTGCTCATTTCATATCAGTACTTAGTGTCTCTACTGGGACGTGTCTCCATTCCTTAAGGTTCAAAAAGCTCTTTATTCTTCTCATACTGCCTGTGCTGCAGCTCCTCTTTTCACCCTCTGTCTGAAACCAGAGCCCAGGGTGCTCTGATTGGTTAGCTGGCTGGCTCAGTTGGGATTGGACAACCGCTTAGAGATGTCCCGCCCCTTAGCCCATCACGTACAATGTGTAGGAGCGCTAGCCTACAGAAGTGGAGTGTTACCTAGTGATGTCACTATGTTGGAGAAGGAAACAAACTTTGGGATGCTCGACTTTGCAGACCATTTACATGCACCATATAACTCACTACAGGAAAGGGGAACCACAGACAGCACAATCGGACCCCTTTATACTAATATATAACATCATATGAACCATTATGAAATCATGCTGTCACTGATGCTGTTTCTGTGTCTCTAAGTAGCATTTTCATCCAATTCAGGCCTCACACACCCAACAGAAAAGCTGTGAAAATACTCACATTTATTGCAATTTCCACAAAATTCACAGCTCCTCTTCACATCGTAGGTATCCCTGTACAGTTTCTCCTTGCAGGGTCCACACTCATGTTCACAAATGACTGTTGAACGCGTAAGCATACGCTGACCTGGAATACACACACAACTTAAAGGTTATTATCTGTTTGCATAACTTTGAAATGTGTAAAGGAGAAATTATGATTTTTGTACCTGGCGCGCATTTGTCGCAGCATAACGTAGGTGTGACCGCTGGCCAGGCATAGTGTCTGTCAGAGCAGTGTAGAGACAACACAGAGGAGAGGGAAGAGAGAGTGCACAGGAGAGAGAAATAACAAAGTGGCTGCATCTGGGAAGAAGAGGAAAAAAGAGAGGAGGAGGAGATAGATGTAAATATATTCAACAGACACAGAACACATTCCTAGTGTGGTGAAATGTATAAGTATATTTAGTCAAGTACCGTAAGTACACATTTTAGTCACTTAAGTATTTTTACTTAATGCTACTTTTTACTTTACAGCTTGAGCTACTTTGCAGATTAGGATTAATAATAATACAAAATACAATGTAATCAATACATTATGATATATTATCATTATCATCATGCGTTATCACAAAAACTTGGATCATTATTTGTATTAAAATGATGCATTGCAAGTCAAGCTAAGTTTATTTATATAATAATGTGTCATTAAGATGAACCCCACCTTTACCAGCTTCAAAAGTGATGAAAACATGAATGTATTAACAAATAAAATTCAATTATTTACTATATATTATTCTCAAATGGTCCAGTACTTTTACATTTGGCACTTTCAGTACATTTTGATGCTAATACTTTTGTACTTTTACCTGATAGCAGGACTTTTACTTGTATCTGAGTATTTTTACACTAAGTACTTCTTCCAACACTGGAGATTTTTACATCACAATAAACAGAAAGTCTAGCAGTGAAGCTACACAATGCAGTATATACACTTTACCAATAAGATACCATTTTAAAAGACAAATCTTCTTACCACCAATAAAAACACTTTACATGCTACTGCGAGTGATTTAAGGGAAGTTTTCACCCAAGGTTTGACTTACAGCTATGGTTTGAAATGTCTCTTCTAAAGTTTGTACTTACCGTGGATGAGGAGGCGAGAGAAGATGTGAGCAGAGACCCTCTGAGTGTGAGACTGAGCAGGGGACCAGAAGTGTGTCAGGGGATTGTTCATCAAATGTCGAATGACTCATTCTGAGAGCTTAACATTTGAATGATGTTTTTGATATATGTCAACCTGTCTCAGTCTTTTTGCTGCGACCCTTGGCTCCGTGCACAAAAACAAGACCTCCATCAGCCTCTTACTTTTTCCACACGCGCCATCTCTCTCGTTTCACCAAAAACCTCTATTTTAGGCTGAAAACAATCTCCCTTCCTCTCTTCTTGTATACCTGTCTTTGACTCTCGCTCTCTTCAGTCAAATATCATGCATCACTCATTTCACTCGTATCCCTCCTGTTGCTGAAAGAAATTACATGAATCTACCAGCCTGATGATAAAGGAGAGAACAGTTGAATGGTGAGGCAAATAGGGGCTTAGTCATCTAATCATGCATGAGGAAATTCACATTTCAAGAAATAACTGTGTAAATGTTTTGAGTGCCATGTAACATATTGAATGACTCCTAAATGCATAGTGTGCGTGACATCTTCTACGTGTGATAGTGTAGATGATTATCTGTCCACTGTGGCTTGAATTGCCCGGATTATATTAAAATATTACAATTCACAGAGTGATTGGTACATTCCTGCTTTTACAGTTTTTACTTTGTAAGTGTGAGAACTGTTTGTGTTATGAGGAGCTACTGATCTGCATTTCTGTAAAGTCCTTCTGCTAACACTTTATTTTCTAAGTGTCTCTTTGTTTTTGGAAGGGGACATCTTATGCAAGGCTTCAGGTGTATGTTGGGTTTCCACTTGAACGAGTTCACATGCTTAAAAATGATGAAATATGTTTATTGACAAACATCATTTTTCTCATAAGATGTGTCTGAATTCACTTGTTTTATTTTGGGGGATGTTTTGCCAGAGAGTACAGCTGATGATAGATGTTACATTTCATCAGTGTTGTGCTAGTTACTGAAAACCAGTAACTAGTTACCATTACTAGTTACTTATCTTCAAAGTAACGCAGTCACTTTACTAGTTACTTGCGAAAAGTAATGCGTTACTGTTGAAAGTAACGTTTTTGTTTCTTTGACAAAGGAGTCCCATTAATGCCCTTATAGCCTTCATTACAGTACTGTTATTGCATTGGAGAATAATACAATCTGTTGATCAACTTGACATGCATTATATGCAATCTGGATTGCATCGATATTAGCTGGCTTTCCATTTTTGTATATTCTTTCTCCAGGTAGTTGGAACAAGTTTTCCGTCCCATATGCCGTATGCCGCCCGGACATGCTATCATGCTAACTAGCTCTCTGAAAGCGGGTGACTCCACTGTAGCAATAGCCTGCATGTGTTCTACAACATACCGTGCAATGGCTTTATCGACTTTTCCCTGGCTAGCAGTCCCTTGGTTAAAATCCAGCCGCTGTTGGTTAGGTGGAGGTGGAGTGGCGTTGGATGAGTCTGGGTCTGTGCCGGACTAGCTTCGTCCCAGCAATGCCAGCATGTTGTTTTTACAGATGTTTTAAGAGATTTAAATGACTGGTTTGGGCAGTAGATAGGCTCTTTGACCCGCCAGGACACAACTTATATTTAACTAAAACGTTCTTTTCTTTGTGCTCGACAAAAGTGAAATAGTGAGAATATCTCCAGGTGGAGAAACTAGACTTGAGCTCCGCCGCCGCCATGATAGTCTTGTTAGTAAACAACACAAACACGCCCACAGCCCGTCTCCGCATGTGACACAGGAAGTATCTAAGTACATTTACTCAAGTACTGTACTTAAGTACAGTTCTCAGCTGTTCGCCTGGCTGTTGACTATATAAAAAAACTAACGGAGTAACGCACCATGTAGTAACGGTAACTGAGTTACTGAATTTAAAAAGTAATGCGTTAGAGTACTAGTTACTACCAAAAATAGCTTTGTAACGCGTTAGTCCCAACATTGCATTTCATTTAGCTGACGCTTTTACTCAAAACGACTTAAAGAGCATCTTGCAGGGTTTTTTTTTTTCTACATTTATGCTTAAACTTGCTTGAAAATTACAATTAAAAAAGTGAATGTAGGATTTGATATGTTTTACGAGAGATAAGGGCAGGAATTCAGAGGGAAAGGAGCAATTTTGAGCTCTGCTCTTAAAAACGGCTTTTTTTTAAGGTCATACATCAAACGCGTCATATTACATCACATAGGGTAAACATCTCCGCTCTCTGGTGTAGTTAGTAGTTGCGTTGAGTTGAGCGGTTGTGTTTTAGTGAGCTGGTATTTTTCGGTAGTTTTACATTGTATTTCACCATTTGTAATCATGGTGCAGTATTGTGTGTGTGCAGGTTGCACAAATACCAGCCTGTCAGGACATCGAGTCCACAGTTTCCCTAACAGGAAAAGAAAGCTAGCTAGCTTTCGGTCCTGGGTTCGTTTTGTGCAGACAAAGAGACTGAACTTCAATGCTGCGTCTGTGACGAAAAACGCGGTCGTTTGTGGCGCTCATTTTCGACCGGAGCATTATGAGTCAAGTGATGTGAGGGAGTGCAGTATGGGATATCGAAGCCAGGACGGTGTGAGGCTGATAGCTAGTGCGGTTCCGTCAATACACACGGCTCCGGCAGCAGCAGCAGCCGCCGGAAGCGGCGGGAGTGAGAGCGCGGGAGCGTCGGTCAGAGATTCAGCAAAACGAAAAGTGAACTGCACCGTAAGTATTGTTTTTCTAACGTTTGCTAACTTCCAAATTAGTCAGTATAATGATTTCAATAATGACAAGCAACGTGTGTTTAGTATTTATTGCTGTAAGTTAATGTTGCTAGCTTGTTAAACCCACTTGCTAAGTCATAATGGATAATGTTAGCTAGAATTGGCGTGGGGACTTTATTTGCATAACTAATGGCGCAGTTGCTATTTATTTTCATGTGTGTGTTTTCAAGACTTTGGGAGACAACAGTACTTCAGATTCACCTACAGCCAGTGATGCTGGGCTTATAGACCCCGAGCAAGAGGTCATCTCTCCACTGGTTCCTCAGCCAACATCTGTGCTTCACTGCGGCTCACAGTGTAACCTCAGACCTTTCCATCGTTCATCAGGTAAATGTAACACAGAAGTAGCGCGCCCATTTTACATCAAAACGCGGTAAAGACTCGGCATAGTTTTTGTACATGTTAAAAACATATTAGAAAAACATCTCAGCAGGCTGTTACAACTCCAAGACTTGCTATGACCTCAATAATTAACATATAAATGAATTAAAACATCTAAGCCCGAATGTCAACAAAACCTGAACATAAGCTTTGTAAAGGTAGATTGTATGGCAGGGCTGTTGTTTATGGCAGGCACAATTATATAATATATATCTTTTTATCCTAGCTGTCCAGGTACAGCCCAGGATGGTCAGTGTGGGGTGTCAGACAGAATCTCCACTGCCCAGTCCTGCACACAGTGATGATGAGTCATCTTCTGTAACCATGGACCACCCTGGGGATATGCCATGGAGCCCAGAGGAGGAAATGATGAGCGAGTCGTCTGACGAGGAACCATCAAAAGAGCCACTGCAGCGAACTAATGTTGATCTCAAGTAACGGAGCGTCCACACAGCAGCGTGCGTTGACGCTTGGAGGTGGGCGTATCTGAAGCTTGGGGATTTTTTGCGAGCAACACGACCAACAACCAATCACATGAATCTCCCGCCCCCGACATACAAAGCAATAGCAATGTTAAAACGAAGTAAACTGGATATAAAATCCCCAAACAGGCGAAAACCTACCAGTTTCACCCACTGTCTCTGCCACCTCCCTCCATGCCTCGCTCCTCCGGTTTGTATCCCGGTAGATGAACAGAGACTGATCATACAGCACCGGGTGATTCACTACCGCTACAATGAATTTTCCCTCAATTTTGATGAGGAAATGACCTGCGTAGTCTCTCCCAGCATACACGCGGTTTGATTGGCTAGCGATTGTACTGGCAGATTTGAATAAACGGGATTTCATTGGCTGACGCCTCTATCGAGGCGTCAAAAGTTGAACATTGCTCAACTTTTTACGCCAGCAACGCTCCACGTCGCTTCCCAAAATGCAGTTCGGCTAAAAGTGACTTCACCCCATTCAAAGTGAATGGGCAGAAGCGTTGGAAGCTTCAACGCACGCCGCTGTGTGGACGGGCCGTAAGGCTTCTTTTAATTTTAGATGATGTGTATTACCAAATTGTCAGTCAGAAATAACAAGTGTTTTTTTGTTTTTTTCAGTGCTGCTGACAAGTTCATTGTGTGCCAAACCCAGCTGATGTCCTTGTTCACCATTTGCCCTTCTTGTTGTGGGGAAACCCAGGGTAATGTGGAGCAGCAAGAGGGAACATATATAAAGATAAAACAAGTAAGCGGATATGTGTGAATTCCACTGATGTAAAAATAAAGGTTGTATCATAACCTGTATGTAAATGTTTGTTTTATTTTATTTTTATGTTTTATCAATCCACTGTGTCTATACTTCATTAGTTTTATGGTATAATTGATTTTTGACTGACTAAGAGTTGTACTGGCAATGTTCTGCTTTTCACATCTCTTAGGTATGTGCAGCATGTGGGTATGAGCGTTTTTGGCAGAACCAGCCAATGCTGTACAGAAACATGCCAGCCTGCAACCTGTTACTGAGTGGGGCCATCCACTTCTCAGGTTGCATGGCTACCCAGACAATACGGACGTTGAAACTGTTAGGGCTTCAGTGCATCAGTGTCGGCACCTTCTTCCGCCATCAACGCCTGTACACAATCCCTACTATCGTGCAGGCCTGGCAAAATGAGCAGGCTGGGATCATCCGAGAACTGAAGGAGATGGGGGGTGGGCTAATCCTCTCTGGTGACTGCAGGTAGAACACTTCAGCTTGTATTATTGATATCAAAAAGAGGTCAAAACAATATTTAAATTACATTCATTTAGCTTTATCCAAAGCAACTTACAATAACTGCATTGCATTGTTTTTTGGGCTTTAACGTCTGAATTAAACTGTTTTTGACACTCATAGGTCAGACTCTCCTGGCCATTGTGCCAAATATGGCACCTACTCCTTGATCGAGGACAGAATAAACAAGGTTTTGGATCTTCAACTTGTCCAGGTAAGTTAACGTTATCAGTCACACAAATTAGATGTGCTTTCGTCTGATGTGACACGGTTAGTGATATGACTGCATAATGTTGTTTTACAGAGCTCAGAGGTTCCAAGCAGCACCTGGTGTGAACTAGAGGGTCTGAAATGCAGCATTGACTTCCTTAAGGAGCAACACATGCAAGTTTCAGCCCTTATTACGGACCGAAATCGCCAGGTAAAGACACACAAGAACGAACAGACATATGTACACACAAAGATTCTTGGCGCACCATATTAACAGCAAAAACTACATTTTCTTACTAGTTAGCAAGTAATTAAGGTGTTGTGTTTCACTCTAGGTTGCCAAGTGGGTGCGGGAGGAGTTGTGTCCAGGAGGAACGAGTCATTTCTTTGATATCTGGCATATTGGTAAAAGTATGTATCTTGATGTTGGTAGGATTGATTAGGCTGAAATTTGTTTATAATTACATTTTCTTTTTTAACATTTTGTTTCTGTTGTGAAACAGGTCTAGGGAAAGCTTTGGATGCTGCTGCAAAGGAGAGGGAGTGTGAGGACCTGAAGCTGTGGAGGCCAGCCATCATCAATCACCTGTACTGGACTGCAGCTCCCACTCCTGATGGAGATCCAGATGTGATGGAAGCCAAGTGGCAAAGTATGGTGAATCATGTTCAGGACATCCATGAACACGGCACTCCTGCATTTCCCTGCTGTGCACATCCACCTCTGGAGGGAGAAGCAAGGGACAAGGAGTGGCTGGAACCAGGTAACGTACTCTGTACACTGTGTTGCTGAAACATCTTAGTCGTCCAAGTGTTTGTTGGTGCTTAGTTTATTTTGGTTCCAGAGCCCTCCATCAATATATAACCCAAAGTGTGCTAACACATTAACAAGGCGTTATATAAATAACACCTGATAGTATCACACAATCGTGCTTTATCAGTGTAGGTAATACTTGCATATGTAGACAATTCTAGTAACATCAGAACAAAATATGTGTTTGTACAGGAACAACTGCAGCCATTAAACTGGAGAGGGTGACTTTGAGAACAGCATTGGTGAAGGATGTCCGGAAGTTGTCTCCACAGCATCAGACCTATTCCCTGGAGGCATTTCACTCCCTCATCATCCACTTTGCACCAAAGCACACTGGGTTCTCCTTCCTTGGGATGTACAGCAGGTAAATATGATGTGATGGTGAAAGAATGTGTACGGCTTAGGGATGTTAATAATTAACCATTTAATCGTTAACGGACAATACGAAGTTTAACCGACTAATGCTATCAGTTAAACAGTTTATTCACATATGTACAAACAACTTGTGAACTGCATAATCTGCTGTCTCTACAGGCTTCTCATGGCAGCCCTGCACTTTAACCACAATAGCAGCAGAGAGGTTGCTCGAACCAGTGATGGTGAGGTGCGTTATGCAGTTCGCTACCCAAGGTTCTGCAAAGGTGGCTGGGTAGTTCGCCCTATCAAGGAGAAGCCATCATACGGTTAGCTGTTTTACTCGGTCCCTAAATATTATTTATTGTGTGATGCATCTATAATATCACTGAATGTGATCACTTGTTTCCTTCCTTCAGCATACGCTGCAGCCCTGATGGAGTCTCTGAGTGAGGGCTACTCCAGGTCACCAGAGACTCTACGAGAGAGCAGTGCAGTCTTGTCCTCCACTGCCCCTGCCCCCCTTTCCACTTCCTGCCAAGAGATCGCCAAGGATGAGGCAGTTGGCCTTTATCTGGCACGGCATTCCCGGTTTAACACAGGAAATTAGTGTGAAACCAGCAGATTCTAAAGGAAAAAATGGTCTGGCTTTGGCTTCTGATTGTCCACACTCCCTTGTGGACTCCCTTGTGGCTGGATGCTGGTCTTAGTGCCCCACACACACACACACACACCCCACTCCCTTGTGGTTGGACGCTGGTCTTAGTGCCCCACACACACACACACACACACACACACACCCCACTCCCTTGTGGTTGGACGCTGGTCTTAGTGCCCCACACACACAAATAGTGAGAACAAATCATATTAAAGGTAAGGCTTCAGATTATCTACAAATATTTTTTAACCAACCTTTGAGAAGAAATCCATGCCTACACACAGCAATTTCAACACCTTCTTCATCCAACTTGTTGGCTCGCTTAGAGGTCTCCCTTGCTGCTGTCCAGTGAGATTCCCCACACATGAACATATTAATATATAAACATATTCTATTTATATTTAAAATGTGTGCATTTTATTATAAAGTTGTGTATATTTACAGACTGTTGCAAAAACTAAGAAGTAGTAACATTTTCTTGGCTGTGGACTTGTACTCTACATAATTATGTTGAGGTCATGGTAATCTAATTCAATAAACAATAACTGCAATGAACAGATAGCATTTTCTGACTCGTAAAATGATTGGATATGGTGTAATTTGGAAAATGATTCTGTGTTGAAAAATGTATATCTTTAAAAACTGCATTGGTGTATTAGGGCGGGCCATACTATTTTTTTTTTTGTAAATCGATCGAGAGGAGTGTTCAAATAACGTATTTTGGTGGTTATTAATGAAAAGACACTATCAATCAATGTTTATTTGTGTAAATTGAAAAAATACTACATTTACAGCATAAGTAGACAAAATGTTTGGAAATGCATATGTATGCGAACACATAGTGCGAACACACTATGATTGTGATTAATTTTATTGATCGTCACCAAAATGAGGCCACTCAAAACCTTTGTAAATTCCTCCTCCTTCTTCTGGGAACTGTCTTCTGATGGCAGACACAACACATGAGGGTAAGGGCTTCCTAATGTGCCTGCCTAGAACTCCATAGGCCCAGCGGATGACCTGCCTGTAAGCTGTGTAGCGGTATTGCCTGGGGATAGGGACACAATATCTACAGGTAAACTTGATAGCCTTGTTAACATCATCAACAAGTGTTATATAGTATATAATCTACAGGTTCTGGGTTTTGAAACCTGCTAAACACTCGGGGTCAATAGCAACTGTATTATCTTTAATAGTATTTATCTTTTTAATTGTAATCTAAACACTCATGTCTGCTGGCCTGAAGCGGGCCATGCTCCTGCCTGAAGTTCATGTAGGCTATCTGTAGCACAAAGGGATTCAGACAGCATGCTTCAAAGCCTGGGTGCAGTGTCAGGCATGTTATGTCTGGTCTGGGGGTGAGGTTCTCCACCAGGGCCCAGAAGGGCTCCACCTCCCTGCAGCACATGCTCTCCACAGCTGAGGTCATGGGCTGGCATTCCCCACACAAGCACCTACAAAACAAAACGTTTATCAGGAAACTGTATTACATCTTTCTTTATAGCCTGATATATGATAGCTAACTTCACAATGTTGTGATGTGACGTTAGCTAACATTCTGTAGCTAACGCCGGTCACTCACCAAGATAGCTGCCCCTTCCCTGCTCTCTCTCTCCCCTCCGGTACAACTCCGAAGGTAGTGTGGAGTTGCATTAGGTAACGCGAGATACGGCTGATACTTGAGCATTAGTTTCTGTTATGGATCAGTATCAACAGTCCTGCCAGTAACGTTACTATATTATCAATGCTACTTTAGTTATAGCCTGATATATGATAGCGAACTTCACAATGTTGTGATGTGACGTTAGCTCACATTCTGTAGCTAACGCCGGTCACTCACCAAGATAGCTGCCCAGTTCTCCACTGGTTCTCCTCACACCACAGCTCAATTTCTCTCCGATGGCCGTTATTTCTTCTAATCCTTGGATGCTCCTGGTCTCTTGGACGTCTAGCAGGCTCATAATTATAAGGTTGTGGTCCGTCATATGCATTCGAATATTCATGTTCAACTTCTTCTGTGTCGAAACTAGCATTGGGATCCATGTTTATTAATACGTTACACCGGCCGCTCTCCCCCTTGTTTACCCTCTGTTACGTCACACGCGGGAGGTCACGTACCGAGGCTTTTTTATGCGGAAGTGAACATTTCTTACAAAAACGACGCCAGATGTCACTGTAGTGTATATTTCTGTATATTTTTTTGAAAATCTAGTGTATTCATCATTTTCCTACACATTTATTCACAGGTGTCTTTAACCTGGAAGTTGCTCTTTAAAGGTCCCATGTCATGGCCATTTCTACTGATCATAATTCCATTGTTGAGGTCTACTAAAATAAATGTATATTGTGCAATGTTCCAAACTCACATTGGTTTCTCATACAGCATCTCTGTATAGTAGGCCTATGTGTATTCACTCTCTGTCCTAAACGGCTTGTTGGAGCTCCTGCCCCCCCCCCCCCCCCCCCCCCCCTGTGAGCCCAGTGGCCGTCTGCGAGACAGCGAGACACAGCGAAACCCAGCCTGAACACACACACACCCGCAGCCTGGCTGGGAGTTTGTGTGTGTGCTCAGGCTGAGTTCCGTGGTGTCTCGCTGTCTCACCGACCCCACACCAGTGAGCCAGCTCACAGTGTCCCGCTCCTCGAAGCAGCGAGCCTCGCAACGTCCCGCCGAGTGTGTGTGTGTGAGGAAGTCCGAAGATTGGTCCAAACGTAACGGCTCCGCGTCACTATACCCGAAATACGTCACTATAGAAGTAAACAATGGAAAAAGAGAAATGTCCAACGAGGCGTTCTGGGGCAGCACAGACAGGTATTTTCTGTGTTAGAGTTTTACTCGCTTCAGGGTGTACTTTGAGGGTTTGTGACTCTGCAGACCGTTTACATGCAGAAAAAGCTACATAACACACAAGGGGACGGGTAATAACCAGAAAAGCATGACATGGGATATTTTAACCATAAAGATACAAACTAAGAAAAATATGGGAATATCCGCCTCAAAATAAACCAAACAATTAAAGTGCTGCTGCAGAAGTTTATAATGGGCTGAACTCATTAAGTGCTCTCCTTTTATTATTTAACAGCCAAGACAGGTAAGGAGGACAACCTGCACTCTCAGCTTTAGTAGGTGGGGCGTTGATTTGAAATCTTAAACTGAATCATAAACTGACTACGAGTTTCAATACCCATTTTAGTCAGAGAAAGATTAAGTATGTCTTAATACTGAGTATGTCAAATGCAGTATACAACAAAATACTTATGCATCCGGTCTATATTTGCAGTTTGCAAGCCAGCATGTTTTCCTGGCCAGTTTGACTCACTACTCTTTGCACAGCGGATACATGAGCAAGAGTGTGGATGAGGAAGAATGCCCATGTATGCATACTGTAAGCAAGTGTTTGTACTTTGTAACAGGAGACTGTGGTGCAGCCTAAAGTATGTGATGTGGAGTTTTTTGGCACTTCCACCATCATCTTATCTTCTCAACATCTTTGTCACTTCTTCACAGAAACGAAGCCACAACCACACGTGGTCTGCTGTAAGAAAGTGAAACGGGGCCTAAGGGTTGTGGAGGGGCTCTCGGCGCCACTGACACAGAGTACAGGGGTGACTGTAAGAGAGATGACTCCACATTAAAATCACAGAGCAAACCTGGTCATGCTTATCTTCAGGTTTCAGTTTTAGACTGCTTGACCTTAAGGATTAGATAAGAACTTGCCAGGAACCTGCCGAGGATGTTCTGATAAAAAGGTAATATACAAGTGCATTCATACAATAAGTAAAGAAAAAAGCAACTCATTTACAGTAAATACAAGGTAGACATGATCATGACTTAAAGTAAGGAGGCCTAAAGTTGTATTTAAGTTCATGTGATTGCAATGTTCAAACCAATTGTTTTCTCTATTAAAGGCCATGTGTCTCACGTTATTCTTTCATAAGTATAGTTGATCTCATCCAAGTAAACTAGTCATACACATAAACTAGTTTTTGCTTGACTGGAAACATGCACTCAGATCAGTTTCCAGATCAGGCTGTATGAAACTCAGCAGTGCACGTGCATGTAAGAAAATACCTACTTAAAGTGTCTGTGTGGCAGATGTGCTAGTGGAATTGTTTGACACTTACATGCATAAGACACAGAGACAGACAGAAGAGAGCGAGGAGGAGGAGGAACAGTAGAAAGATGAAGACACAGCTCACTGAAGAGGAAGGATGTGGTTTTTCTGAGGAGGTACTTGCTCTGCTGACTGAGCGCTTTCATGTAATGTACCAGAGAAGTCACGTGACTCCATGCTCTGCTGGGTCCCTATATAAAGTACCAGCCTATACTTCACTGTGGCCCATAATTACAGTGCATCGAGTCATACTTCAAGGATTCAAAAGCTTTATTGTACAACAAGATGGGTGGTTCTGTAGCCCCCCCTCCAAAAGTAGAATCTATGATAATGCAACTTGTGATTCATAATGAAGACTAACAACAAGTAAAAACAATAAAAGAACAAGAAAGCCAATTACAAGAAGTATACAAGAAAATAAACATGTAAACAGACGTGAAACATAACATTACAATTACTAAAGACATGTTTAAGACCCTTTAATGTACACTTGTTATTTAAGTCTGTATTTATTTTAGGATTGCCTGCCGCACTAAAGAGCTTCGGTCTAACCAAATCATGGGACCCTGATGGTAACAGTACACTTTGATACAGGCAGAAACCCAACCAGTAAGGCAGCATAAATAATGTATGTATTACCCCAAACTGCATCTAAACTTATACTTCTGCTGCCCCACTACAATTCAGAGGTACATCGTGTAATAGTACTCCACTACATAACATTTGTTTAATCCCTTTAGTTGCTTTGCAGGTTTTGGATGAATGATGTGAAATATAATCAAGTCTTAAATCAGACTTTAGTTCCACCTGGAGTAAATCCACAAGCTACCCTGCAGTATACAAAGTCCTTCAAACTAGCTGCACCTTTACCAGCTTTGAGAACACTTTCATGATCAATCATTATAAAACATATCATATATATTATTCTGAAATGGACCAATCTGCACAATGACTACTTTTACTGTCGCTACTTTAAGTATATTTGGATGCTAATACTTTTGCACTTTTACTTGAGTAACATTTTGAGACTTTTACTGTAACAGAGTATTCCTACACTCTTGTACTTCTACTTTTACTCAAGTACAAGATCTGAGTACTTCACCCACCTCTACTTAGTTACTTTCCATCACTGCTTAATTACTTGAGTAAAGAATCCACTGCACCTGTGCTATCTTCTATATATTTTGGGATGTATACTGATCTGAACGTGAGCTAGCTGCAGACTTCCTCACCTGTGTACATTGCTCACTTTATCCTATGTGTTTGTGTGTGTTCACTTTTAGCTCTCAGTTGCCTTGTCTAACTTGCTTCACACTTCCAAGAAGTCTCGTGACGCAGCTATTTCCCGTATTCAGTCCTCCCCCGCTCGTGCTCAGCCGGGCCAGTAGCGCCGTCGCTCTGCTTCTACTTGTATACAAAATAATACGAAGTTATATGAAATTAAATCTACATTCCTGTCGAGTTATGGACCTGCGGTAAAAGAGATTCTCCACGGTGTTTGTCCAGGTAAGTGTCGGTAAAATATGTCTGAATGTCAGCCTGTGGGAAGAGGAGATTAATATCAGACTGCGGTGGGCGTTTTGTGGTGGGAACTAAAGCGAAACCAGTGATAAAACAGTAAAAAATGAGTGTAGATTAAGTACTTTAATACGTCAACTTTATCGGTAAACAAGTCAGTGTTCAGGTTGATTTGAGGTTTTAAATTCGAGTTTATTCTTAGTATGAGTGCGACAGGGAAGTCAACAGGCTGCCAAACAAGTGTCGCAGAAATATGCAGGATATGCCAAAGTTTTTTTAACTGTCTGTAGACCTATTCATTCTGTATTTATCCACAAACTACATTTACAATAAAGAAAAACGTATATCCTTGTTTTTCTGTGGGTTGAATCCAATTCAGTGACTTCCAAAATGTTATTTATCATGCATTTAACTTTTCTTATGACAACCTTAAATGACCTGTGTCTCACTCTCAGTAAAACCAAATCAACATAATGTCAATAACTTTATTTTAACATTCACAACCAGTGTATGGGTTGTTTAAAATGTTATAGCCTATTTGGCGTTAAAAAAACATTACTTCTGATACAAATGATCAGATCATCAAAGTGTCCTGCTTACCTCTTGATAAGGTTTCGTTTTATCTAATGTGATGAGAAAACCACATCTGAAACTCCAACCCCCCCCCTCTCCCAAATATGATTCTTCCTCAACTTAATACAAAGACCTGTCAGCTATTTGGACAATGTTATCTTTGTCAGAAAGTAGTTCTGATGTCCTTAGCAAAGTGTAAAGATAAGCCTGTTTATTATTTAAAGCCTCTAATCAAATTTGTTGTGATTTGTCCTCCATTTTATTGTGTTTGGACTCCGAAGCTGCATAGTTTGATATCATGTAGGTGGAAAAACACGTCTAAAGTAATTTGGGTGACCCTTTTAAAGTGATTAGATCAAGGGTCAGTATTATGTAGCACAGTATGGATTGATTATCATTTTCAAACTCTTAAATTATGCGCAAATTACTCTTATTTATACAATAGATTGATGGATAACATACTGTAGGTACAGAACACCTTGCTGTTCTTTTCAAATATGACTTGACCAAAATTGGATCCCCTGGACATTTTAGGAAATGGTTGTTTTCTAATTTGAAGCACTTAAATGATGCACAAATGGCTCTTATTTACATACACAAAAACATTATTTTATGGATGAAATAAGTGCAGAAAACGATGCTGTTCTTATAAATATGACCTGACTCAATGATCCCAATTTAAGGTGACGTTGTTAGCGAAATCACAACATTGGATCCTCTTATTGCTGGACATTTTTAGGAAATAGATGGATTGTTTTTCTATTTTTAACCACTTTAATTAAGCACATATGGCTCCTATTTACACACCAGGCAACATTATTGGTTGATGGATGAAATATGTACAGAAAATAGACCCAGCACCCGAGTGAAGGCCATGTGTTTAGCTAAATCAGAAAGATGTGTCCTCTTTTCCCTGGACATTTTAAGAAACGTAAGACTCAGGCCGCTCTACATTATCAGTTGGTTCAACCCTTATCAGATCAAGTTAAATGTTTTCAGCCACAGAGGTTTACTGAAGGCTTTATTATTAACTAGCATGTTTTATTGTATATCTTATTGTATAAGTAACATGTAATATCAGCTAAAAAAACCCATATTCACTGTTTTGTAGCAAGTCATTTTAAAACATTGATAGGAAACATGCACTTCATCACCATTTTCAACTGAGACTATAGAGACCTTAGGGAATGTAGGGATTTAGGGATATTTAAGGCATTTAAAAGTTAGGTTTAATTATAAATGTGTGGGCCAAGAGTCAAAGATAGACTAAATTGGCTGTTAGACGTTTGACAGCGAGTTTTTAAAGCTCGGTTGGATGCTACTCAATCGGAAGCTGTTGGTACCTGCTCATGTGGATATGTATTGTAAATTGTAAATCCCTGTAAGGATGCTGTAAAATGTCCTTTTTGTTGTTCTGTTTATGTTTTTATGTTTCATGTGGAACCTACCTGAGCAGGTCTCCCTTGAAAAAGAGATCAATGATCTCAATGGGATTCACCTGGATAAATAAAGGTTTGAAATTGAATGAGATTGTTTTCCTTGCAGGTGTCCTCAGATGGATTGACTTAAAGCTGTAAGATGATGGAGGGCACTGGGCTGAGAGGAAGATGGGACAGAAAAGCTCCTGTTGGCACAATACTGCTCCCAATGGTGAGAACAACTTGAAGTGACTCACTTTGTAATGGCATGAACCCATGGAAAAACGCCTTTCTTTGTAAATTCATTGCACATTCTCTGTTTCAGTGCATGTTCCTCACCGCTTTCACATTGGTCTCAGAGGCCAAGACGTGTCCAGCTGGGGATTATGACAATGACAACGGGGTCTGTTGCAACAAATGCCTTCCAGGTACTGCATTTCTGCACGCTGCACATGATTCACAGGAGCATCCTCATTATTGGAAATACCCCACTGACGGCCCTCCTTTTGTAACGTCAAATCCATTCTACAAAGTCTAAAAGACGCTCCTTTTCAGGTTCACATTTGTATTTATTGTTTACTGTGACATGTCTCCATGCTTTAATGTTCTTTATTTTTCTCATACTGCCTGTGCTGCACTACTAATACATCATATGGCCTCTTTAACAGCATGTAGTGGAATAATAGACAAGTGAGTTGACAGAAGGATAATGAACAACAATGTTGGTAATCGATTTAATACAGAAACACTTTTTTGGGAAAACTATGAGAATGAAGAGAGGTGATTGAAGATGAGAAATGATTGTATATGTGTGTGTAAATGTATGTAGGAATAACTTGCATAATGATTTAAAGGACAATCATTGATCAAGTAAGGGGTGGGAGTTAATAAGCATTTGCTTCCTCCTGCTCCCTTTCCGACACATATGAATTATTATTATTATTAATATGAAGACTTTTTTTGTTGAATATATAAACATTATCATGAATGTGATAAATACTGTATTTTAACAGTACGGTATTCTGTTTTTCACATGTTTTTTTAAGCTGTTCGAAATAAAGATTGAAATGAAATTAGTGCGGCAGAAAAAAATGCAGTTTCAGACTCTTAAATATGAAGAATTCCTGCTTCGTATAACATCATATTTAACTAAATACTATTATAAAGTAGGGATGAACTGATTGTATTTTTCTCAGCCGATGCCGACAACAATGTATTTAGTTATTTATTCCTCTTTAGTGGCAGGGAAACACACCACACTGACTTTGAATGAGCACAAATACCTTAAGAATAACTGGCACAACATGCAAGAAAATGAAATACTCAATGAGAGGATGCATTTGTGCTTTTTGTTGTCCGCCATAATCCTTTGTTATTCATCATTTTTTTTAAATTATAATAGGCTATATGTAATGGCATTAAATTGGCATGTATTTAATTAAGCAATCATACACGAGAGGCCGTTCTATAACGTCATTATTGGTACGACAGTACTGCGGCAGGACCGAGGCGCTTGCGCCGAGGTCCGTACGCCTGTACTGCAGTTTGCTTTTCAGGCCAAGGGTATACCGTTTTTCTCAGACGCGGAGGGATACTGACTTGTTGTGAAAAGGCACGTTCTATTTGACCGTTCTTTGATCGTGGAATCAAATACGCCTATTGACCAATCAGAGAGCTTGCTCACACCTATGTGTTATAGAATTATGCATACGACAAGCTTCTAGTTTATGCATTCATAGGTTGCATCCTTCATTTAAAGACTTTGAGAAACCAAAATGTTTCATTATTTTCTAACATGTTATTCACCAAATGATTGAATTGAATGGATTGTTAGTTGAAGACCTACTCTGTGTTTCTTTCATGTTTTCCAGGTTTTAAGCTTGTAGAAAAGTGTCATTTTAATAATACAAGGAGTATCTGCGAGCAATGTCCCAAAAGACAGTACACCGACCAGGAGAACTACTCCCACAACTGCAGGAGCTGCAGAATCTGCAAAGGTACAGCCACATTCTAATAACAATAAAACAAATACAGAAAACAGAGAGCATTATGAACCGTCAGAATAATGATGTGGGGGAAGGGGTTTAACATTTCTGAACTGGTATCGCCTCCGGGGTTTACACTATTGATTTCTTTAATTATTTAATAGCAAAACATGTATTTTCTCGCTTTATTTGTGTGTTAATTATTTAGTGTTAGTTGTAGTAGTTGTTTATGCTTTTATTTTGTAGGCAGCTTGAGGCACGGTGGGATTTGGGTATATATTGGTAGACAGGTGGAGGAGTAATTGTGCAGAGAAGGATGTACATAAATTAAATAAACGTTAAATGTTCTTTCCTGGACATTTTTACATTGCATTACATGTCACTTGTTAGATGCTTTTATCCAAAGAGACTTAAAAACATTCAGTTCGGTCCGCACTATGCCACTGAGCCACAGCCTCCTCCACACATTTGATGTAGTTCCTGTGCTACCTGGGCCCTCAGCGGGAGTCGCAGCTACAGTCAGTGTTGTATAAGGATATCGTTTGCTGTATTAACTTTCTTCTGTCTTTATAACTTTCCCACAGCATCAAATCACGATGTGGAGATATCCCCATGTAAAGCAGGCAGAAACACAGTTTGTCGCTGTGAGGACGGTTACTACAAGCTCAACATCGACTCGGAGAAATACGAGTGTCGCAAATGTTCATCATGTAAACCGAATGAGATTGAGAAACGGACATGTATGTATTAACATGTGACTTTGAATCATACACTCCTTTTTCTTTTGCTCATCAAGTCTAAATATCATTGTTCTTGTGCACAGGTACACCAGAGGACAACACAGTGTGTGAATGTAAAGAGAAGTACTACAAAGTCAAAGGCACATGTGAACCCTGCAAGACGTGAGTATAACAACAAGCTTTTGGTCCACACTTTGTTCCCATCCTGCAGTTTGGGTTGCTTTTATTTTGAGCTGTTGCTGGGGAAGTCGGTTTGTTGAATTGAAACTTGCGGCATACTTCCGACATTGTTAAGTTGTTCCACTTGTGTGCGTCAGAAGAGGGAAGTTACGCAGCACTGGAACTGGGTTGCTGACTTACTTTTTACTAAACAAGTGCCCATTTGTTAAAAGAAACTGCATTATTGGCTTGTGTTTCGACTGGTACACTGAGAGAGGAATATTAAAAGATAAAAAAACGATTACTTTATTTGTCATATGAACATAACTACAGCATAGTTAATGGAAATGAACATCTTGTGGTCCTATTATGCTAATTCTCAGGTTCATATCAGTATGTAGTGTCTCTACTTTAAAGAGTCCTCTCCTGCTGATGTTCAGGTGTATATCAGTATGTAGTGTCTCTACTTTAAAGAGTCCTCTCCCGCTGATGTTCAGGTGTATATCAGTATGTAGTGTCTCTACTTTAAAGAGTCCTCTCCTGCTGATGTTCAGGTGTATATCAGTATGTAGTGTCTCTACTTTAAAGAGTCCTCTCCTGCTGATGTTCAGGTGTATATCAGTATGTAGTGTCTCTACTTTAAAGAGTCCTCTCCTGCTGATGTTCAGGTGTATATCAGTATGTAGTGTCTCTACTTTAAAGAGTCCTCTCCTGCTGATGGTCAGGTGTAGGGGGGGGGGGGAGTGTGTGGGAGAACTTTTCTAGCCTTTGCAGACCATTAACATGCACAAAAATCTATATAACACACTACAGGTAAAGAAAATACATAATAGGGCCTCTTTAAGACCTCCCAAAAAGACATACAAATAGATACAAATAATGAAATAATGGTGCAAGTGATTAGCAGGAAAAATACATACATTTAAGATGGAAAAAGATGAATATGAATGAACAATGACATACTGTAATAGCTATCCTTTGATGTACTATGAGAGACATTTACTGTGTAGATGTGAAACAAAAGCTGAGATCTACAAAATCACAGACATGAACACAGTCATGAAGGAGTTACATTTGGCCAAGGTTTATTTTAGAAACTAAACTGCTTACGTTGGCATTTGAAAAGGGGAATTAGTAGTTGGAATACAAAATGGAGAACTTGTAAAAAGCACTTCGATAGTGCCTGGGAAATCTTAATAACAGAATGTGTTTTTGACTTTTGGAGTAAACTTGAGATTGACTTAAACAGATAAAAGTGGAAAAAGGAAGAAACTACGGCATCCAATAATCCTTGTTAGCGTAACCATTACTTTTCACCGATGGAGAATTATCTCTCTTTCACTTTATATACATTTCTGTGTAACTGTGTTTAAGTGTCGACTACAATCACTTGTTTAAAATGTCGTGCGTTGTGTTAATCACTTCTTCTAAAGATTTGCGACTTCCTCCTCAATGTTGAGTAACGTCCTCTTTTTGTTCTCCACAGTTGTACGCCTGAGTGCCAACACCACTGTTTGCCAATTACTACAGAAACAAAAGGTGAGCACTTGATCACAAGGCCATGAAATACTTGTGTAGTATGAAGGCATGTGGTGCAGTGGGTTGTGCGTTGGTGTTGGGATCAGGGGGTCACAGGTTCAAACCCCACTGCAGTCAGCATGTCGTTGTGTCCCTGAGACACTTCACCCCAAATTGCTCCTGTGGGGATTGCCCACAGTATTGAGTATGTAAGTCGCTTTGGATAAAAGCGTCTAACAAGTGACATGGAATGAATAATGCAGCTTCTGGTATTATTCTGTGGTTCCAGTATGATGTGTGTGATGTGTAATGAGATACAGCCGCACTGTGGTGACTGTGGGAACCCGACTCACTGACTTACATAGCCCCCTGATCCTCCTTAGCAACAGTCTGTTCTCCTTAGTAGCGGTTATTTAACAGACCTCTGGAATGTCCAAATTGACCAATCAGAATCGAGTATTCAACTAAGCCGTGCAATCAACACTTACAAAGGTGGGAACTTAAATTAACAAAAATCTGATAATTATTTTGTACTTTCTCAGTCTATATTTTGTTTGTTTGTTCACCATGTAAAGCGGACTTGGTTCCCTTGAAAGGCGCTATACAAATGTCTTTGGTACTTATCCGTGTCCAGGAGGAATTAATTCATTGACAAATTAATTTCAATGTACAGTGCTTGGAAATAATGAAATAAATATGATATTAACAAATAACTGAAGGCCGTATTGTCCCTGCTAGTTTCCATCTTTTATGATCATGAAATATGTTTTGAATTCCTTCGCATGAGATGTTTAAAGAGGACAAAAAAAGACTTGAATTTCACTTCTTATATTCCTGCTTAGCATCAAACAAGTGATTAGACCAATCTGATAGGTATCCAACTATTGTGTTGTCTTTGTTTGGTTCCTCTACAAGGATAGGCTTTTAAAAACATTTCAGCTTTTTTAACGTGTCTCCATCTTCATGTCTTTTCCCCCTCGTGTCCGTCTGAAGCTCCTGATCACAGAAATGATCATCTCATCAACATAATCGTTGCCGTTGCAGTGGGGTCACTGGTATCGATGGGGCTGGTGTTTCTCGTCACCTACATGGTCACAAAACGCTCTATCAAGAAGAAGATGCAGAAGAAAACCAGCCAGGAATCGGACCCTTGCCCGGAGTCAGGCGAGGTACAACGATCTAACCGTGGTTACTTTACTATGCAATGGTTGAGTGTAAATAAGTACTTTAGGTGCTGGACTTGTGAAGTACAAACAAATTGAGTATTTCCCTTAATTTCTGCTTTCTACTTCATCACATTTTGGAAGCCATCATTGAACTTTATACTTACAAATGACTTTGCCGATTTAGATTATTATTACAAAATGTCAATCAACATAGAAATGATGGTATGGCACCCAGCAGTATTTATAAAGCAACTTTACCAGCTGCAACATTAACATACCACAATAACACGTCCTTAACTCCCCGTCTATATTCTTACTTTCATTTGTTATATTTAAATAAATATCTTTATTTGTCTTTTTTTATTGCACATGTTTACTTTAGCTTCTTATGTTATATAAGTGTTTTTATGCAATTTTTTCAATATGTTTTTGTTCATTTTTAAATGGAGCAAATGCCACGAAACCAAATTACTTTATGCAAAAATAAAATATTGTGCTTCTTAAATCCAGTGGCATTAAGGTTAATACTATCCCTAAAAAGTGCCTAACTGCATAGTGAGCACTTTTACTTGTTAGCACTTAGATATAGAGTTTATTTCAATGCTAATATCTATGTTCTTTTATTACTAATACTTCAAAATCGAGACTTTATTTGCATTTTCAAACTGTTCTCTTGCTTCTTTTAGTTAAGTTAAACATGTGAGTACTTCACCTCTGCTGCACGTACACAAACAGTCGATAACATTACGTTTTGTTTGTGTTTCATAGCAATTCCTGACCCTCATTGAGTCTGCAGATATCCAGAGTGATAAGGCTCTTCCTCTAAGTGCTGTGAGTGACCAGGAGCCGCCCAATCTGCCCGACTGCGTCCCACTGGAAGTCAAGAGTGAGTGTTATTGTGTTTTTAGCACTTCTTGTGTGGTCATTTATTCTTTTATGATTCCTATGATGTTTTAATGTTTTCTCAAGCACTTACTTACTTAGTTCACACTGCATGCTTCTGTCCAACATACAGAAGCACAGACACCTTTTTACGCTGCTATGGACAGTCTTGCACTAATGTACATTCCTCAAAGATATTAAAGTGACTGTTATTTTGTATATATCGATTGTTGTGCTTTTATTTATGTCTTAATGTGTGCATAAATGTGTCTGTTGATTGTGTGTAGCCTATATAGGTTTATACATATTTGTATATATTTTATTATATATTTTTGTATCCGGGATTGTGGGAAACGGTATTTTCAAGTTTCAAGGCTTTTATTGTCATGTGTGCATAGCTACAGTGTAGTTATGACAATGAAAATATTAGGTCACAGGTTCCTCCAACAGTGCAACACAATAACACAATAACACAGATAAAATAGTGCAAGTAAATACAATAAAATCGAATATAATAGAAACAGATTATGATAGAAACTGTGCAAAATAGTCTATATACAGTAATTGGAATATTGATATATGTGAGTTGATGTGAGTCGATCTCTGAAAGAAAGATTGACAATACACTTTTTGACCTATTGTGCTAACTCTCACGTCCTCCTTGCAGTCCCTGAGCTGATCTACACGGTGCTGGATCTGGTTCCCGTGCTGCAGGTGAAGCAGCTGGTGCGAACCCTAGGTGTGACGGACACAGAGATCGAACAGGCGGAGGTGGACCACAGATCCTGCCGCGAGGCCCACTACCAGATGCTGAGGGTTTGGGCGGAGAAAGGGGCTCGTTCAGGAGGAGGAGGAGGAAGAGGAACAATGCTGCACTGGCCCTTGTTGCAGGAGCTGTTGGACCAACTGAGGGAGATGCACCTGGGCCGGGCCGCCGAGGAGCTGGAGACAAAGTACGGCATTCAGTAAATCTGCAACGCGTGCCAAGTGGAACATGAAGCTCATGAAACCAAGTATTGTACCCTCTAGAGCCTCAAAGCATTCGAGCTGAAACGGTGCTACCACCAGCAGCAGCAGGTTCATCACACACACCAGCTTCACTGAGCACTCTACCTCTTGCCTCACATGTGAGAGGACAAGGTCAAACTACTGAGAGACAGATGGACAAATGTGTCAGGAGGGGAGACTCATTGACTCTTTTTGCACAGATTAATTCTGCCTTAAATTTGAAAGAAAAACGTTTAGCCCTGTACATTTTTTAAAAGGTATTTTGGAGCTTTTTGGATTTTTGCGTCAAATTAGAAGATTGTTAACACTCTCGTCTTCTCGTTCTAGAAGCTAGAAGCCGTTAGCTTAGCATAAAGACTGTAAATGGGTATATTGCTAGCTTAGGTCTGCCCTATGCTAACAACATCCACCTACCAACTCCGTTAATGCTACAGGCTACAATTCTGTCTACATTTCTTTTTTATTTAATCTGATGAAAATCCAAAGGGGAAAATGTGAAAACGTGCTGTTTTTCTGAGGTTTTATTGCATAACACTGGACTACATCTGGTCTGGGAGCAGTAGCTGTCTCAATTCAAGATTCAAAGGTTTATTGTCCTAACATATACACAACTACGGTGTCGTTATGAAATGTTTGAAAATCTCGGATCACAGGTTCCTCAACAGTGCAATAACAAGACATCAGAAGAAAGTCTTATGTGGGATGAAACTGTCCCTGGGTCTGGTGGTGTTAGTCCTGATGCAGCAGACAGAACAGTTTGTGGCTGGGGTGATGGGGGTCTTTGATAACCCTGAGGGCTTTCTTCCCGAGCCGCTGGGAGTAAGGGTCCTCCATGGATGGCAGCTCCGTCCTGGTGATGTGCTGTGCAGTTTTCACCACCCTCTGTAAAGGTTACGGTTGATGGCGTTGCAACGGTCAGGATCCTCTCTATGGCGCACCTGTAGAATCTGGCACCTATAGTACTCTCTGCCACAAAGTTAAAATGTGTATTATTCAGTGATGCGTCCTAAAACCCGGAAGTAAACTCCTTCCGGTTCCCTTTGAACAGTTTGCAGGAGGCAGCTACTTGCTTTCAAGCAGAACAGGGCAAACAAACGTAGAGGAGTGTTTACGTGTTCGGTGTAATGACGTAAGACGGCCTGGACAACTTCTGTAGTCCTATTCAGCCACTTAGTAACAACCATCGTTTTTCAGACACGTAAACTCTTCAAAAATCACCAGCGGGGTCACTGCTGATGTATTTAAAGTCGTAGAACAAAACGTGATCCATCTCTTCAATGTGTCTCAAACACAGACCTTATTTGGAGCTATTTTCCAAAATCCTATTCTTTCACACACAGTGACGTCACAGCTACCCACAATGCAACGCGCGCCATATATTTTTTTATAAAGACGCCATTTTTCTGGAGGTGCAAAAATCCTGGTGATGCTAATATAAACAGCTAGCTAATGTTGCCAGGCAGAGCGCACTAGGTTTTTTTTCTGAATTAACGACCGAAGAAATCGCTGCATGTCTTCGGATTACATCTCTGGACTTGAGGGGTGTGCTCTAGGTCGTTACCAGCGTAAACTAGAGCTGTGTGGGTTGTTGGATGTACAATGTATGGAATTACGACCCTCAAAAGTGGCCTTCGGTCGATTTTGGCATCTACGTCTATCTTCTGGAAACACCAGGTGAATACCCCACTTGTCACAATAATATTATCATGCCAATGCATATATGTGGTATTTTAGAGTTGACTATATTGATTAAGGCAATCGACTATGATATTCTGTATGCACCTCGCGTGAAATGGTTGATACCGGAAGTACGGTGTCGCCCTCTGCTCAAAACCCGTATGTGTGTGAAAGAATGGAGAAATTGCATTGCTTTTTCTCGAAGGAACCGGACGTGGTAAAAATGCTAACTTACTTCCGGGTTTTAGGACGCGTCACTGCGGTTCTCTATTCCACGAAGATGTTTATCACTGCAATTACACTCCGGAAATATTTCCTGTGTTGGAGGAGCATTGTGCTGTTTCCGTTGTTTTGCTTAGATAAGCTAACAGGCTGGCTAAGCTAACAGGCTACAGCTTTGTATTCACCATCCAACCATACAAAAACTATTCTCATCTTACTCCCTGCAAGATATCCACTAAGAGTATTTCCCAAAATGTCAAACGAAGTGAGTAAACTTCTTTAAGACGTGCTGATTATCTTTTGTTGTACAGTTTGTATTTGAAAATATGAAGGCATTGTATCATGTATGATTTCATAGTGGGGTTTTTATTCTACCACATGCATTCAGGATTTGAGTGTTGACAGCGGCATTCTTTACTGAATCATAATCATGTGGCATTTTTCATTGAACAGAACTAGGTATCCATTTCTATATCACATTGTTAGGTCTATTAAGCTACTACTTCATTATTAACTTTTGTTTGTTTTTAGGGAGGGAAGTGCAAAATCAAGTGCTCAGTCTGAACCATTAAGTTAACTAGTAATGTTTTAATTTTAGTTCCTGGTCACATTGTTGAATCATTCTTCCTTAAAAGTTTTATGGGAACAAAAACAAATTTAAGGAAGTTGGTAGTTCCTACTTAGCGTGAGCCACTAGCATTCTTTTAAGCCCCATCATAGGAGCATTAAGCGTTCAACTGTGAGAGAAAACCGGACACGCCTGTCTCAGTCCGCCTCTGCAAAGTCAACTGTATCATACCAGTCACAGCATGCAGACAGATAACTCACTCCCTCAGACTGAAGACGTGTCACTCCTTTGCACTTCTACCCTGTATCAAACTGTATTATAACAGACAGAAATGTATTGATTCGAGCTGTATATGAAATATCTTTTATACATATCTGAACTTTTAATAAATGTAAAGGAAATCTGATATGTGCCATACGTTTTGTGTGTGTGTGTGTGTGTGTGTGTGTGAACTTGGGATGTGTGTGTGTGAACTTGGGATGTAAGTGTGTGTTTAACCTCAGGCATGCTGACGGTCTGCATCCCAAGATAACCTCAACACAAAGCAACTTGTTTTTCTAATCAACTTATCATGACTTAACTGTTTAACGACATTGCTTTAATATCTTTTTTTAAAGATACAGACACTCCTTAATAAAAATAACATTTAAAAAAGTTATTTTCAATTAGAAAAATGAGGCTTCTGGATGCAATTATTGTCACTAATGTCTGATATGATTGAGAGTTGTGCAAATATAATAACTTCAATACTCCAACATATTGCTGCTTCCACGTGAATGCATCACAACTTATTTACTTTTGTAAATGGAGCGTTATATATTGAATAACTTTTGTAATGAATGCTACATATTCCACTGTTTATTCTGTTTTGTATCAACCTTTATTAAGCTCGTCCACTTCCCCATCACTCTCCTCATGTTACCTGCGGTCACTGCTCTACTTTCCTTTTACTGTAGCCTACTATCAGACACCAGATTCTCAAGTTCATATCAATGCATCATTTCCAGTTGTGCAGAAAAATAAAACCCCGCTGCTTAAGACTGTTAATCATTACATGTCACTTGTTAGACGCTTTTATCCAAAGCGACTTACATACTCAGTACTGTGGTCAATCCTCACAGGAGCAATTCGGGGTGAAGTGTCTCAGGGACACAACGACATGCTGACTGCAGTGGGGTTTGAACCGGTCCGAACACCAACGCACAACCCACTGCGCCACGCCCCTCAACCTGCTTGAAACGGTTTCCTAACGTTTGCCCCGGGCTATCAATAAGTCTGATTGACGTGCAACAATAATCATATTTAAAGAAAGCCGGGCACCTCCTCCTCCTCCTCCTCCTCACTAACTGCGACACATTAACCGGCCCTGAGCGCTGATTTGTCGGCTGCAGAATCAGGTTGTTCCCGTCGGGCCAGTTGCAGAGGGCATGGTGCAGGTGAAAGGAAAAGAGAGGGAGGAACCGATCACACGGAGAGAAGGAGGAGAAAGCCAATAGAAACCAAAGATGACTGTGTGAAACAAAATGGATCCAACCAAGCCCAGGTACAGTCTATCATTTTTTTTAATTAAAGAACAATTGCTGGTGGTTTTGAGATGTGAGTGTGTAATGTTTACATGTGTTCACTTCAGGTAATCATATAATGTGATCCATTTGTTGTTGTTTTACTGAGGCTATAAAGCTACCAGGAGGCCGGTTTTTACTGACCCTTAATCAGTCTTTAAATGGTTTAAAGTGCTGCAATGTCTATATAATCTCCTCTCATCTTGAGTGTGTTACTGTGGGAAACAGACAGTGATTGTAAGCAGGTATGACACTGTGAGAAAAGCTCTCGTGTTTGATGTTGAACAGAAGTGATCCTCGCTGTGTTTGCTCGTGACTGCGTTTGCTTCCATTCTTCTAACAAACATGGATATGATCGTGAACACCAGTTCCAGCAGTGATCACACTCTCCACTTTAATAACACTCACTCCTGCTTTTCGTTTTGCAACAGCAGTGTATATAAATGTCTCTTCTCTTATGAGTAAATGGTTAAATATCTGAAGTAGCTTCCAGAGAATTGAGACACATTCTTCAGAGTAACTCAACTCTGCAGCAGGAAATACTTCAGATTGTAATGATGCTGTGGGAACTAATGTCAGATGAGTCCTGGTGTAACACTCAAACCCGCATTACTGTGTAACTTGAGCTGAAGTGTGTGAGACTTCTGGTGTCACTGTCACTGAGATGCTACACTTTCTGCTGCTTTACTGCCTGGTTACCTGACCTGTATTTACTGCGTATACCAAGTGGTGTGTGAAGTACTGACATCCTTTACTTATGGGAAATGAACATATTGTGGTAGTGAAAGCTCTGAATTGAAAGTTTTACTTAAGTAAAAGTTCTATTTGTGTTGTTATATATTATTATAATTCTCTAGTTTGTCAAAGTTGAGTTGAGTAAGTTATTGTAGAATAAAATACTAATGCAAAATGAACTAATTACAAAGAGCTAGTGGGTAGATAGTAGAGCAATACTGCCACATGTCGAAAAAGCGTATCATGTTATTTTATGTTAAAGAAGAAATTAGTAAAAAATACAGTGTTTTCCTCCAAAATCTAGTGGAGTAGAAATATATGGAGAATACAATATTTACAGCAGTTTCTTTTTTTAGTTCCTGGTTACCTGACTAATGAAATTACCTTTTATTATTTATAGTGGTCTACTGACATTTATTCTACTTACGTATTGACTTGACTGATGAAGTACAAGTATGTAAAAAATTGTATATTTAAGTAAAATAAGTACAGTTTCTGCTTCTTTACTGCCTGCTTGATTAATTCAGTGATGTTTATTTACTGCGTCTTTAGAGTAGTGTATGAAGATCTGAGATCCTCTACTTTAGGGAAAGTATAAATACTACGGCAGTAAAAGTATTAAAAAGTAGTGTTCTAGCTTGTCAATGTTGATCCAATTAAGTTACTTAGTAAACAATACTGTTCAAAGACTGTAGATGAGTAGTACAGTACACTGCATTATGACAAAAAAGGATATGTATTTATGTAAAAAGTAGCTAGAAACTACGAGTGCAGTACAAGTACAATATTTACCTCCAAACTGTACTGGGGGAGAAATACTGTATATGTAGCATAACATAGAAAAACACTCAAGTATGATACAATTATGTCAAAATAGTATTTAAATGCTATGCAATTACAATTTGGACTCTAAATCTTATCAATGCCCTATTCTGACGACATTTAAAATATCACATTTGACTACTTTTATTGAATCGTCTATAAATGCCTGAATAGTCCTGATCCTCAGGTGCTCTGTGACCTGGTACCTCTCAGAGAGTTTGGCACTGTACATCGGGGGAAACTGAAAGGTACGCGTGGTAAATCTTTGGTAGTGGGAAGTAGTGGAGTACAAATACTTTGTTACTGTACTTAAGTACATATTTCTGGTATCAGTACTTTACTCCACTACTTATTTTTCTGACAACTTTTTACTTTGACTTCTTACATGTTGAACATAAATACCTGTACTTTCTACTTCTTACATGTTGAACACAAATACCTGTACTTTCTACTTCTTACATGTTGAACACAAATACCTGTACTTTCTACTTCTTACATGTTGAACCCAAATACCTGTACTTTCTACTTTTTACATGTTGAACCCAAATACCTGTACTTTCTACTTCTTACATGTTGAACACAAATACCTGTACTTTCTACTTCTTACATGTTGAACCCAAATACCTGTACTTTCTACTTCTTACATGTTGAACACAAATACCTGTACTTTCTACTTCTTACATGTTGAACCCAAATACCTGTACTTTCTACTTCTTACATGTTGAACACAAATACCTGTACTTTCTACTTCTTACATGTTGAACCCAAATACCTGTACTTTCTACTTCTTACATGTTGAACTCAAATACCTGTACTTTCTACTTCTTACATGTTGAACTCACATACCTGTACTTTCTACTTCTTACATGTTGAACACAAATACCTGTACTTTCTACTTCTTACATGTTGAACACAAATACCTGTACTTTCTACTTCTTACATGTTGAACCCAAATACCTGTACTTTCTACTTCTTACATGTTGAACTCAAATACCTGTACTTTCTACTTCTTACATGTTGAACCCAAATACCTGTACTTTCTACTTCTTACATGTTGAACTCAAATACCTGTACTTTCTACTTCTTACATGTTGAACCCAAATACCTGTACTTTCTACTTCTTACATGTTGAACACAAATACCTGTACTTTCTACTTCTTACATGTTGAACCCAAATACCTGTACTTTCTACTTCTTACATGTTGAACTCAAATACCTGTACTTTCTACTTCTTACATGTTGAACCCAAATACCTGTACTTTCTACTTCTTACATGTTGAACTCAAATACCTGTACTTTCTACTTCTTACATGTTGAACCCAAATACCTGTACTTTCTACTTCTTACATGTTGAACACAAATACCTGTACTTTCTACTTCTTACATGTTGAACTCAAATACCTGTACTTTCTACTTCTTACATGTTGAACTCAAATACCTGTACTTTCTACTTCTTACATGTTGAACCCAAATACCTGTACTTTCTACTTCTTACATGTTGAACCCAAATACATGTACCTGTACTTTCTACTTCTTACATGTTGAACACAAATACCTGTACTTTCTACTTCTTACATGTTGAACACAAATACCTGTACTTTCTACATCTTACATGTTGAACCCAAATACCTGTACTTTCTACTTCTCACATGTTGAACTCAAATACCTGTACTTTCTACTTCTCACATGTTGAACTCAAATACCTGTACTTTCTACTTCTTACATGTTGAACACAAATACCTGTACTTTCTACTTCTTACATGTTGAACACAAATACCTGTACTTTCTACTTCATACATGTTGAACACAAATACCTGTACTTTCTACTTCATACATGTTGAACACAAATACCTGTACTTTCTACTTCTTACATGTTGAACACAAATACCTGTACTTTCTACTTCATACATGTTGAACACAAATACCTGTACTTTCTACTTCATACATGTTGAACACAAATACCTGTACTTTCTACTTCATACATGTTGAACACAAATACCTGTACTTTCTACTTCTTACATGTTGAACACTAATACCTGTACTTTCTACTTCATACATGTTGAACACAAATACCTGTACTTCTTACATGTTGAACACTAATACCTGTACTTTCTACTTCATACATGTTGAACTCAAATACCTGTACTTTCTACTTCTTACATGTTGAACTCAAATACCTGAACTTTCTACTTCATACATGTTGAACACAAATACCTGTACTTTCTACTTCTTACATGTTGAACACTAATACCTGTACTTTCTACTTCATACATGTTGAACACAAATACCTGTACTTCTTACATGTTGAACACTAATACCTGTACTTTCTACTTCATACATGTTGAACTCAAATACCTGTACTTTCTACTTCTTACATGTTGAACACAAATACCTGTACTTTCTACTTCATACATGTTGAACACAAATACCTGTACTTTCTACTTCATACATGTTGAACACAAATACCTGTACTTTCTACTTCATACATGTTGAACACAAATACCTGTACTTTCTACTTCTTACATGTTGAACACAAATACCTGTACTTTCTACTTCATACATGTTGAACTCAAATACCTGTACTTTCTACTTCATACATGTTGAACTCAAATACCTGTACTTTCTACTTCTTACATGTTGAACTCAAATACCTGAACTTTCTACTTCTTACATGTTGAACCCAAATACCTGTACTTTCTACTTCTTACATGTTGAACTCAAATACCTGTACTTTCTACTTCTTACATGTTGAACTCAAATACCTGTACTTTCTACTTCTCACATGTTGAACACAAATACCTGTACTTTCTACTTCTTACATGTTGAACTCAAATACCTGTACTTTCTACTTCTCACATGTTGAACACAAATACCTGTACTTTCTACTTCTCACATGTTGAACACAAATACCTGTACTTTCTACTTCTTACATGTTGAACTCAAATACCTGTACTTTCTACTTCTTACATGTTGAACACAAATACCTGTACTTTCTACTTCTTACATGTTGAACCCAAATACCTGTACTTTCTACTTCTTACATGTTGAACTCAAATACCTGTACTTTCTACTTCTCACATGTTGAACACAAATACCTGTACTTTCTACTTCTTACATGTTGAACACAAATACCTGTACTTTCTACTTCTTACATGTTGAACTCAAATACCTGTACTTTCTACTTCTCACATGTTGAACACAAATACCTGTACTTTCTACTTCTTACATGTTGAACACAAATACCTGAACTTTCTACTTCTTACATGTTGAACTCAAATACCTGTACTTTCTACTTCTTACATGTTGAACCCAAATACCTGTACTTTCTACTTCTTACATGTTGAACTCAAATACCTGTACTTTCTACTTCTCTCATTTTCCAAACAGCTGGTTCCTTTAGTCTGAATGTGTGTTTGGTGCGTGATCATTATTCTTTAGAGTCATTGAGTGCCTATTGATTTGAACACGATCCGTGTATCCATCATTTCCTGGTCTTCTCTAAAGAAGAGGGACCAATGGAAGCGTTGTCATGTTGCCGTTGTTCAGCATGGAAACATTCATTAGCTAACAATGACATTATTGTTCTATTAATATAAAGGGAGGTCAGGTACTCTTTAAAGCAGCTGCTAGTTATGGGTACTTTTTACTGAAGTACACTTCAAAGCCTCTTTACTTTTACTTGAGTAAAGAAGTTTAGTCAGTACTTACTCAAACGTCATTCATTCAATCTCGAGTTGAAGCAGTTTTTTTAAAAACACTTATGTAGTAACGAATGATGTGGTGTTTGTTGTATCATTACTTGTTTTGTGTGTATTTTCTTCTTCAGTTTTATGTATTTAAAAGCTAATATTGTGGTTTTGCAAAGTAGCTTAGGATATACATTTTGACATGCTATTCTCTACAAAGATCAACATCAAATCACCTCAAAATGATCTTTGTTTGAGCTGTTTACATCCAGTAGACACGTGGAACAGGTGACAAGCAGATATACCTAAAACATGGTTGATTTTAAGGGGTCAGAAGCCAAAAAGGCCTTTTTAAAAAGACAACAAAGCACACAATGTCTCTCAGTACGTCCTCCACTCTTGTAAAGCTTTGTCTTGTTTAATAATATTCTCCTCTGCCCTCACACACACCTTTTCCTGGCAATGAGTAACCCTGTGTTTGTCCTCAGCCTTTCCTCAAAGGCACCGTATGTAAGCAACGGTGGAGGAAATGAGGCTCTGATGGAGGACGCCTCGGGGCCGTGGAGAGACGCTGTGGACGGGGAGAGACAGAGGGAGGCAGACAGCAGAGATCCAGATGTTGTTGTGATCACAGCAGAGGTTAACCACAGGGGGTCAGCATACAAACCGAAGTTCAACACAACCGGATATCAGGCAAGTGAAGGAGGGTGAAGACGTTCCTCTTTAGCACAGCGTACACTTAGGACTGCAGTGTTTCCCACAGAATTTGATTCTATTTGTGGGGGCACCGCACAAAAAAAGAAAAGCCAAAGGCCCCTTAACCTATTCGGGTGGCCCACGCATCCACCCCCCCTCAAATAAGATAATACATGTGAGTTAATGGCTGTAGACAACGTTCTTGTTGCTCTGTGTTGCGTTGTTAATGAGTGAAACACACCGGAGTTGAGGATCTGTGGGGTTTATTCTCCCAAAAATATAATTTACAATTTAGGCATTTAGCAGACGCCTTATTCCAAAGCGACTTACAACGACCAAATACAGGGACATTCTCCCTGGAGTAACCGAGGGCTAAGTGCCTTACTCAAGGGCAAGTGGTGTTCCAGGCAGGATTTGAACTCGCAACCTTCCGATCATCAGCCCGCCTCACTATCCATTAGACCACCACAACAACAAAAAATTATAAAAATAAAATTTTTTTTTTTTTTTTATTTTTTTATTTTTTTATGAGATCTATTTGTGGCGGACCATATTTAATTGTGGTGGACCGCCACAAATAAATCAATGTATGGGAAACACTGGACTGGTTTTAAACTCCCTTTTAAACATCCTCATGGGTCCTTCCTTTTACAGAATTGTAATTATTGTATTCTAACTGTATTTGTGTCATTGTGTTATGTACCCATTCATTGGTATTGTGATGGGAATGATGGTACTAAAGCTTAATACAGTGTAAACCTAATGAAATGTAAACTGCTGTATTCTGAAAATGTCATGTCAACGGTTTGACTGATTAGGTCAAATCCCTGGAGTGACCTTTGATGTGTGTGAGTGGTCAACAGATGTTTTTGCATGTGGGTTTTATGACCCTACAGGAAGGATGAGGGGAAGGAAGTTAGGATAGGGTGTTATCTGTATCCCTTTTGCTCTGTGTAGGGTGTGAGTCTTGCACACAGTGCCAGGGGGTCTCAGCTGGCCTAACCAAATGTTGTTTGTAATGTAACTAAGCTTTGATGTCCTCCTATAAAGGAGAGACTGTTTCACTCAGAACAGTAAGTGCTCTTTGGAGGAGACGTCATACTTGAAAGTATAAAAGATCCTTATTGCTTTTAATACGAATATTGTGTTGCTGTACGTTTGTTACCTTACTGATTATTCTCTCTGGACCACAGCTGATTTTAAAGCTGCTCCGACAGTATCTTGTCATTTTACCATATTCTCAGATATGTTGGTTGTTTTTACCTCATCATTCGTGTTTGTTGATTTGTGAAGCCCTCTGAGACGAATGTGATTTGTGGGCGATATAAATACATTTGAATTGAAGTGAAATGTGAGGGTGGAGGCCACTTCCTGTATCAGCAGGGTGACACTTGGTGGAGGAAGTAATCAGATCTGTTAATGCATTCAAAGTTTGAGGCTTGGCTCGTCGCTGCTTTGTTGTTAAGTTGAATAATTTATAATGATATAACAACTAAATGGTGCAGAAACAAGAAATGTAATTGACGCAGTGGTGAAAGAAGTAAATCATATTTAACTTGCAATACTCATTTGTTTAAATACTCTGTTACAAGTAAAAGTCCTGCATTCAAAATCTTACTTACCAAAAAGTATTGTCATTAAAAATATACTTGACCCAAAGTAAAAGTACTCATTATGGGTGATAACCCATTTCAGATTCATATATAAACATAGGACACGTTATACATTATAGGAGTGTGCAAAGTAGTTGCAGTTTCTAATATCTGATATAAGTAGTGTGAGTATTTTTGTCAGGTTTCAGCACTCGGTTACAGGCATCAAAGTCTAATAAACCAACCCAGTCTCACGGCATTTCGTGTTATTGTCACGAAATTAATTTGATCTATTGATTCGTGTTCACCAACACGAATTTCCCCTTTTTTCCGTTTCACACAGAACGATTTTGAGAGCAATGTATTTCTATTGGTAGTGTGTTTCGTGCCTGCACCGCGTCTTTTTGTCCGGTCGGGTCTTGGAAGACCGGAAGCTGTGTGGTTCATAAAAACATTTTCTTACTCAATATCTTACCTTAAGCCTAACCATCCCTTTTATTTTAAACTGTAAAATGTCTGAGTTGTTTTGCCGTCCGCGAGGAAAAGAAATGGCTCAGAGCCTCAGAATACTGACATCTGTATTTTTTAAATATTTTTTTCCTTTTAATTTGTTATTATTTGTTGCAGGCACGAAACATACTACCAATAGAAATACATTGCTTCTAAAATCGTTCTGTGTCAGAATACTGAAATCTGTATTTTTTTGTATCTGTTTTTCCTTCTAATCTGTTATTATTTACATTGCTGTTTAAATCGTTCTGTGTGACACGAAAAACATGGCAAAATCGTGTTGGTGAGCACGAATCAATAGATTAATTTCGTGACTATAACACGAAATGCCGTGAGACTGTGTTGAATAAACACAAGTAATACACACAACTAAAACACAAATACTGATACTGTACACATTAATGCAAACAAGTGCTTTTACTTGTGTATCTTTAAGGAGATTTTGATAAAACACTTTTACCTAAGAGGAATTTCCAATGCAGGACTTTTGACTTGCAAATTGAATATTTTTACTTTCAGTATAAAGTGTTAAAAAACTAGGAAATTCAAAGGAATTCTGTCTTTTATTTCAGTAACAGTGAGAGTTGCATTGTCTCATGCACACTATTGAAAGGTTATTGGTATGCTCTTTGTATTGGACTTCGAATCATAGCAAGTTCGAGTCCCACTGCAGTCAGCATGTCGTTGTGTCCCTGAGACACTTCAAATTGCTGCTGTGAGGATTGCCCACAGTATTGAGTATGTCAGTCGCTTTGGATGAAAGCGTCTAACAAGTACCATGTAATGTACTGTGTTTAATCCTCTGGTACTTTCACATGAAAACAACAGCATAAACATGGTCTCATATCTCCCTCTTTAGCGGCGGACCAAGCAGAAGGTGGTGACGGACTTTGCCACAGTGAGTAAAGGAACTTCTGCAGGAGCCAAACCCCGAGCAACGCTGAGCAAAGTGTTCAACCAGGGAGTGTCGGAGAAGAACCCCGAGGTAACGTATTGTCTGCTGCTCATCACCCTGCATGCTGACATGCTCAGAAAACAGATACAGACTTGCTTTAGCCGAGTCTGCCCGTTCAAACAACGGAAAACACAGCAGCTTGTTCCACTCTGTTGGCACGTTATGTCTGACTGACTGATTCATTATGACAAGTTTTCCATTTCTCCCCCTTACTTTTTCTCCAAATGTTGGGAAAGTACTGAATGTGCTCTTCCAATATCAGAGTGTACGTAACAGGATGTGTGATTACCTAGAAGAGCATCAGGACTGTTTTAAGCATATGATAGCTATGTGATTAACATGATGATTCAGCCTCTATGGAGAGAGACATCAAGCATGCTCATTTCTGACGTGGAGCTAATCTGAAGTAAACATTGAAGACTGCTTTCTATTCCTCCATCTTGTGACTGTGTAACTCCCTCTCTTGGATATCAGCATGTGAAGGACACTGTTCAGGAACTAGTTGATGCTCTGTATGTGATGACTCCTTCCATTCTGGAGAGGATCACAAACACATGGATCCTGATTATTGAAGCTCAAGCCGGGGACCAGTGATATTTTCCTAACACCAATGCTTCCTGCTCCCGGTGTTTTCTGACCTCAGGAGAAGGGTCAGCTGGACGGGTTGAAGCAGGCTCTCGGGGCCTTCGCTGTGCCGGTGGATCTGAAGTGGAGATGGAAGGAGGAAAGTCAGGGAACCACACTGGAGAAAAACTGGACTGATATAGTGCACTCTCACTCAGTAAGCACCCTTAACTTATTAGTTAACTGTGTTTCCCTTACTGTCAACACATCCAAAGAAAAGGCACCAACAAGGAGTTGGTCCGCTAAGAGCTGTTGATTCATAGTGTGATTAGGGCTCAGTCGGTTTGCAAAGCTAGACAAAAACAACACATAAATCAGCCAGACTGTTAAATTATATTTCATTTAGATTAAGCTTTTATCCAACACTATTTACAGTGTAATCAACACATTCAGGAGATGAAGATTCCTGCAAGTGCATTAGCTTTAAATAAGCCAAACATTTTCAGTGCTACACTCTTATTTAATATGCACTGGGGGACATTCTTCACCATGATTATAGGCATTATATCCCACATAAAGCATTCTGCTGCTGTAAATACTCACGAGAGCACATCTGCAGCTGATCGTTCCCAACAAATACTCCATATACTACCTTTTTAATTACATTTGTATGACTTGTTATAACATTTAAATCTATTGCAGACAAACTAGGGTAGTGGGAAATGATTGAGAGATATCCTTTTTTGTTTAATGTGTGGACAATAGAAAACACATGCTCCTGCTTGTACTGTAACATCCTCCTCATCATCGTTAATTGTGTTCTCCTTTCCCTCCTCTCTCTCCTTCCTTGTTGTTTTAATATCAGACCATGTCTAAGATGCAGAGACACCAGCAGGAGGCGCTGTGGGAGTTTGTCCACACTGAGCTCACCTACATCAACAAGCTCATCATCATCAAGGATGTAATGTCCCGTTCTCTACCCGCAGCCAGAGCCCTAGAGATACTAATCTAGATACTTATCTCTCTAGGGCTCGGCCCTTAGCCATTTAAACAGCTGTTGTGTTTATGCAGAGCTCCGCCCCGTGTTTAACTAAGCTGTGTGCATTTCTCACAGGTGGTGATCGCAGCTCTTTTCCACCTGCAGCAGCATGGATTCCTCCCTGAGGTCAGTCTGCAGAGCGTGCTTATTATCTACACTGGTCTGTGTTCAGTGATGCAGTGTGAGGTTATGGAGAGATTGAAGATATATTCATGGGTTCTTTCAAGAGGTGGTTGATGCCGTATATGCTCAAAGTGATAGTAGGCAGACTTTGTAATTGTCCTTATGTGACTACACCTAGATTTCTGGCTTTTTCATTTGAAGCTGAGCACTGACTTTAAGTTCATCTTTGGCTATTTTGATTATATAAGATATAAGATATATGTATACTGTATTCCCCTGGTTAAATATGAACTAAGAAAAGTAACACAAGCTAAGTGCCATTTTAATCTTCTCAAGTTCCTCAATTTAAAGCTACTATTTATTTCTCATTACATTACATTACATTACATTGCATTTAGCTGACGCTTTTGTCCAAAGCGACTTACAATAAGTACATTCGACCAGGAAGACACAACCTTGAAGAAAACAGAATCATATAAGTACATCAGGTTTCATAGAGCTAAACATTTCAAGTGCTACTCAACTGGCTTTAGGTAAGCCAGTCCTTTATTAGTATAAAAGTGCTTTGTTAATCGTTCTAACGCTCGAAGTGGAGTCGAAAGAGATGAGTTTTCAGTTTGCGCCGGAAGATGTGCAAGCTATCTGCCGTCCTGATGTCAATGGGGAGCTCATTCCACCATTTTGGAGCCAGGATAGCAAACCCACGTGTTTTCGCCGATGGGAACTTGGGTCCCCCTCGCAGCGAGGGCGCAACGAGTCGTTTGGCTGATGCAGAGAGGAGTGCACGCGCTGGGGTGTACGGTTTAACCATGTCCTGGATGTAGGAAGGGCCAGATCCATTCGCAGCATGGTAAGCAAGTACCAGTGTCTTGAAGTGGATTCTAGCAGTTACCGGAAGCCAGTGAAGGGAGCGGAGGAGCGGAGTGGTGTGGGAGAATTTAGGAAGGTTGAAAACCAGACGAGCCGCTGCATTCTGGATGAGCTGCAGAGGTCGGATGGCACATGCAGGTAGACCAGCCAGGAGGGAGTTGCAGTAGTCTAGGCGTGAGATGACGAGAGCCTGGACCAGAACCTGAGTCGCTTTCTGAGTCAGCATCTTCCTGATGTTGTAAAGCGTGTATCTGCAGCAGCGGGTTCTCCTCCTTTCTATTTCAGAGACAGATTTACTCCACAACAAGTCTTTAAAATTCACAAGTAATACTTCTTCCTTGTCGAACACTATTGTGATGATTTGTTATGGTGCAGAACTACTAATCTGGTTTATACACAGTATCCACAATTAGTTTCATCACAACGTGCTCTACATGCATTTGTTGGTGATAAAAGCAGAAAAATATAATAATCTACAATAATATAATACTTTGAGACCATTCTACTTTAACTATGGTGACAATATAAATACAGGACTTATACTTGTAGGCCTAAAGGAGTACTTTTAGTCTAGTATTTCAACTTTTACTTAAGTACAGGGTACGAGCACTTATTCCACCAGCACCTGTTTCCCCTCATCTGCATGCCATTGACATACATTAACTGGCACAACAGGACATCCGCTGTAGCTGACACAGAATTAAACACTCAAGTGGAAAAAGTAGCTCAACATTAGATTTCCATTGAGAAGACAGAACAAATCTGTTTTTCTCCTCTGTTGCCTTCCACTGGGTTTCTAACATTATGTGTGTGTTTCTTGGGAGTTTTTCCTGGAACATTTTAATTAATTTCTTATTTTATCTTTGATTTGATCTTTAATTGTATTCATCTGTGTGAATCTGTGCTGTCCTGTTTTTCATCCTTACTCTGTTGCTGTTTAAACCACTGAATTTCCCCGAGGGGATTGATAAAGCTCCATCTTATCTTAAAGTCTAAGGACAGAGGGTGTTGTAAGCTGAACACACTGTAAAACCCCCTGAGACAAAAGTGTAATTTGTGATATTGGGCCATATAAAAACAATTTGAGTGATGAAACGTTAACCCTGACCTCCTCCTGTGACTTGCATATAGCCTATTCTGCACTATTTCTATTATATTGTATTTACTTGCACTATTTTATGCCTGTGACCTAAGATTTTCATTGTCATTTCTACACTGTAGCTTTGCACAAATGACAATATAAGCCTTGAATCTTGACAGGTGACCCCCACGCTGCTCTTCTCAAACCTCTGCTCCGTCCTCTCCGCTCACCAGCTGTTGTGGCAGGAAGTGATTTACCCGATGCTGCAGGAGGTCCGGAGGACAGGGAAGCCCTTCGACCCCCTGGTGTTAGAGGCCGGCTGCCTGCAGGTAGGAACCGTCTGCCTGATCATCAGCAACACATTCAGACTGAGGTGTCTTTCAGCCTGGCAGAATTTACTCATGTAGTTTACTTTATTTACTGGTGTGTTTCAGTTGCAGATCACAGATGGCAAAAGTACACACATCCTTGACTCAAGTAGAAGTACAGATACTCGTGTTTAAAAATACTCTGGTGAAAGTAGAAGTACTGACTCAACTTCTTTACTCAAGTAAAAGTAAAGAGGCTTTAAAATGTACTTCAGTAAAAAGTACCCAGAACTAGCAGCTGTTTTAAAGAGTACCTGACCTCCCTTTATATTAATAGAACAATAATGTCATTGTTAGCTAATGAATGTTTCCATGCTGAACAACGGCAACATGACAACGTTTCCATTGGTCCCTCTTCTTCAGAGAAGACCAGGAAATGATGGATACACGGATCGTGTTCAAATCAATAGGCACGCAATGACTCTAAAGAATAATGATCACGCACCAAACACACATTCAGACTAAAGGAACCAGCTGTTTGGAAAATGTGAGAAGTAGAAAGTACAGGTATTTGAGTTCAACATGTAAGAAGTAGAAAGTACAGGTATTTGAGTTCAACATGTAAGAAGTAGAAAGTACAGGTATTTGTGTTCAACATGTGAGAAGTAGAAAGTACAGGTATTTGAGTTCAACATGTAAGAAGTAGAAAGTACAGGTATTTGTGTTCAACATGTAAGAAGTAGAAAGTACAGGTATTTGGGTTCAACATGAAAGAAGTAGAAAGTACAGGTATTTGGGTTCAACATGTAAGAAGTAGAAAGTACAGGTATTTGTGTTCAACATGTAAGAAGTAGAAAGTACAGGTATTTGTGTTCAACATGTAAGAAGTAGAAAGTACAGGTATTTGTGTTCAACATGTGAGAAGTAGAAAGTACAGGTATTTGTGTTCAACATGTAAGAAGTAGAAAGTACAGGTATTTGGGTTCAACATGTAAGAAGTAGAAAGTACAGGTATTTGAGTTCAACATGTAAGAAGTAGAAAGTACAGGTATTTGTGTTCAACATGTAAGAAGTAGAAAGTACAGGTATTTGAGTTCAACATGTAAGAAGTAGAAAGTACAGGTATTTGTGTTCAACATGTAAGAAGTAGAAAGTACAGGTATTTGGGTTCAACATGTAAGAAGTAGAAAGTACAGGTATTTGAGTTCAACATGTAAGAAGTAGAAAGTTCAGGTATTTGAGTTCAACATGTAAGAAGTAGAAAGTACAGGTATTTGGGTTCAACATGTAAGAAGTAGAAAGTACAGGTATTTGGGTTCAACATGTAAGAAGTAGAAAGTACAGGTATTTGAGTTCAACATGTAAGAAGTAGAAAGTACAGGTATTTGAGTTCAACATGTAAGAAGTAGAAAGTACAGGTATTTGTGTTCAACATGTAAGAAGTAGAAAGTACAGGTATTTGTGTTCAACATGTAAGAAGTAGAAAGTACAGGTATTTGGGTTCAACATGTAAGAAGTAGAAAGTACAGGTATTTGAGTTCAACATGTAAGAAGTAGAAAGTACAGGTATTTGAGTTCAACATGTAAGAAGTAGAAAGTACAGGTATTTGGGTTCAACATGTAAGAAGTAGAAAGTTCAGGTATTTGGGTTCAACATGTAAGAAGTAGAAAGTACAGGTATTTGTGTTCAACATGTAAGAAGTAGAAAGTACAGGTATTTGGGTTCAACATGTAAGAAGTAGAAAGTACAGGTATTTGAGTTCAACATGTAAGAAGTAGAAAGTACAGGTATTTGGGTTCAACATGTAAGAAGTAGAAAGTTCAGGTATTTGGGTTCAACATGTAAGAAGTAGAAAGTTCAGGTATTTGTGTTCAACATGTAAGAAGTAGAAAGTACAGGTATTTGTGTTCAACATGTAAGAAGTAGAAAGTACAGGTATTTGAGTTCAACATGTAAGAAGTAGAAAGTACAGGTATTTAAGTTCAACATGTAAGAAGTAGAAAGTACAGGTATTTAAGTTCAACATGTAAGAAGTAGAAAGTACAGGTATTTAAGTTCAACATGTAAGAAGTAGAAAGTTCAGGTATTTGGGTTCAACATGTAAGAAGTAGAAAGTTCAGGTATTTGGGTTCAACATGTAAGAAGTAGAAAGTACAGGTATTTAAGTTCAACATGTAAGAAGTAGAATGTTCAGGTATTTGAGTTCAACATGTAAGAAGTAGAAAGTTCAGGTATTTGGGTTCAACATGTAAGAAGTAGAAAGTACAGGTATTTGAGTTCAGCATGTAAAAAGTAGAAAGTACAGGTATTTGAGTTCAACATGTAAGAAGTAGAAAGTACAGGTATTTAAGTTCAACATGTAAGAAGTAGAAAGTACAGGTATTTAAGTTCAACATGTAAGAAGTAGAAAGTACAGGTATTTGTGTTCAACATGTAAGAAGTAGAAAGTACAGGTATTTGTGTTCAACATGTAAGAAGTAGAAAGTACAGGTATTTGAGTTCAACATGTAAGAAGTAGAAAGTACAGGTATTTGGGTTCAACATGTAAGAAGTAGAAAGTACAGGTATTTGAGTTCAACATGTAAGAAGTAGAAAGTACAGGTATTTGTGTTCAACGTGTAAGAAGTAGAAAGTACAGGTATTTGGGTTCAACATGTAAGAAGTAAAAGTAAAAAGTCGTCAGAAAAATAAGTAGTGGAGTAAAGTACTGAAACCAGAACAATGTACTTAAGTACAGTAACGAAGTATTTGTACTCCACTACTTCCCACCTCTGGTGCAGATAAAGATTTTTCAATCACCTTTATGTGCATGTCAATTATAAAATGTACCTAGAGCATCTATCATAGTTAGAGGATCATAAATTATAATGGTACACTATGCACTAAATTAACTCCCACAGGTGTAATTCTACATCATAATGAACATGTTTGTATTAAAATTGTTTTGATTACAGTTATGTACTTTTACCACTAAAGTAGTTTTCTTGCAATACAATTTGTATTGACCTTTAAAGTAAATACAAACCAAAATCCTCAACATATATGAACACAATCTTTCTAACATGAGTGAAAAAGTATTAAGATTGGGAATATAAAAGAAATTAAATAAAACTTTGGAGGTGTTTTTATGACGTTTATTTAAACAAGAGTCTGGTAGAAGCACTTCATAGTAATACTTGTTGAAGATGTGAGAAATGTTCTCTATTACATACAAATATAAACACGTCAAAACATTTGATTTCTTCAGATATTACTTAGTTAAACATTTCAAACCAACCACCAGGTTTCCCTCCAGTTTCCTCAGGTACATCAGCTCAAAACTATAATGAGTTTTTCTGTTGATGTGATGGATTGTGATGGACACACATTTCCGTCAAAAAAGGGGTCGCGGTCGCCTTCAAAATACAGGAAAATTATGTATTTTCTTACGAAATCTTATACAGTCAGCAGAGATACATCTTCTTATTTATTCCATAATCTCTTCTTCCTTCCTTTAAACATTAATAGTTATCAATAATAATGTACCCACACTGTGAGTAATTCTCTCTATTGTATACAAAGTTTAACCTGTTGAGCCCTGAGCCTGTTTTTCAGGCCTCAGGCTCGAAAATGACATTTCCAGAACACATGGCTATATCTTCACTTCTAAAAGGGGTAAATTAATAATCTTTTTTCTCAAAGCAATGATAAACCTGTGAGCTGGATGTAGAAAAGTCTGAATCAATATAGATTTTTTTAATTTAAAGTAAATTCAGATTGAACATAGTAAAAAAAAATGTATGATAGTGTCCATCCAAAAAGAAAACATTACTTATAGTGAAACACCCTTGAATGATGGGTTAGTAGACTAAAAGCTTTAGGAATCCAAACTATAACATATAATAAGTACCCTGTATCAAGATTGACGCAAAACAAGTGACATTTGAACTTTTTAGAGAGATTTAGCAACAAAAAAACACTTCTGGGGTCATTTGGGTGCATTTTCCATATCTCTGGATGATTGACACCTCTTTCTAACCGTTGGAGCCAATAGAATCGAGGGGAAGTTCCTCAAATCCACCTAAACATTACCCATTGGTGAATGAGTGCTGCGCAGCCAGAAGGCCCAAAACCGGAAACTGGGTTGTAGCTCTCACACACACATTGGATTAACCTTCAGCAGCGTTTTATGCGTTTTAATGCCATTGAACACAACTTTTGATCAGAAAACAGCAAAGGTAAGACGTATTTGCCGTTTTGCTACGTTGTGTGTTGTCTGGTTTTGCCTTCGCTGACCTGGTCGCACAATGATGATATTTATACCTCTAGAATCTGTGGAATCTCAGCTTTCTAGCTGATATCTTGTTCGTGCAGATCCGACAAGTAATACAATATTTCTACCTTGAGTTCTGTGCTAAGTGCGTTAGCATTTTTTTTCGCTTAGTGCTAATTCAGAGGCTTGGTATTACCCTTGTGTTTCGTTTAGCAAAAAATGGTTCGTATCGTCAGCTAGCTGAGTTTCTTCCCGTTAAGTGGGTATGACACATTAATAGGTTTCATGAAGAAGAAAAAAGCGACGGGGGCTGCCGGGCTTAACAGGTTAAAAGTCGACACCTTAGTATTCTGAGCAATTTCCTCAGCTCAAAACTAGATTTTAGTTTTTCTTTTGATGTCACAGATTTCCGTTTAAAAAGGGTCTCGAGTCTCTACACTTCAAAATACATTAGAAGTGATCTTTGGTTTTTTTTCTCATAGGATCTCGTAAGAGTCATGCTGATTGTAATAAATCCACAAATCAGTCCCAGCAAATTCATATAACTAAGAGAGTACTACGTGTGTTTGACATTGCACTGACATTAATGGACAGTTTTTAATACAACAAAACATCTCAATTCAAGCAGAACCAGAGAAATCTTCTTTTTTATTCCATATACTCTTTTTCTTTCTACATACTTTACCCACAATGCAACTTGTCCTCAGTTTGGTCAGAGGTTTATGTTGTGCTTTTTTTTAACACATGCAGTGACCCTGTATTGGTAACATTTTGAATGCAGGACTGACTTACTTTCAATGTTAGCTTAAAGATTAAATCCACATAAATAAGTAAGTTAGTTAGTAAGAAAGAAAGTAAGAAAGAAAGTAAGTTAGTAAGAAAGTAAGAAAGAAAGTAAGTAAGTAAGAAAGTAAGTAAGTAGGTTAGTAAATGTATGTAATGGTGGTTTTCTCACATTACCAATTAATAATCCTCTTTTTGTTTGTCTCCAGTTCCCTGAGCGCTTCTTCTCCTATCAGCACTACTGTTGGGAGGAGGAGAACAACCTGGAGTTCACACGCAGGCAAATGGAGAGCAACCCACACTTCCACACCTTCGTCCAGGTGAGAAGAAGACATACTGTATTAGTCCCCAAAGGAAAATGACTCTTATCACTCTGTTGTGTTTACACATGTACACACACAGGCTTGATATACAGTACAGAGGATAAACGTGCACAGACAGAACAACACGCAGGACAGGAAAGGCGGCAGAAGTGGCGTCCAGAGCAGCTGGGGGTTCGGTGCCTTGCTCAACTGGCACCTCTCCAGCTTCCAGTCCACACTTCTTATTACTTTTGGTCCAATCGGGATGAGAACCGGCGACCCTTTGGTTCCCAGGCCGAGTCCCTTTTTTAAAATATCTTCTTTTTTTTCAAAATCATTATGCAAACAAGATGAACTCAAAGAAACAATGAAAACATAAATTGTCATCTACCAGCCTTAACACTTTCTATTCACAAAATTGTATTTTATTTTGCTTTCATGATCAAACTCATTGAGGGTGCTAGGCCGAGTCCCTACAGACTGAGCCACTGCCGCCCCTGAGCATCACACACACACACACACACACACACACACACACACACACACACACACACACACACACACACACACACACACACACACACACACACACACACACACACACACATACCATGTATACATCACTTCAGGGGACATTACATTGACTTACATGCATTTCCTGGAGACTTATCCTAACCTTAACCATAACCAACACATGCCTAACCCTAACCCTAAACCTAACCCTAACCAGGTCTTCACCCTAAAATGAATAATTCCCCTTATGGGGACCTCCATTTTGTCCCCATAAGTGAGGCGAGTCCCCACACATGACTGTGTAAACATATTTAGGTCCCCACAAGTAAAGTAATGCTAGGCCTCACACACACACACACACACACACACACACACACACACACACACACACACACACACATTCTCTCCCACACAAACCTCATTATTAACAGTGAGTGCAACACGATTGAGATTCCATGCAATGACTAACAGCTGTGTTATTAAAGGTGACGCTGTGTAGTTTGAATTGTTTCATAACGTCGTGGGCGCAAACACTTTTCACACCAACATTTTTCTCCAAATGATTGATCAGACTTATTCAGAATCAGAAACAGGTTTATCACCAGGTAGGTTGACACGTACGAGGAATTTGACGTGGTGTCGTGGTGCATACATAAAAGTAAAACAAACAAACAAAAAAACACAGAGAACTATTTTAAGAACACTATAGTCAAATAAAAATAAAGCAGTATTTACATTGAACAAAGCCTTACATGGTTTCTTGCTCACACCACTGAGCACAGGACATGGATAGGAATAGTTACTGAAATATAAGATCGGACAATAAGACTTAATTGATGCCAAATTGCGAAATTGTTTAGTTACGGCAGCATGTACACAAGGCATTGCACATGAATAACATGTCAAAATAAACCTAAACAGGAAATAATATACACATTAACGATATAAATATATATAGGGCATAATAACAATGTACAGAATAAATCCGAATACACTCTAAAATACCACTACTACTAAAAACGACTATGAACAAAGGGTATATAAATTATGAAGTGCGTAGATAAACAACCCCTGGAAAAATAAAAGCAGTATTTTGATCATGGAAACATGGCCTTTACTGTATTCATGTGTTTATTTAACACTTGCTGTTTCACTTATGTCATACGACCACACTTGTTAACCCGAGTGGGAGGTGATATATTTGAGTTTAACAGTAAAAGAGACATTTTAGCAGGAAACGTGGTGGGAGTTAAAAAGGGTCCACTCATCCAAATCAAACAAAACAAAAACATCTCACTCCCTTTAGTGGGTTAGGGTTGATAGACATGGTTTTATCTTCCAAAGCTTTCAGATGTTAGTCTTTCACCACGGTACTACGGATGAGAAAAGGCTTTTGTCTACAACTGATCAAATATATTGAATTAACAATTAAATAAACGACAACAAACAACATACTGCAGATGTTGATAGAAAATAATGCTGTGTATCGTCCATAGACTGTATATATAAAGGTATCGTCAGATGAATCCACAGACCACACAGCAAAGATATTAAGTAATTAGAAACTACCTACTTATTTTGAATTAGGAAGTACTTCAAACCAAACTTCTCTGAGTATTTCGGTTACTGAAGATGTTAGAGCCATTTTTTGTGTTGATAACTAATGACAATGTTCTAATTAATTTAGGTCTTAATATATTCTTTCGATTTATGAATTTGTAGTTAGTTAAATATTCTGATTAGATGATCAGCTGTTATTGAAACTGTCTTCAACACAGAACGGGGAATCGGTACAGTATTTGACCTCACGTTACACTGATCAGTTTTGTTTAATTTTATGGAAGAAGTAAATAAATCAGCGAATGTTTGGACGGTTTTAACGTGTGAGTCAAGAAGCAGAGCGATGTTAATGGTGCACAGTTTATTAATATACTACGAAGAATGAGCCACGAAAGTACACTAGTGTTAGGTGAACGAACCCCTTCAATGAAGACCTGTCAAATGCACATTCTTTATAATTAAACAAGTTGCAATCAGAGTCACTGACCTCAGGCCTGTTCCTGTGCTTCCTGCAGTGGGTGGAGACTCACCCTAAGTGTGAGCGGATGCGTCTCGGGGACATGCAGGCCAAACCCCACCAGAGGATCACCAAGTATCCTCTGCTGCTCAAAGCCGTGCTGAAGAACACGCAGGACCCTCATGTGCAGCACACACTCAGAGGCATGGTGAGAAACCCCATGTCACCCGATCATCCATCCCATGAGATTTAGTAAAGTAATTTCAAAGGATATCTTTCATTTAAAGCAGTATGTAGCTGTAGTAGGTCAATGCCTCTTCTTTCTCTCTCAATATCAACGTATATCTTGTTGTTATATTGAACACTTTGTGAATACGGAGGGGAATAGCTGCAATAAAAAAACTGATCTTGTATGTTAAAGTGTAAATGTTCATTTGACCCCTTATGCACTCAGATACAAAAAGTGCCTCCTTCTCTCTGTGTCCTCGATATCTTTAAGTTATGTATTTCTTTTATACAATCATGTAACCATTCATAATGAATTAGCCTCGGTAAAGTTAGCTTAAGGTAAAATATATTCTAAATATATTCCCTCCAGAATAAGGAGTAAAATATGAACTTTTAAAATATCAACGCTGTTCAATTCAGCAACATTTCTTTTGTTATGCTAAGCAGCAAAACTCCTACTGACGAGCAATGCTTCTCACTTCAAGATAATCATTAAATAACCTGATGAAGTGTCCTTACAGCAGTAACATTTTCTAAAGACATTTTCCAAATATGACAAGGCTGAAAAAAGGCTTATCTTCCCTTTTGAAACCGAGGCTCCTTTAATATCAGAATTTCCACATATCAATGCATCCAGAACTTGTTTTAGCTTTTAAAAGGCATAGTACAAGAAGCCTACGTTGTGGCTCAGAAGTGAAACCACTTGTCACAGATGTCATCTATATCTGAAATGAGTGTCATATTGAATTAGCCTGGGTAAAGTTTGAGGTTAAACTCAAGCATTTTCTATATATATTCCCTCTTGAGTTAGCACAAAAACATTCCTTTCTGCAAGATTAAATCTCCATCTTCTCTCACAACTTCCGGCGCAGACTGAAAACTCATCTCTTTCGACTCCACTTCGAGCGATAGAACTGCTAACAAAGCACTTATAAACTAACAAAGGACTGGCTTATCTAAAGCCAGTTGAGTAGCACTTGAAATGTTTGGCTCTATGAAACCTGATGTACTTATATGATTCTGTTTTCTTCAAGCTTGTATCTTGTTGGTCGAACGCACTTATTGTAAGTCGCTTTGGATAATTAACTTGGTCAGCTAAATGCAATGTAATGTAATCTTCCCATGTTCCTCTACAGTTATCCGGTGTGAACACTTTCTTGGAGAGCATCAATGACTACCTGAAGCGGAAGGACGAGGAACTCGCTCTCAGCATCTCCGCTCAGCGGGTGGAGGGGTACGAGGTGGAGGGAATCAATGAAGACATAGACAAGGTAACATATCATTGTTTCCCTTTCCTGAACCAAACTGAACGTTATATATTCCTATTACACCTCAAACATGTTTTTCTACTTGCAGCATGTCCAAAAGTTCTGCCAGTTTGACCTCACGTGCCCCATCAGAGGCGTCAGTCCTCAGGCGGTCCGTAAGCTGCTGCTGGAGGACAACCTGAAGATTCGGGGGAGAAGAGACAACAAGGTGAGAGCTCAGTTACTGACCATTCAAATCCATCTCTTAAAGGTCACCTATTATGCAAAATCCACTTCTTCATGTCTCTTCTACATCAACATGTGTCCCCTCTTCTTCATGTCTCTTCTACATCAACATGTGTCCCCTCTTCTACATCAACATGTGTCCCCTCTTCTTCATGTCTCTTCTACATCAACATGTGTCCCCTCTTCTTCATGTCTCTTCTACATCAACATGTGTCCCCTCTTCTTCATGTCTCTTCTACATCAACATGTGTCCCCTCTTCTTCGTGTCTCTTCTACATCAACATGTGTCCCCTCTTCTTCATGTCTCTTCTACATCAACATGTGTCCCCTCTTCTTCGTGTCTCTTCTACATCAACATGTGTCCCCTCTTCTTCATGTCTCTTCTACATCAACATGTGTCCCCTCTTCTTCGTGTCTCTTCTACATCAACATGTGTCCCCTCTTCTTCATGTCTCTTCTACATCAACATGTGTCCCCTCTTCTTCATGTCTCTTCTACATCAACATGTGTCCCCTCTGTGTAAAGAGACTCTGAAAGTTTCAGGAACAAAGATTCTCTCTCTTTTTGATCCATTTCTATGAAAACCTGTCTGAAAATGAGCTGATCAGATTTTGGCCACTTTATGATGTCATAACGGTTTTTTATCTTGTGTAACCATTAGCCATCAGCAACCAAGGTAACCCCCCCCCCTTATCACCTGAATCTCCTCCTAGAGCTCCATTGTGTTCTTTGTAACCAAATCTCTCTCAGAGGGGCGTGGGGAGGGGCTCCTTATTTTCATCTAAAGCAGGGGTGGGGAAGCTCCGGCCCCCGGGCCGTATACGGCCCGCGAGACAATTTGATACGGCCCTCGAGGTAACTCACGCAAAAAAGAAAAAAAATGAAGAAATCTAGACCGCAAAAGAATGAAACAAGCGAGTGCCTGTTTTTCCTGGCCACGGTCAGGGTCCTTGAACACAACACGAGCCTAACGTGTCATCACGTGGTATATCTCTCGTCCGACAGGGGTTTAGAGCTTCCGGAGAGCACCAGGACGTCGCTCCGGGCCGGGACATCACAAATGTCAGTACCCATAAGGAGCTGTACACATGCCGCAGTTTCTGCGTGTCTGTGCCTTTAGTTGAAAGCCCAGTGGCGATCTGTTCATCTGTCATACTGATCATATAGTCAATAACTTATTAGCATCTGGTTAGCTAGCTATGCTAACGAATATAAGAAGCTTTTTCTCCAACCAGTGAGGTAAAGGCACATCTTTATATGATCATTATAGTTATAAAAAAAAAGAGAATAAAGTAAACAGGTATAAAATACTATATGACAGTCAAAAAAGTTGTTATTAATAAACAATAATACAGTTTGAAAGGGGAGTGATTTGTAAAATATCCATAAAGAAAATCTGCTTACAGTTCTGTTTCATCTGGGTGTTGAGAGATGTTTCCATAGATCTCTTAATGTTGCTCTCAAAGTGCACCAGATTGATGCTTTTAACTTCAACATTTAAACATGCCCCCCGGACCCCCCTAGAGGAGGTTAGGTCCCCCCCCACTTAAATCATATTCACATGGATAGGAAACTAAATTACACACATCTTGTGTCCATATCTTTCTGTTTTGGTGGTCATGCCACAACCGTGCACATGCATGCATGCGCGAGTCATGGTAAGATATCTGGATTAAGAGGCTTTTTCTTTGCACAGCATGCAGTGGCGGCGCTGGGGTATGGCTGGGGTAGGCTACAGCCATACCAAGAAATGGCTTAGCCCTACCTTAGCCCGACCATGAAAAAGTATGTTAAGGTGAGCATGTTGAGAACACGGATTGCGAAAATCTACCGGTCGTGTCCACAACACACAAACTGATCCTGCTGTAACAACAAGTGCACGTTACTGACGCAATATGGTTGAGACCATTCGGGCTTATGTTAGAGGGGTGCAAGGAATAGTCTAAGTAGTGGGGGAGTTTTATACACTAAAGGTGTGGACATTCTCTCGCGTTATAATATCAGCGCGGCCACGGTCAGATCAAAATGCCTCCGAATGCAATTTGAACAGACCTACAGCCAATCAGAGCAACGAAACGTTGGGTCTCTGCGTCATGCATTACTGATTCGTCACGTTCACAGTGAAAAGTCCCCAAACTCGCGCCGAGTAAATTGCAGCAGACAGACAGCAGAACTTTTAGGATTAATTGTATATTTCGGATGGATAGATTTGTTCTTAAACGCCCTCGCATTGAGGTACAAGTCGAACAGGTGCCAGAGTCACACGACCCACCTGAAGAGTGAATAGTGAGTTTTGAATATATTTTGTAATAATGGGTCATTTGAAAAAGTGTTTTGTATGACAATAGAGATACAGGCTACTTGTTGTGTGCTGTGTCTGTCTCTCTCTGTTTACCCGTGTCTCTGTCTCCCTCACTCTCTCTCTCTCCGTGTCAATTCTACATGCCAACTTTTCTTGTTTCTGCCGCTGCGTAGCATGTTGTAACAACGTGGAATTAGCAGAATAGGCTATTGTATTGCTTAACTCACACCTGTTGCTCTCGATGTAATTTAGCTGATAAAAGGAGGCTAATAAAAGCTAATAAAAGCCTCACGCGTGCGTTTCACTGTCAAGGGGTGCGATATAGCGTGTATGTAATTACATTACAAATACTGCTTGAGCCCCACCACTGTATGGGTTAGCCCTACCATAGATTACCCAACACAAATACTCTGGCGCCGCCACTGACAGCATGAAAGAAAGGTGAAATGAATGGGCTGTGAATTTAGTTTTGTAAGCAGAGGTTGAGTTCAATCATTTGTACGGCCCTCGGAGGATGTTGAAAAAATTGAAATGGCCCTTGAGAGGAAAAAGGTTCCCCACACCTGCCTTATAGCCTTCATTTCAGTACTGTTATTGCATTGGAGAATAATACAATCTGTTGATCAACTTGACATGCATTATATGCAATCTGGATTGCATCGATATTAGCTGGCTTTCCATTTTTGTATATTCTTTCTCCAGGTAGTTGGAAAAAGTTTTCCGTCCCATATCAAGAAAAATAAATCTGCTTACAGTTATGTTTCATATGGGTGTTGAGAAATGTATCCATAGATCTCTTAATGTTGCTCTCAAAGTGCAAACATCTTTGGAAACTAAATACATTTGCACACATCTTGTGTCCATATCTTTCTGTTTTGGTGGTCATGCCACAACCGTGCACGTGAATGCATGCGCGAGTCATGGTAAAATATCTGGATTAAAAGGTTGCTTTTTCTTTGCACAGCATGAAAGAAAGGTGAAATGAATGGGCTGTGATTTTAGTATTTTTAAGCAGAGGTCAATCATTTGTATGGCCCTCGGAGGATGTTGAAAACATTGAAATGGCCCTTGAGAGGAAAAAGGTTCCCCACCCCTGGTCTAAAGTAACAGACAGAGAATCAGCACTTTGGAAACAGGGCTGAAACAGAGGGGATTATGGGTAATGCTGCAATGATCTGTTTGGTGTTTCAGCCAATCAGAGACAGGTTCTGTATATATCTGAGACCTGTAATATATTGATAAAAAAACAGTATAGTCATTACTGTTTTTAACCTCCCCTTGTTTCCTGGTGCAGCTGGAGGTGGTGGCTCTACTTTTCTCCGATGTGCTCCTCATGACCAAAGTCCAGAAGAAGGGCGAGTGTCTGAAGGTAGTTCGCCCTCCTCTGGCCCTCGACAGAACGCACTGCATCGCACTGAAAGACGGCTGTGAGTCACCCTCTCTAAGAGACAGTTAGATTCTGTATATATATTACAGATCCCATAATCCTTCCTCCTGCTCTTCCTCTCAGGTTCATTCGTCCTGGTCGAGGTGGGCGAGCTTCGCAGTGCTATGAACGTCTACTTGTTTGTAGCCAGCACTTCAGAGAGATGCTCATCATGGGTGTCCAACATCGAGCAGGCCAAGGTAAATACTGACATTTCTGAACAAATGTGTTTAAAATCATGGTATAATTGTACTTGTTGCCATGCTAGAAGCCTGGCTCCATTAACGGCCCGTCCACACAGCGGCGTGCGTTGAAGCTTGCCGGTGGGCGTGTCTGAAACTCGACCAACAACCAATCACATGAATCTCCCGCCCCTGACACACAAGCAGCGGTTTGATTGGCTAGAGCTTCAGCCGAGGCTTCAAAAGTTGAACATTGCTCAACTTTTGCTGCGAGCCACGCCAGCAAAGCTCCGCTTCCCACAATGCAGACGTCACCCCATTCAAAGTGAATGGTGAAGCTTTCAACGCACGCCGCTGTGTGGACGGGCCGTAAGTGTTGTTGGTCTGGTAAACACCCTGGTATTTGACAAATAATATTCCCTTAAACTTCAGCTGTACTAAGCTAGGCTAAACATTGTTAATATTCAACCTGCTTGACAGATTGACATCATTGCAAGCATGTTAGCATGTTAGCATGTTGGTTTAGCTTAAAGCACCAATTTAAAGAGCTCTTAGTATTGTTATATGAAACAGAATAACATGCTCATTGGTTATGATGCATTGCCAGGAAACCCTGAGGATCCTGAGGCAGACCGAGAGCAAAAGACAACGGCAAAACTGGAAAATCCAGCTGCAGGAATCCACACCTGGCACCGAAGTCAAGGCGGATGATTCGGAGACGGAAGAACAATCTGTTACGAAATCAAAACGAGAATCTTTTGTGGAGGAGCTGACTCAGAAACTCATTATCCCGCGTGCAGTAAACGGGTTGTTGGCGTCTAAAGAGGCGGACGACGATGATGAGGCATCTTACGATCCTCTCAGATCTTTTCTGCACCCTCAGCCCAAAGACAATAAAAATAAACTTGTAAATAAGGGTGTTGCTAGTTGGCAAAAGACAGTCAAAGAACATGAATGGATAGAAATGGGAGTGAAACGAGAACAGATCCACACTAAAGACCAGCACAGAATAAGTGAATCTACAATGACAACGGGGCAAAGGACGATCTGGTACTCTGCACCAAATCTGGATCATTTCAATCACATCGCTGCAACGCAACCATCGAGATTCAACCCAAATGGACCACATGTCATCTCATATCCAGATGTTGACTACCCAATGGACAAAGAAAGTACTTCACAACCTCCTAACCAACCAGGGATATCCAAGAGGGAGCCTGAGGTTTTAAGACTACCAGGAGAGGGAGACATATCAACAAGGAGAGACTCCGATTCCCAGTCTGTGAACCAGGACTCCAGGAGAAGTTCCTCCAGCCAGTCTGCAGACGTGGAGACGCCTAAACAGTCTTGGGGTTTCTCCAAAGATTTAAAATCCCCCGGGTTACGCAGGAGGAGGCCGATCCCTATCACTCACACCCCCTCTACTCCGACGCCTGGGCAGAAAAACAGCGAGTTTTTCTCCGATTCAAGCGCCACCCTGAAGAGAAACTCTCACCCTTCTTCCTCTGATTCACACCGGGTGCTGAAGCTTGGCTCCCTGAAGCCCAATGAAGACATGTTCTGGAGCATGTCTGATCGAGTCTCTTCAGACCCCCAAACACTGTCTGAATCCGAGCTCCCCGATCACAACGTCCATAAACGAGTGAAAACCCAAAGGAGTGCGTCCAATCCCAACATCATCATCGAAGGAGTACACGGACTTCCCAGCAGTCTGTACTCCCAAATAGAGGATGTGCCTTTGAGAGAAAATCCAAACGGTCATCCATCGACTCTGGAGGAGCTTTTGGTGAGAGCCAAAGAGCGAGATGGATTAAAGAGAACCAGGCATGTGCAAAAGACTAATTCCAGAGCAAAGTATCTTCCTCCTCCTTCCTCGGTTTCTACGAAGCCGTCGCCATCGCCCGCTCCGAGTGACGGAGACAGAGAGTCAGAGATGGAGGAGGAGGTGGAGCTGATGAGACACCGAGCGAGGGCCGTCAGTAAAAGCTGGAAGGAGCAGCTGGTGGACGGAGACGAAGACGACAAGACCAACAGGTGAGTTTGACAAAGAGTCATTCAGATAACCTCATCAAGGCGAAAACAAAGGAGACACACTTCCAATAAAATGCCTTCTATCAAAGGTCAATATGTGAAACTAATGATGCATATACTTCAAGAACAATTTAATCCAATCCAACTTGTTTATATAGCACATTTAAAAAGTGCTGTACCTCAAAAAGCAGCATAAATACATTTAGACAAAACCGATAGGACAAAAAGAAACAAATGTAAAAGCACGAGATAATAAAACCATACTTACAGCCACAGACCTAAAACCCTCATGATGTGAAAACATTTAAAAACACAACAAAATAGAAAACCCCAATTTAGAAACACACACTTAATAGTCAATAACTCTCAAATACATGTTTTAAAAGTGCATCAGAAAGCCTCCAGAACCAGAGGTGAAATGCAAATATCAAATCAATCGTAAAATGTACATTACTTACTGTTACTGAAGAGTTGCATTGTTATATTTTCTAAATTATAACTTTAGCTGAGATGAATGCAACCACATGGTTAGTTTTACCAAGCGTCATTTTGAATAACGTTAATCCGCAAAGGGGAAAACCAATGAGACACAACATTTGAATAACGTTTTTCTAATGCAAACACATTTCCGAGAGATAAAAGGGGCTCTGTTATGTTCATGTTCATCTTGATAAGGTTTATTAATGTATCTCTAGCTTTGAAAGAGTGGATACTTTGACACTAAAGTAATTTAAATTGTGCATTGCTTACATCAGAAACTCAACAAGACACTCCCCTTGCTACGCTCAATTTGAACCTATTTCTTAAATTATTACTATTTAAATTTTTTATGCTAAACACAATTTATTCAAACTCAAATAGCAAATATTCAAGCTCTAATTTGATGATTTTTCATACTTTCCCATGAAAGTAGGCCTAACCCTAAACACCATGCATCATGTAAGGCAGTGGTTCCCGACCTGGGGGGCGCCAAAGATCGCAGGGGGGGAACCAGGCCTCAGATGATTTGAGGCCAAATATCAGATTTAGACTTTTTTTTTTACATATAATTGTAAGGCAATACATGATTGTCACTAAAAGCCTTGTCTCTACTTTACAATAAAATATAAAAAATAGTTGATTGATTAATGTTAATAAAAATTCAAGTTAGAAGCTATTAAAGGCATAAAAAGACAGAAATGTATAATTCTTTCCATAGAAATGTTTCTTCTGCCCGTAAAGTTTCCAAACCAGGCTTGTCTGGATAAGCGCATTTTTAAAACATATTCATTGTCCATGCTGGTTTCAGTTTTTTATTTGTCACAGTTGCTCCGATCAGATCGGTCTCCTCCATTTTGTAGATTATTTACGACTTTTGAATCCACATAAACACATCGGCAAAATCCGGCTTACTTTGAGCATGTGTTTTAAACAGTTTAATCCCTTTGTGAATTGTTTCCACTTGCGCCGTCCTTTAATTTCTTCATACAGCAGGAATCTAAATGAATTAATCCTGAGTCCAATAACCATCAAAGTCACTCCAATAGTGCTCCTTGATTACGCTTTCATCCTCCTTTAACAAAATACTTCACATTCATCCAGTTTGTGACAGAAGTTGTAGCATTTTCTGAGACTTTTAAACTTAAATTACCGCTGTTGCGGCCCCCCCCTCGTGTGTGTGTGGGGGGGGGGGGGGGGGGGCGCAACTACCAACATGAGTCATTTGGGGGGGGCTCTTGGGGAAAAAAGGTTGGGAACCCCTGATGTAAGGGATAATGTGCAGCGACGCGGTCATGATGGGGAAAGGAACGCCCGACAGGCTGATCAGGAGCCCGACTGTATAAAGTTAAATCGACCGAACTTCTTTCTGCAGATGTAAGCGTCCTTAACAACGGTCAATAAGTCCTTGACAGCGGTATGTCTGTTCTGGATTAACAACGTGTCACTTTTTCTGAATTGACCAATCAGAATCGAGTATTCAACTAAGCCATGTAATAAGTATTAATAATTGTAATATGTATGGTGGTTCATACCACTACATGTTTTTAAAGCTTGGTTGGATGCTACACAATCAGATGCTGTTGGTAGCTGTACATGTGGTTAAATATGTAAATTGTAATCCCTGTACATTTTGCTGTATGATGTCCTTTTGTTGTTCTGTTGTTTATGTTTTTATGTCTTCTTGTGGAACCTACTGCTGCAGGTCTCCCTTGAAAAAGAGATCATTGATCTCAATGGGATTTTACCTGGATAAATAAAGGTTTTGAATTGAATTGAATACCTTATGACCCGATTGAAAGGCTACTTAAATAGTATGTAGTTCATGTACATTTTAGTATAACATTACAATGCATTATCCAATGTACGTCTGAGTGGCAGTTCTGTGAACCTGAGCATGTGCAGCATGCAGACAGAGGGAAAGTAAATGCACAGTAAAAGATATAAGATACAAATCATCTTGACTCCATCCCTCCCTCTTTAGTGTCATCTTTCCGGACGGAGTGAATGTGGACTGGTCCGGCTGGTGCTTCGATGATGATGAAGTCATGGATCATTTACACCCTGAAGGCGAGGGCTTTCTGGAGGGAATCAGACGGTCGCTGGCCTTGGTGGATATCCACGGATGTTTAGTGCAAGAAGACGGGGAGTGTAGTCAGGTGTAGGCTAAGAATCTAGGCTTTTTCTTTTAAGCACTTAAAATATGAAACCATATGTTGGGCGAACTACTTGCTGTCTGTTGACACAAAGGTCTTCAGTCTGTCATGTAACATATTCTGTAATTAATGTAAAATAATGTAATATATTTGATATACTTTTATCACCAGTGTTTTGTGTAAATATAATGAAACATTATTTTTTATAAATATATTATTTATATCAGGGATAAAGTCCCCTTTTTCGTTGACCTTTCAGATTGTTTATAATATAACAAATAAATCGGCTTTTCTGTTAAATAACTTTTATTTGTAGAACATTCTTTTCTCAATATGCATACATGGAAACAACAGGATACATTTCAAATCAACAAAAATACTGCTACGTCGTCTGCTCTGAAAATACTGTATTTACAAAACTTGTGCAAACTAAAGTCTCCCAACATGTTGCAGACATGAAGACAGATCTCAGGTCAGTCTCTGGGAGATCATCTTCCTCCGCTTCAAGGTGTCTTTACTTCTTCTCTTGGTTTCTTTCTCTCTCCTCCCGCTCATTAGAGTTGGTGTGAACAATTGTCTCCAGCGCAGGAAACTGAAAGATCCTTTTCCTCTGTGGAAAAAACATGTTCAGAAATATTAAATCCGATGCACACGAAATGCATCTCAATTAGAACAAGCCATATACACTTTGCATTAAGTTAACAATACTTATTTCCAGTATAATAGTATGTTGTCTCTATAGTAAAGTAAGGCAATCAGGTGCTTCAATATAACTCATGCAAAACATTATCTGGAATCAATCAATGATGTGACTTATCTCGAAACACTGACACTCATTTTAAGATGTCACGTCTTTAATGGAACAATAAAATATGAGTAAGGGATTTGGAAACTGCTGTGCTGTGCAGATATTTACCCGTTGGTGGTTCTTGTACATCTGAGCCAGGATCAGCAGCAGAACAAGGAGCAGGAAGCCGAGGCCGACCACAGCAGCCGTGCTCTGAGAGGACCCCGGCGATTTATGTCCACTCAGACCGCCTGCGGGGGAAAATAATATAAAAGTGGTCAGACGTCAGGATCAGAAATAATTTGGTTATCCCTGGAGGGAAAGTTGGTTTCATAACAGTTAGGTGTTATTTTGCATGAGCATTTAACCAGTGTTTAGGAATAGTGAAAGTATATTATGATACACATAAATAGAAATGAACTTACTCATCGTGTGGATGTGGTATGTCACATTTCCCAGAATGCCGTGTTTCCCGTAGAACAGGCAGGCCCATTCCCCCTGGTTCTCCTCGGACTCGGTGTTTATACTCAGAGAGATTCCCTTCTGAACGGACTGAACCGATTGGCTGCCGTTGAGGTCAGAGATCAGTTGAACCCACTCGTAGTCGGTGACCTCGCTGCTGTCCGTCAGATCGCAGGTCAGCGTCACAGAGGTCTTTGACGGGGGGCTGCTGATGACTGAGAGGAAAACAAGATGGTTACATGCAATGCTAAAATCAATATGAGGTCAGAAAGTCTACAGTGAATAAATGAAATGGGTCTTGGCTCTGCGAAGTGAGATGTAATTTAATATACATGTTAATTAATTGTTGATTGGAAAAGATACTGAATGCATGTTAACTCACTTTTAGCAACAATTAGCTCCATATTTCGGGTCAGCTGCTGTCCGTCCAGAGTACCAGAGCATCTGTAGCGACCCTTATCCCCAACCTCGACTTCTGTCAGACTGGCAGATTTATCGCTGAGAGGCTGAGAGGAGGATGAGGACGGAGAGAAAGAAGCAGGAAGGCGACCGGGGGAAGGTTTGAAAAGAAATCCAGGTTTCAGTTTCTCCCAGACCGGATCAGAGGGGGTCAGACCGGAGGAGAAAACACAGGGGAGAGAGACTGCAGACCCCACTGCAGCGTACAGCTTAGTGCCGTCTGTGGACGGGTGGATGATTCCTGTGAGAGTGAAAAAAGGAGAAGTTAGGAAAACAATTTAGATAAGCTAAACATATAAGAGATAATTTATTTCATAATTAATTTTTTAATTTTCAATCTTACATTTTATCTTAAATAATTTTTACATTTAATTTAATTTGTGTTTATTATTCTAATTTCAAGAGTGATAAGATAACACAATAAAAAGACCTAATTAACACCAAAATATCCTTAAACCACAAACAAATGCAGCAAATGACCAACAATAATTAATAATTCATGGCATTTATTTTTTGCGCTTTTCCAAGTGCTTTACATCACATGATATGACATATATCACACATGTAATACATCAATACTGTGGACGCAGCGGCATGATGACAGTGGTGCAGAATGTGCATGCGTTCATAATAAGTGTCTAATTCTAGAAAAACAATGTATGCATTTAGAGGTATATCTATTCCAGACACTTTGTTCATCTTGCTTTGTTTAAAGGTCACCTATCACGCTATTTTTAGGCAATAGCGTAGGTCTCCGATATATAAAAAAATATAAAAAACATGTCTATAAAGTGTTTTGCTCCAAATACCAAACAGATCACTCATTCTAGCCATGCCTCATATCCCTCTGTTTCACTTCCTGTTTCTAAAGTGCTGATTTTGGGGATAAAGCTATAAAATAAAAAAGGAGGGGTCTGAGCTCATGCGGGACCCGGCAGCTACTGTCTAAACTAAATGCTGCCGTGATGAAACACCATATCATGGATTATCAAGGATTCTCTCTGAAACAGTTTGGAGCTCAAAGGCTTTCTCTCTTGCCGGTTATACCACAAGGTGAGTTCCTTTTTACTTCCTGCTTCTTCACACACATGCTCTCCAGTACAGGTTAGCTCTGAGTGTTAGCGATGCTAATGTAAACACAGACCATATTACGTCCAAAACAGTCGGGCATTGTTTCTGATAGCAATGTTTCTGATAGTGCCGTGGATCCACATTTCAGATATTACGTCATATCGGACGCAAATCTGGATCAGCTCCGTTGTTCCCCGTTTTTAGAGATTTGGGTACGGAGGAAAAGAGAGAGGGTTTTATTTTCTGACGCTGCGTGAGTTCCCCGACACACCGGGGACACTTAGTTATGTAGAAAAGACATCACAAAGTGCATTTTGCATGATAGGTCCCCTTTAAGGGCTCAACCACATAAAAGGACAAGATGTACCCCAGCTATTTTTTTATTTTGAGCGTAACTAAGAGCACACACTATCATACTTACATTGATTAGCTTGGGTTACATGTAGTCTGTAAAATGATTAGGTCTTATGGGATATGTTACTCACCCTTCACAGTGAGAGCTGCAGACGCTCTCCCCTCTCTCCCCCCGAAGCCCACCACGCAGGTCCAGATTCCCGTCAGTCTCACAGTCGCCTTTTCCCTCACAACACGTTGATCTGTGTCTGACCCAGACTGAGGATCAAAGGTTCTGTTGTTCAGCGTCCACTGCAGAGAGGCTCCTCGAGGCCAAGGGGTCACATCACAGCTGATCGAGGCATCGCTCCCCCAGAGGGGCATCGGGGAGGAGAGGGACACTGTGGAGGAAACACGAGATTAATGACATGTTTCAAAGCTAGTTTTAGTTTGTATTATATTATCTGACATTACATTTCATTAGATGTACTTACTTGATTGAAATTGTAAAAAGTATTTAGTCATTTTGTTACAGAAGCATCAAGTTAACAAGGCATTGCACATGAGTAAGTCAAATAAACAGTAACTATATACTTGATGTCTAACACTATCTTTGAAATTATTAGTAGCGGCTAAATTCTTCATCTTTACTGTGAGTGTCAGCATGCTCAACGCATCCGTCTATTTGTCTGAAGTTAAGTCTTCAGCGCTGATTCAAGAAATGAAGGATAAACAAAGTAAGGTAACAACAAACGATAAACGTTATTTAAGCAGTGGTGGAAGAAGTACTCAGATGCTAAGTAAAAGTAGCAATACTAAATTGTAAAAACACTTATCAGTAATGTACCTGCATTTAAAATCTTACCTAAGGAAAAGTACAAAAGTATTAGCATTCAAATATACACAGCAGGTAAAGCTGGAGTTACTTTGAATTGATTCAAAGCTGAGTCATATTTTTGAATTATCATCTGAATCTATCAATTCATTTAAGCTGGCACAAAAAGTACAATACTGGTTTCCAAAATGTAGTATAAGTTTAAAAATGTACGTTAAGGCTTTCTTACCTTTAATGACTCTCAGCATGATCAATCTTTCAGTGATCAGGTCTCCGTGCATCACCCTGCAGGAGTACTCCCCCCCGTCCTCCGTCCGCACGTTATTGATCTGCAGGCTGAAGTCGTTTCTCTCGAAGCGGGAGTGAGGACACTGAACGCGTCTGGAGCCTTTAGAGGTCCAGCTGGAGCCCCAGTACTGCAGACCGCTCCTGTCTTTTCTCCACACTGTGCTGTGGATAGAAGGGGTCACAAACAATCAATTATTTTATTTAAAAATGTAATATTAGTGCAGGAATAGATTGTCAGGGCTGATGTGAAGAAAGATCTGTAACATGGATATAAAAATGGGACATAATGAACAGGAATGTCATGTTTTTCTTGTATTTTTAAGATGATATATTGTCCTTTAAGGTTGAAGAGAGCTGTTAATAGATCCAGGGGCTTTTTGTTGGCTATTTGTTAACTCTCTGTGGTCAAAGCCCTTAGTGGGTTTTTTGTTGTTGTATAAATGCTATTAAAACATGAATCCTGTGCTGCACAATCAAGTTATATACATGTTTTTTAATCTAAGCCAGGGGTGTCAAACTCAAGGCCCGGGGGCCAGATCCAGCCCGTGACTTCATTTCATGTGGCCCCACAAGAGCTTGCAAAGAATATAATATGTTTATTATACGGTTACATGATGATTTAATGAAGCACGTTGCCCATAAACTACATGTCCCACAATGCATCTCAAATTAAGACTTTTTTCTCAGAATTTGACTTTCTTTCTTCTAAATATGCCCTTTTCTCGGAATTTGGCTTTTTTTTTTAAATGTTAGGTTTTTTCCAGCTTTTCTTTTGAAATCATTTTGTGATTTTGACTCCACTTCGAGCGATAGAATTACTCACAAAGCACTTATATACTAATAAAGGGCTGGCTTATCTAAAGCCAGTTGAGTAGCACTTGAAATGTTTGGCTCTATGAAACCTGTACTTATGATTCTGTTTTCTTCAAGGTTGTGTCTTCCTGGTCGAACGCACTTATTGTAAGTCGCTTTGGATAAAAGCGTCAGCTAAATGCAATGTAATGTAATGTAATGTGACATTCTCGAGACTTGCAATGATTTGCCCCAGACTTCTGCTTTCAG